GACGAACAGAGCTCGAATGAGGTTGGGGTAGGTCCTCGGCTGTTCGAGCTCGGCTAGTTCTCGAACGTACTTGACAATAATTTCATATGTAAAGTTTAAGGCTCGCGCCCGTACAACCACGTTAGAGTTCGTCGACCCGCCCGGGCTCGGACGGGCTGGGATGAGATGCGTCAACCGCTTTTGCTTTAAAACGCTTTCCTCTACTCCTCTCTTCTGCACGGCATATCCAAGAAATGGACGAGTGTATTCAAATTCCACGCGAATGCGTACCCAAAACCCGTGCATGCGCTGGTATGCTATTCTAATGTATAGGAATCGGCGAATGGCACCGGTGCATGTGTTTAATTGCTTCCTTTAGTACCGAAATAAATTTGGTTATTTTAGGTATATAGGACATTTATTTTCGGGCGCTGGAAATTAACAGTAAGTGCATGCGTGCACTCTTTTGAATCTACTCAATCCCTTCGTGTATGAAATACAAATTTACATACACTACTTTATTCCAGATCGCAACAAATAGGTTATATAGGCTAGAGGTGCGATAAAGACAACTTCCATTAGAAACTTATAAAAGAAAAAGAAAGAATGACATTTGTGTCATTGTAACTCTTCACTCTGACAACTGTAATTTTAGTAATATTTCTTTGTTCAACTCATAGAAATTACCACATTGCGGTCTGAATTAAAGCAATCGGTACAACACTGACATTTCGTTAAAAAATTACAAAATGGGGAGTTCCTTTAAAAAAAACTAAGAAATTTTACATTTTTTGATCAAATGTAGGTACCCTAAAATTTCAAAGTAGCTTCCAATGTACAGAAAATTTAAGCTCGTCGCGAAACACCCTGTACATACGGTATCACAGAGAGGTTATTTATTCCATTAATCTTCCTTATATTCTTGGGTATCGACAGGCAAATGAACATTGAACTTTTTCGACCCGTTTACGCCTACATATTCCAATGTTATTCATTAACAGTTCGAGCATTCAATGTCAGGCGCATTGTAATCGAAACGAGATACAACAAACTCGGACGGCGCGACATTTATTAACGTTACCGAAATTCCAATTCGATTCCGATGCTATTTCGAATGTCGTCCGGTCTAGACAGGCTACAATGCAATTCATCGTCTATTCCGGCGATTTCGGGAAGTCGAATGTTAAATATCATCGTTACATGTTATTGCGTCAATCCGAAGATGAAAAATGAAAGGAAACAAACGTAAATATATTTTTAATTCGTCCCGAATTATTGTTAAATTACGATTCGTGATACATCATTAATTATCGTACGTCGGTATTTAGTCACGGGTTTTTTAATTTCTAATAACTGTGTCGCGGAGCGCGTAATGAAAAAAAAAACCGAAATTAAATTTCCCAGCGGTAGCCGAAATAGTATTTTGTTAGAATATAACTTCTCTTGTAATGCTACAGAAACTAATTTCGAAAGAATGTTGTGTATACCCATTCCTCTCGAATTAAATTTTATCTACTAACTTATACAATACAAAATTTAGATACCAACAACGTTCGAAAGTTAATACTCCTACTATTTTAAATAAAACAACATCTAATCTTCACCTCACCTTTAGCAACCGATATTATTATTAATACATGAAGACGTTATTTATCACCTTTTGTAATTCATGTCATATCCACCAGCTAATAATTTGCATAAATTGTACATTTTTCATTTAACGTGCGCGCATATCTCTTTACAAATGCGGGCATGGGTGCGCGACGATTAATTCCAAAGGTAACAAACCTACATTTTTTTTCGAAATTAACCAAAATAAAACTAAATTATCTCGTATAAACAACGAAAACCGAACCATTAATCTAGCCATTAAACACTTAATTTATACCATGTAAAAACATTAATAAATTTAACATTAAAATTGATTTATCGATTTTTATCTCAATTTAGTAAGGCACTTTCTATTTAGCATAAGGATCATCAACAAATTCATTTTTCAATTTCACCCACACAACCAATATAACAAAACTATTTTTCTCAAACGAAAGACGAGGAGAGAGATCATCAGGCGCATCGTGTGTGTACGTAACAGCTTTTCTTTTTTAGAGCTCATTTACAGTTAGACTAATATTAGGCGTGCGAGGTGTATAATTTGAATAAATAATTGTACGGTGTACGTCGTGAGACGTTCACATAGGTCGTAAAAATTATAATCAGAGCAGATCCATGAGCCCGAAGGGGCATTTATAATAGATCTGCTTTAGATAGAAGATGTGTACGCCGCGTTGCCGTGTATAACAATGAGTTAACTGATATCGACCTTAAATAACTATCGTAGAAGAGCGATTAGACGAGGTGAATAATCTTGGGAGCGACTGATTTTCTTCTACTTAACCACATACTTACCGATTTATGAGTGGTGTTTTATTTTGTACTTTGTATATGTTGCTTTTATCTCGAAAATTTCCGTTTTTTATCATTATTAGATAACTAACAATCACCTAGTTTATTTATTTTTTAAGTGGCTGTAATCCTTTAACTATTAAATCATGTTTAATAAAATACTCTGCATGTTTAAGTATTGTTTTGTATATAATTTATTTAACTCCTCACCCTGTATATTAAATATTTACAAACAACATCAAAACAGGAACATTATAAATAGAAACAATTCTAAATTACCCAAAACAAATACGATTTCTTGTTTAAAATAAAACCACGCCGAAAAGCTTCATTAGAATATAAAGAATGTATAATTATTTAGAAACCATTTCCACCGTCACTTTCCATTAATTAAACAGTATTTTTACGCAACGAATAACAGGTAGTAGTCCGAATTAAAAGCGATTATCCGCCTTATGGAACAGTATTAATAAATGAAACATCGAAAAGTCAATTAACCGCTCATGAACTGAAAATTCGCAAGTCATGTGAAAATAATATAGGAACAATGAGGCATTGCACGTTGCTCTAGAAAACAATAATGTCGACGTTACACCGTTGAATAACATCACAACCGAACGATCTGATAAATATTACGAGGCTCTTGCAAAAGTGTACAACAATAACTAAATTCGTTGGAAACGACACCGTTATGAATTAGGCAGTGTACTGCCTATTCGGTATATGGGATGTCGAAGAATGGGCTTTTCATAATATATACAGCTAATCATTAGCGGCAACAATGCAAGGACATGTGGCCGTTTAAAAGGAATAAGAAAAGATCTGAATTGGTACAACAATAGTCGATATAATTAGAAAAATGATCTCCTGAAATTTCTCTTCTTTGGGGATAATTGATAGATATCTAATTTCCAATTTACGGCGTTTTCAAATTGCAAAATAACGAAATCACGTTTGATGATGGAAAATGAGGCATTTAAATGCACTTTCCTAACTAACTGTATTAACGCAATAAATATTTAAAGAAAGTGTGGATAATCTTAAATAGTTTAGTAATTGATGTATTTCCTGCATCTTTTTAGTTATAAAAAATCTTAAGCGGTAATGTATAGGTAAATTTCCAATAGAAAAAACCCTGTATATTTTGATAACAATAGTTATTTTAGAATAACCTTTCACGTTCGAATGGTATTTTTCTCTAATACGAACAATAATATTTTATAGCACATCAAAAACGTATTTTGAAACGAATAAATTATTGTATATCGGCCGTACACCCCGGGGATTTAACATTCTGTAAACCTTTAATGAACAGTAAATCATTTCCAACTCAAAAGTCGGCAGTAAAAGTCCATAAAGGGTCGTAAACCGAACCTATTCGTTATACGACAACAGCTTCGTATAGAGATCGAATTTTTTGTCACTCGCACGCCCAAATCCGCGTTTATTGTCCCGATCAAAACGTTTCAACCGGGCGTTTAAACGAAATAACGCGCTCCGATAAGGCCGGATAAGTCGCACAAATTCGTTACGGTATATTTCCTTATAACCCACTTGCGGTGTTCCTAATGCGACTTTTCCAGTTTTGGTTTCGACTCGTTTAGAGAAGACCGAAACGAACGGAGTTTGTGGAACGCCTTAACTGCGTCCATACGAAGGCCGGAATATGCCGCGTAAATAGCGCTCGCGTGTAAATTATTACAAACTATAATGCCGAATAATTTGAAGAAAAAACCATTAAAAACCTGAAATGTTGCATGCTGTACATGTTGCTCGTGGAAAGTTGTCTATTATGCGCCGATGTGCAGTAAATATTTTTACGTTTACAATGTTCTTTATCTACTTGATTGTTATAGTGATTTGTAAATGTTTATCTTCATTATCCGCGGTGCTAATAACCCAATTCGTTACTTTACAAGTGTTTGTACAATTTTATTACAAGCGATAAGAGTTTTTGTTAATGTTTTTATTGGGAATTACGCTGTTTTTAACGTAGTTTTTTTTGAATTATTACCTGATAGTTAGAAAATTGATCATTTTTTAATGCTGATAATCTACTACATGTACACTGAAAAAAAATTATTGTGAAATCATCGATGAATGCATTTACAAAATAATAAGTGTAAATATAGCCAATTGTAAGAAATTACGTTTCCCGATTTTTTAAATACCTACTTATTTGAGTAAATTTTATACGTTTCTTTTCACAAAAAATATAATTTATGTAAATGAACGTTCATTACGATTTTACAATTAATGTTTCGGTCACAGTTTTTTCAGTAAATTTATATAGTATAAACAATTTTATCAGTATATGTTTCAGAAAATATCCCTAAACGGAATTCAATAGACGAAAACACGAAGACAGATAACAAATTTTTTCGATATTACACGTGAAAATATCTTACTGTTTGCACGAATTTAGAATTCTCAAAATGACTATGTCCCATCACGAAATCGATAAAAATACTCTGTATCTCGATTGCAAAGGACAGGTAAAACACAGCCTTTTGCCGCATAAAATAACAATCTTCAAACTGGAATATGCTCCGATAAAATTCGAATTGTTAGTAGTGTGTATATAATTTTTTGGAAAGTCGAGAGCGAGAGAATCTTACCTTCGTCCGGTTAAGCGGTACCGAGAAATCCCAATCTGGCGCAACGAACAGGTACCCTCTGCGGGCTACGGAACGGCTGGCCTGTAACATAAAAAACAAATTTTATTACCTGCAAACAACTGTTGTTAACCTTTTATTCAGAGGTCTGCGGCGAATTAAATTCTCACTTGCACTCTCCTTTTTTAGCTCCGGAGCGCTACTCTACTTATTTCGTCGTCGCGTATGAATTTACCGGCCTGCCCACGTTCCTTCGGTTTTTGCTTATGTAAATCTCTACATGCTATTGAATTTCAATGGAAATTATAACGATCACAAATAATCCTTCAAAGAAAAAAATCTAATTGTTTTTTTGCTCAAATTTTCCCATTACTAAATATAAAACTTTATTCATTCTTTCGCCTAGTTTTCTCTGACCAAAAATATTTTTCTTAACATGAAAATCCCATATTTATTTGCAGGAATCTTACTCAATGGGAATATTAAATTCAGTTTTAGAAATTTAATTTGTAAAATGTTAAATACCTTCGCAAAATTAATCACAGATACAAAACTTTGCAATAGAATTTGCAAAAAATATTTGTACCTCTATATATCTCTAGTCTAAATTACCTCTAATTATCTACAATAACCATCACTCTACATCTGTAATTGTCCCTATTTTTCAAAACACACAAGCCAAATTCGAAGTGACAACGCATCAATCTTTCGAGCATAAATTAAAAGGCATTTAACATATCGATATTGGATTTCGTGTGTTGCGAATCGATGATTAATATTAATAGTTATATTCTACCTGAAATCGGGTCGTATGTATGCAAAACGCTGCCTAGTTCGTATTTTTTGGGAACGACGGCGTGCAAAAAATTTACCGCTAACGTATTATGATGAGAATTCGGAGGCGTGAGGAGTTAAATAATTATCAAAAATTAATTGATTTAAATACTCGAGGAGACGTTTATGCGCGGAATCGGCGCGCTAATGCATAGGTAAATAAATCCCCATTTAATCGGTTTTTGTACCGTTTGGAATCATTGAAATAATTAAGTTTCAAAAATGATTCAAACAGGTTGAATATTAATTTATTTGTTAGTTATTAAATGAAGGCGCCAAAATTTTTTTGCCATTTCAAACTGCGAATTCAATCCAACATTAACCTCAATTCAGTGGATTTTCGGGTTTTTTATTAGCACAACCGTTTTACTAATTTGTTATCGTTAGCAAATGCCTTAAATTAAAAGGTACTAAAATTATTTATGCTGTACTAAAATTTATTTCAATTGAAAATCCTTTCTATCCCCTAGTAACTTGTTACGTTCGATTTTAATTAAAAATGATAATTAACTCCTAATTTTCTACATTTTTTATTCGCCTTTTTGACAAGCTCATGATTTTATGTTGGAAAAGAGACGACTAATACGCAGGTGTTCGATGTATAGCATAAATTTCAATTATAATGACAATAATTCTCATGGAGGTTGCATCAAAAAGGTGTGCCAAAGAAGAATTTTGCAATTTCTTATGTGTATACCCAACCATTAATTACCACGGTTCCTGTATTAGTAAAGTCAATCAATTGACGAGTACAATAAAAAAACCAAAACGAATAAACGAATTAAATAATAGATAAATTTAACTTTGTAAAATAAATGTAGTAGTTAATTTAAGAAAGTACACGATTTGTTGAAGTACCTAAATAATGCAAAAATCAAAATACTTTTGAACCGTTTTATTCTTCAATTCACCGGTCTATACTCGAGCATTGTTATTAAACATTAATTATAGAAATAAGGTGGATCCTCATCGATTCGAGAGAAGATTATTTATGTAACTACCAAGAGAATCTCGATTTGCTTTGCAACAATTGCAAAGAGTGAAATTTCAGGATAATTACATTCACGTATCTGGGGAAATTGAAGGGTATTGAAAGACATTTTATTAAACCTCAACAATGTCGCAATTTCGATTGATTGCAAATGATTCTAAATAAGGCAATAACCTACTATTCCTGATAGACTAATACTCGAGTAAAATTTATGTTAGGCGCTGCAGGTTAAGTTTTTTTAATTGGAAAAGAAATAAAATGTGCTATTTTACTTACAATGCCGACTTATTGAAACCTTAAATGCATTTTTCATGTAAATAAACAAGTTTCTATTTTAATTATTTAGCCCAAGCAAGACTCTTTTACATGTTAAAGGCTATTATAGAGAAATCCACACGACTTTAGTATTCATAAATTCATACAGTTTGATGGAACTTGTAATTAAATTTTAGATAAAAGATAAAAGTTTGCTATAAAACAAACTTGTAGTAAATATTTACACTAGCTGGGGCCCTTTAAATTTGGCACAATCTCAATTCAAACAACTTATATGATTAGTACTTACTCGATTAGATTCCAGAGCTTCTGCGGAATGTTCCTCCTTCTGTCGAAAGCAATTCGAACACTTTGTCTTATAAAATATGTTGGGAGTAAACTTCTTGCACTGCGACATGTTGGAGGTATTTCACTTGGGAATATTTGAAAATCAACCGCAAGAAACCAGATGAAACCGAAATAAATTACATGCCATCGCACTATCCTCACTTTTGGTCACCTTATTAGAACGAACGATATGAACCGCACAAAAAAGTTGCACCGAACATACGTACACATTTATCGGCTCTCGCCTGTTGCTCTCTACGCTGAATACACTATCATACTGTCAAGTTAAAATGAAATGTACACAATAAAAAAATGATTAGCGAGTAGGAAACGTCATAAGTCTTCTTTTTTATAAGACTTTTGACAAATAGGACAATTAGTTCGTTTGTATCCAACAGAGCTGCGTGTGTAATATCTGCTCGGAGCGGTGTAGTCGATTCGATCAAACGAACAGAAGTAGTTCTGTGAGTGTAATCACTTGTCAACGTCAATTGCCATTTGTCAATGGTCGCTGTTTGATGTCAAAAGAATGATGCCTCGGATTCAAATGAATTTTAGAAAAATCATTATATAACTAATAAAATATATTAGGATATTCCAATCTATTCTTCCCTTGTTTTTCTTTGTTGACTGTTTATAAGGACAATGTTTCCCGAATATTCAAATTTGCTGGTGAAATAATTAATTTATATAACGAGCGAGGATGGATGCTGGAGGCGACAGGTAATGTTATAACGAAAACCATAGTAAGTAAACTAACGTTAGTATATTTTAGAGTCCTCCATTCGACTAATGTAGCCGTGATACGTGAAGTGTACGATCATGAATATTCCCAAGACTTTTTTTCAATGGAATTGGAAAAAGCCTTAGAAAGCTGCTGTACGGTAATTGTTATAGAACCCACGAAGCTAGGCGATGAGACAGCTCGCTGGATTACCTTCGGTAACTATTTGCACAAAACTGCAGTTATATCGGGATTAACTTCTATTATATCAGGTTGGTTTCGTGTTATTGTATTTATGAGGATTAGACTATAATCGGTTTGTAGGTTTCGCATGGCCTGATAATTTTGCTCCGCAAGCACCACTAAGTATTCTTTCAACTTTATGTGCTGGATTGTATACAGCTTCTTGGCAGTTTGATCACTGTGTTAAATACCAGGTAAGAAAGTTTCCTTTTGAAACTGAGCGTGGTATTGATTAGTATTGTTTTTAGGTGGAGAAGGATATAAGAAGATTAGCAAGAATGCCGATATTAGGGGCATTAACAGCATCTTCGCCTGTAGTGTTGGTTCGTAAAGACGATACGAAGCGCAAAATTCTACATAGCAGCGTCGCCCTCATTGCCGCTTCCCTTTGCGTCTACAGGCTGTATCGTACGATAAGATAGATCATTTTTCGAATAGTACGTAGAAGACGAGTTGTTAGAACATGCTGCATTTAATGGGCATTTGCGGAATTTTATTTGAATTCTTTAAAACCATTGATGTAGAGACAAATGTTACTAAATTACTTCTGTATTTTTTTAAAGTCGAGATGATGGTATGAAATAAATATAATTCATTGTTTAATTTTATAGACGCGATATTTATTGGAGGTCTAATAGCATGACAAAAAAATCACGGTAAATTAGAAGAAAATAAAAAAAATAACTAAATGATGAGAATATACGAGAAATTGAAATACATGACAACACAACAGAAAGAGTATATGACAATAGATAATTCAGAAGTTGTGTGAAAAATAAGTCCAATACGAATAGGCAACCCCTTTTATACTTCTCAAATAGTTTATTGATAAAAAATTAAACTCAGAAGAGTGCAACATATAATGCAGAATAGACAATTAAAAAATACTATACTATAACATTTAAAAGACAAATCTTAAAAATTATATTTATCCCTAAACTCCTTATTAACGACCCAACGAAACTTGTGCTTTTTCGTCTGCTCATCTTTGTATTTCTCGTACACAGCAGACTGTTTGATCAAGTTACATAATGAATTTTTCGAAGCAGCCACCGTATTCTGCGTGAGAAACTGTTCGACCATATCAACCTTCTTCTTGCAACTGCCGTGGATTATTTTCAAAAACGAAGCCATCAGTTCCCCATCGAGTTCCTTATTAACCTTCTTATCCTTCTTAGAGTTGGCGATCTCCGTTCTACTCTTGATGATTATTTGGGTGTGCCTGGTAATCATGGCGAAAGGTTGCAAGCACCTATCGATGGGATCGTCAACGTTGCCATCATCTTTACTATACCAAATACACCCGATCGACCTGGGCTTCAATTTCTGCGTCTTCGACTGCATATCCTCATCGAATTCCTCTTTGAGCAGTTTGAGCTTCTGCTTGAGCGATTCCGGGGACAACCGCGCCGTTTCTTCGTCGTCCACTTCATCGTCGCTCAAGTGACCGTGAGGCACGAAAAACTCGTTATCCACTTCGTAATCGTCCTTTTCGTCCTCGTTTTCCTTCTCGGCTTCGTCCTCGGACCCGTTCAGGGACTCCCCTTGTTCCTCCTCCTCCCAATCGTCGTCGGAGTCCTCTTCGTAATTGAGAAACTGGTCGTCTTCAGCGAATGGCTTTCGCGGTTTGATGACCCTGCTTTTCTTCCTCCATGTGCCGTAATAGGCAGGCCTGCGGTTCTCGTGGAAGTGCAGGAACTTGGATCTGTACCGCTGCAAGCTCGACTTGTCCTCGCAAATGGTTTCCCCCAGGTCTACCAAGACGACGTCGTCGGTGGGTTCTTCGAAAGGCCACGTTCGGGAGCTCCTGCCCACGGGTTTCCCGGATGAAAGGTCCTTCAAATAGGAAGCTTGTGCGTTTTGGTGTTGAATGAGCTCGTCCAGGCGGCGTTTTTGTTCGGAAGATAGGGATTCCCTTCGGGTTGGGGGCAGTTTCATGTCGGATTTGACTTCGAATTGCAGGAAGTTTGACGCTTGGATTTTGGTTTCGTCTTGCGATTCATCCACTTTTTTCGCAACGAAGAAATTGACGAAAGCAGCGGCTGCTTTTTGCTTCTTCTCCTCCTCTTTGAGTTTCTCTTTGTTCTTCTCCTCGATTTCCTGCTGCTTCTTCAGCTTCTCTTCTTCGCGTTCCTTGCGCTTCTGTTTCTCTTTTTCCTCCTTTTCTTTCCTCTTTTGTTCTCTCTCTTCCTTCTCCTTTCTCTTGGCTTCCTCCTTCTCCTCTTTTTCCTTCTTGCGTAGTTCGATTTCCTTCTGTTTCATCTCTTGCTTTTTCATTTTTTCTTGCAACGCGCGCTCCTTCTCCTCGAGCTTCTTCTTCATTCTTTCTTCGTGGAACTTCTGCCTTTCTTGCTTCCTCTTTTCGGCTTCCAACTTCTTCTCCACTTGCTTCGGTGTTAATTTCTTAGAACTATCAGACTTTAATTTTTTGTTGGGAGTTTGCAACGGAGTAGAGCTTTCCTTATTCGTATTGGATATTTCCATTGATTCGTTAAGTTCATCGTTTTCTCCGGATGATTCTTTACTGCTCATGTTCAATTCTGAAGTGTTTTTATCATTTTCTTGTGTACTAAAAAGTACAAATTTTGTTCAATATGCTGGACAATTTTAAGGACTTTTATAGATCGTGCAATGCTTACCTACTATCCAATTCCATTTGCTGATTTTTTGTACTTTCTAGTAAATTCGGCTCTTGAGATGTAGATTGGAAAGTAGATTGTGTTGACCTGAAAAGGATTTGTTAATTCTGATTTTTAATAAAAAAAATTCTGAACGAACCGAGTGTGGGATTCCCCAGTTTCTGTGACTGCACATTCTGATGGTATCTCTGAGTTTTCTTTACAGTCTTGATCATCAGAAATGGAACATACTTCATTATCATCTGTTTTCGGCTCGTTTTCGGTTAAACTGAAATAGTATAATAGTATAAATTTGATTGAAACTAACATTAGTTTGTGCACTACCTAATTTGTTTGTTAGTTAATTTTTCTATGTTTACGGTGATTTCCTTCAGTATAAATTCATCGCTGCTAGTGTTATCAATTCTAATCTTTTTTATGCTTCGTTCTTCTGAAGATTCTGGTGACTTAGATCTCGAACGAGAATGAACTCTTTTCTTTGCAACGAGTGGGTTTTCCGAAGAAGTTTCCATTTTAATAGGGGATAATTTCAATTCATTCGCGCACTAACAATACGAGCACATTTTTTAAATTTTTATAAACCTGAAACTAAAACAGATGAAAAAAACTAAAAAGTAAGTTAACCAAACAAAAATAATATTTTCGCGCTTTTTTGACCACAGAACATCACTTGCACATCAATGTCAGTGAACTGTCAAGTCAGTTAAAGAAAATCGATATTTTCATTATTTTAATGGGGGAACTACAAAATAAAAACCAGAAATGTGAGACCTTAAACATGAATTAAAATTATAATAATTTTGTGGATTCTACTTGGGACTTCTCAGAATTTTAAAGTTTCACCTTTCATTTTAGGTAAAAGACCACATTTAGTGACAAATTCTTCTTTTTTGTGGTCCTTTTATATAAAATTCAATCGATTTAAATTTCTAATTAAAAGTATGACAAGAAAAATAATACAAATATTGACAATCACACAACAAATTACACAAACAATTTTCTAGATAAGTATTCAATCGAAATTGATAATTTCTATCGATTCAATCCAACAAAGAACTCGTGAATGTTCTTATAAAATGAAAATCAGTACGGTTTGAATCAACGGAGAATTCGAACTCCAATTACTTGAACTCTCAATTCAACACTGATGTTTTTTCATATGATAGAACTAACTTTGCAAAACAGGATGAATGAAGTCAAGAAACTTTACGAGTCGTTGAGTTTAATAGGATCTCTGTCGCTGGCAATTTCACTCCCATGGATCATCTACAAAGCCTTGCACTTGCAGAGAAGTCTAAACAACCTCTTCGGAAAGGTAAATTAATCCTTCGAAAATTCAACAAACCCTTGACTTGTTGTTTTTAAGGTCGTTGTAATAACAGGAGCCAGCTCGGGCTTGGGCGAAGCCCTAGCACACGAGTTCTACATGAAGGGCTGCCAGGTGGTCTTGTGCGCTAGAAGACGACAGGAACTAGATAGAGTTAGAACGGATTTAATGCATTCACACAGTACAGTCCAAACTCACCCGCCTATCATCATCCCCTTAGATCTTGCAGACCTCGACAATCTAGTAGAAAACCTTAAAAAAATCATAACAGTAACTGGTAAAGTAGATATCTTAATAAACAATGGTGGAGTATCTCACAGGGGTAATGTACTCTCTACAAACATAGATGTTGACATGAAGATTATGATGGTTAATTATTTCGGAACTGTTGCACTAACTAAAGGTACTTACTGTTAATATTTTCTTAGTAAGTGAAATTGTAAATGTAACATTTTTAGCGGTCTTGCCGGATATGGTGAAGAGAAATGAGGGACACATTGTGTTCATAAGTTCCGTGCAAGGTTTAATCGCATTGCCGGAGAGGTCTGCGTACAGTGCTTCGAAGCACGCCGTGCAAGCCTTCGGGGACTCCTTGAGGGCCGAAGTGGCCGATAATAATATTTCTGTGTCTGTTATCAGTCCAGGTTATATTCAAACGAACCTGTCTTTGAACGCTTTAACAGGATCGGGGGATAGTTATGGCCAAATGGATGATTCCACTAAGAGTGGCTACACCCCCGAGTACGTGGCGAAGAAAATCGTAAAAGCCGTGGCGCAGAAGAAGAAAGAAATGATTATATCGAGTATGTTACCGAAAATCGCGATTTTCTTAAGGAAGTACCTGCCTTCGTTGTACTTCTTCGCTATGGCTAGAAGAGCTAAGAAATCGTCATTGAAATAAGTTATAAATAGTAATTTACTTATATTTATTGGTCCGTGTATTGTTAATGTTTACTTTTACTGTTTTGTGAATTAACATTTTTTGAATACAAAATAGTTTTTTTATTATACACGTCATCAGATCGAGTTGTTTTGAGAAGGCACAATAAAATTACCAAATCAAAGATTTGTTACAAGATCAATTAAAAAAAAAAATGAATCACATAAAGATAGTTTTATTTTGTACAATAAAAAAATGACGAAATAAATTTCATCTAATTATTGGAAACAACTGAGATTATGTAATGTGAAGTTCTTTCGTTAAAGAAAAAGGTCTACCTCATAAAAAACATTATAACTCAATAATGAAATTTTAACATCTTATTCATATGTAACTATAAAATAATACAAACATCTTAAGAGCATCACTTAATCTAGTTAATATAACAATAGTATATTGATTAATCTTCCGATGAATCGCCGTCATCGGAATCTTCATCACCAGACTCGCCGTCTTCCTCGAAGAATTCATCGTCGGATTCCTCATCATCATCTTCCGCTTTGACGACTTCTTGTTTGCCTTTCTTTACCTGTTTACCGGGTTTATTTTGTTGTTTGCCCTGAACCTGTTTTTCTCCTTGTCCCTTTTTCTCTACTTTAGCCTTCGCTACTTTAGGCTCGGGTTTCACGTAAGTGCCTTCCGCTATTTTCCTAAATTTCTTAAGAATCCTGATCTTACGGTTGGCAGTTTTGGTGAGCTCGCCTTTGTTTTGTATTTCTTTTATTTTGTTGTCTATTAAAGTAACCGCAGCCTTTTTCTCTTCGGGATTGGTAGAGTTCATTAGCAATTTGACTTTGTAGAACTGCGCTTTCTTGTCCTTCTTATCGCCCGATTCTGCTTTCGCCTTCTTCGGGACGTTTACATTGGCGTTGCCCTTTTTCAAATTCGCGGTGCCCTTGAATGGAGCGACTTTGGCTCCTTTACCGTTCTTCGCTGGTGTGTTTTTGTTACCCTTGTTCTGATTGTTTAAAGGTTTGGGCGTTTGTTGGTTTTTCTTGTTGGGCGATTGGTTTTTCTTGTTGGGAGTCATTTGGGGTTTCTTGGGGCTCTGTTGGTTTTTCTGAGGTTTAGGTGTTTGGTTCGGCTTTTTAGCTGAATTCGTGAAAGGGGATTTGTTGGCCAGCCCATTTTCTACTTTAGCTTTCTTGGGGGTCTTTTGGTCAGCTAAGCTTTTCCTCTTGTTGGGAGTCTTGGGAGCTACGTCAGTCATTTCTAGAAAGAAGAATCCCTTGTTAATAATGTACAAATAAATTACTAAATTGTTACCAAATATTTAGTCGAAATGAGCGTTTCAAACATTTACTTTCTTTATTAACAATTAATAAGCACTATAAACCCTTGTTAACATAAAACCGCGTGTTACCCGGTTACACAAACACGTGCTTTTTTACAATGTAAATTTCGAAAAACAAACGTTTTTAACCCAAAATATACAAATTCCAACACTAATAACAAACAAAACCAAAAATTACAAGCAAATTTATCGCATTTTTAAAATATCCGTGAACATTTACACGCTCACGTTGTATCCTCAATTATAATCGAAAAATCAGTTAATACACAGAACGTACATTAATAACAAACTGTATTAACAATATACAATGAATAAGGCACTAATATTAACTGTTGCTAATAAGAAATAAGCAAATACTTACTTTAAAATTTGATGTAAAACTGGAGAGCGTCAGAAGAAACGTGGTTTGAACTCTAACAACGCACAATAAAGAATGAGGTTAAATAACAAATTGATCAGGGTCGACTCAACTCGCCTGAAAACGGAAATGCTGAGAGGGCGCTGCGATAATCGATACTCGAAATAATCGATTAGTCGATTATGAAGTGAATAAATATTTTTGCACTTGCCTTTTAACAAGATATTTTGCTTCTAAAATATTTCTAATTTTATATTATTACTATTTAAATATCCATGATTAAAAATAATTGTTAGTTCGAGTTAAAAAATATGCGATTAATTTTTCGATTCGTTCGATCATTCGATTATAAGTTTCGCAACACAAATACTAAACTGTACCAACATAGAAATATAAAGTAACTGACAATATTCTAGTTATAGAAAAAAAGAAGAAATCATATTATTACTAACTTCATACAGGACATGTGAAAAATACAGGTTATGTTTGCATTCTTTCCATTGTTTATTTACGTTTTTTGTGTAATATCACCTAGGCAATAAATGCTTTCAGAGAATATTAAAAGAATATAATTATGAGCGGAAGAGAAATATTGACCCTGCAATTTGGCCATTATGCCAATTTCGTTGGGACTCACTGGTGGAATTTGCAAGATTTAAGTTTCAACTACGATCCATCTACCCCATCTGAAATCAATCATGATGTTCTGTATCGTGAAGGGCAGACCTCTCGGGTAAATAAATACCGTATCAGAGTAAAAAATCATGCACAATTTATAATTTGATATCATGCCCTTATTGTATTTATTTGATGATACATTATTATGAATCTTTAGGGAGAAGTTACATTCACACCTAGACTTCTACTGGCCGATTTAAAAGGTAGTTTCGGCTCTTTGTCCGAAGAAGGCGACTTGTACAAGCCTAACATCGATCCTAATAACGTACAAACCAACTGGAACACCAGCCAGTTGCAAGTCAAGCACGTTGAACAGAGGCAGCCCAAAAACGATTTTCTAAAGGATTTAGAGAACCCCGCGGAATTGAGCAAAATTCACAATAAAGAATACAATTTCGAAACAACCGCCAAGGTCTGGTCGGATTTCTTGTATAGCAGATTTCACCCGAGGACTGTAGAAGTGATTAGAGAGTACCAGCATTGCAACGAGAATACCCCGTTCGATGCTTTTACATTGGGGAGTGCCGTGTGGAAAACCCCCCAATTCGCTGAAGATTTCAGCGATCGAATTAGAAATTATATAGAAGAATGTGATAATTTTCAGGTACGACTAGATCGATTATTAAAAGAACTAAACAATTCATGTATATTTTGACCATTTTAGGGTTTCCATTTGATCACGGATTGCACGAACGCGTTCTCCGGATTGTCCTCGTCCTGTTTGGAATTCATCGGCGACGAATACAACAGAAAATCAGTGCTGGTGATTCCCGTTATACCCTCGCATTTCTCCGATAACGACATAAATTCCGAGGGCGAATTGGCCCAATCTGTCTTAAACGATTCAGTACGAGTGATAAATCTAGCGTTGAGTTTCAACGAATTTTACGCGAATTCCTCCCTGTTTGTGCCACTGTGTGCGGGCAGCAAGGGCTGGAGGCAGCCCGGCCCTAAAAGGTCGTTCAAAAATGTGGAATACAATGTAAGTTTGGGGTTTAAAATTATCTGAAACGAATTTTATTATGAATTCTTGAGTAGTCTCAAAAGGAATGAGGTAGTAGTTTGTGGGAAAATTCAATAAATATTCTTAATCTCGAATGTTTGTATAGAGGGATCATTATTGTGTAATTAGGGTTTCAGAATACAATCTTGGATTAATTCACTGGGAATTAAATTTTATAGCTGGTTTAGAAAGTTGCATTCAAATAATACCAATTCCAAGAATTTCTTCTTTCTTGTCTATCTTATATTGAAAACAACACCAAGATTTGTTTGACCTACTTGGGTTTTTTTATCTTTTATTTTATTTAGAAGGGCCCTTTTATACACACATTGTTATGTAATAACTACGGCCATTATTTACGTTAAAGAGACTCATTAAACGATTGATTCGCGTTTAAATAGAAGTACTGTTAACGGACCATCATAAATAATTTCTTGAATTAACTTTGTAGAACAAACTGGCCTATCACTCGAGCGCAATACTAGCTGCTGCATTGGATACATTTACCCTAAAACATCGTCTCAAATCTTCTCCATTTACATTGAGCGATCTCGCGGCGGATTTGACGCATTCCGGAAGAAAAGCTGCCGCTGCAAGCGTTAATTTGCCCTTTCCCATGGGAGAAAACAGCGATTTATTGGAATCCTTGGATAATTGCCACGATCCTCTTTATTACAGCATCACCCCCAATTGCCATATCGGTAATAACTATTTCATGGATAATTTATTGTGTATTAATTGGTTTTTGATTGTACAGGAACTAGACGAGCCATGCAACACATTACAATTAGGGGAATTAAAGAAGAGAGATTGAAGAAGCCTCTGAACAAAGCGGAGAAGCAAAGAGAATTGCCTGCTTACAGGACTAAAGACATCAAAGAAATGATGACTATGTATTTGGCTTATTCCACAGAGACTACAGCGAGTATTGTTACAGTGGGGCATGAACCTTTGGTTGTTCGAAGCCCTTTTCCGCAAATTTTTACCAAAAATCTAACTAGCAACGGGTTTCTTTCAAATATGCGTAGATCGAATGAAAATAGTACGTATGGGTTTTACAGTCACATTACTTCCCAGTTGCTTTAATTCTTATTATTAATTTTGTTTCAGAGGTTGAAAGTATACCACTTTTGGCTGGTTTACACTGCTGTACTGAAGTAGGAAAAATGATCGAATCTCTTTATTGCGAAGCAAAGAAGCTTAAAATCAATAGATATCATGAATTTGCTAGTGGTGGACTAGATAAGGACAGTTATGAAGAGAGTTTGGACAATTTATTCACCCTTAGCGAAAATTACGATGATAATTGTTTTGTATAAAACATATTTAATAGTTTTTTATTATGTATACGGAAAATCGACAAGTTTTACTGCACTCATTCGCACAATATGCTACTCATTTTATAATAATGTAAACTTATATTAATGACAGTTATATAACAAATAAAATTAACCGGAACATCCCCTACAACCGCAATGTACACATTCGACAATCCTTCCTTCTTCCAGCTTGGATTTGGGTACCCTGCAAATGCAATTCGTTCCGAAATTGGTGTCTCTGGCTTGGATGCATCTCAGGCAACAAAGGCTTTCGTAGCCCTGTTTCTTCCACTTTGCAATTAAATTCTTGTCGGCGATGTTTTCCAGTAAGCAATACTCGTACAATTCTCGGCTAATCGCCTTTCTTCGGTAAAATAGGTCGAAGATGTATCGAGATTTTTGATGGTGAATTTTGAATATGGGCCACAATGATTCGTTCTTTCGTTTTCCTTCGTGGGATTCGGTCTCAGCTAGAATACGGAGAAATAAATTATGTTATTGCATTGTGATAAAAATTATTATAGAAGAATGATTAATTGTTTTTAGAAATGAATAGAATAATAACGTTAAATTACCTTCTCGCATTTTTTGTTCCAATTCGTCCAATGTTGGTTCGATAAGTTCCCAACCTTCTGGTGGTGGTTTCTTACTTCTTCGTACTTTAGGCATGTTACTCTAAAGTATTAAATATACTTTGAAATGTACTTTGTAAGAATGTAAGTACGAAAAATATAATTAAAAATAATTCGACGAAATTCACAATCCACAACAAAAAGTAGTTGTCACTTTTAACTGTCACTGTCATCTGTCAATGTGATTTAGGTATGAGGTCAGCATTGCCGAATAGCCGTAGTACCTGAGGCCCTAACCCGAAGAAGAAGAGGTCTGGATTAATTAGTCAAATAGCAAGTTACATTGGTCCTGGCTACTGAGCCACTATAGCCGAGGCCATTCTATGGAAAATTGAAAGAAGATTTTTTAAGTAGAATTTCACTTCGTTTCGAATTTCTAAAGTATATCTAATTCCCATGTAAAATGCTTTAGTCTATGTTCAAAATAGAAACACAGTTTAAAAGGATTGTAAAATATTTAAATTTTTCTCTTAATTTTCTTGGACAAAATTTTCTCTCTACTTTCATAAACAAAATTTTCTCCCCACTTTAACACACATTTTCTCTCCACAAAATTTTCTCTACTTTTCTTGCACAAAATTGCCTCTACTTTTATACACAACATTTTCTCTCTACTTTCATGAACAACATTTTCGAATCTCTACTTTTTGCACAAATTTTTTTCTCTACTTTCATGCACAACATGTTCTCTCTACTTTCATGCACAACATGTTCTCTCTACTAGAGTGGGACCCCTATTCAAATTTCAAAGTTTATCCTGAAAACGTCGCGAAAATTTCAGCATAGTTACAAACATTTTCATAATATTGAACTCTAGCCTTATTTAAAAAAATCTTAACATTTGGTTTCTAAACTAACATGTTTTACTTCATATTAATGTGCAAAAACTGTTATAGATATACAAAAAAATAATGTAGGCATTAGAAAAAAAAAACTTAGAAATTATTTTAGTAAAGCCAGTCCTCCGACCTTCAATAGCACATGTATTCGGTTCACATGGTTAATTTTTTCTGTAATATTTTAATAACACTTCTATCTGCTATAACAGAGAGGATCCAATATGATCTGATAGATGAGAAGAAGGAGAAGGGTATACAAATTACAATTCATAATATCTCAAACAATGACCAATAATTAGCGTAAAATTTTAGAAAGAGTTTGTTGTTATATCTCTATGTATAGTTAGTGCATAGAAATATGTAATCCTCATATGACAATGGAAGAGAATGAGTAACAAATAAATTCAAATATTAACTATATTTGAGTATTCAAAAATATTTTACCGTTTTCTGCGCCACTCTATTAAATAGCTTTGTAACTATTTATATCGAATCAAAGACATTTTTCCCACAATCTTCTAACAAAACCGATAAATCCTGTCCGAATCTGTCCCACATTACCAATTACAGCGCAACGCACCATATGGTTATCACGTTGTTTTACGCAACTTTACTTTTAATCCAGTCGACGGAGTGTTAAATTCATAATTAGAAAAAAAACAAATTTCTTTAATAAAATAATATGGTAGCTTCAGTTTAATAACTCTAATTAGTAATACTCTAACATGTATTGTTACCCTCATCTGTAGGAAGACATGTACTCGTATAGTATGATGGAGAAATGTTGGGGAATCACAAAGGGTCACAAGGAATTTTTTCTTGTAATTTTCTTGCAATATTTTTTCTTTTATGAACTTTTATGAAAGTTATTTTTTGTCAGCAAGAAACATAGGTATTCAGCATCAATATACCTTACAACTTTTTTTAAATGAACAATGAATAAACATATCCATTGAAACCAACATATCGAATCTTAAATCATCTATCCACGCAGCTTCTTGGCCAGAAGGTGGCAGAAATCGCCCCAGCCCGACAAATAAGGAACAAGCTACACATACACATACATATGTAGCCCACATATCTTGAGCATGTCCCGATAGAGATTTCATCGAAGCAGTACATACACGAATGCCGATGTCCACTTGCCGCAACAGATAGTTACAGATCGGGTCGATTGGCACTCGCACGGGAGCCGCATCAGAGCGTTTCGGTAACGGTGAGTTGTGTGCGAGCGCGAGCGCTTACGAGACCATGGGGTGCGGGACTGGTACGGCTCTTTTGGTTATAACCAGTGTTATTATTTTAGCGGATTCCGTATTGCTGGATATAGGTAAGAGGTCAACAAAACGAACTTGCTACTCGAATTTTTCCAATTAGAAAAATTGAAACCTGCACCTTTTATTGAATTTGTTCTTTAGTGGTGTAATTTCTACAATAAAATTATTTATAATTGATCAGTAATTTGGTAACGTTGATGAAAAAATTTATTTTTAATTGATCTACTTTACTTTTGACTTATTTTAACTGAGAAAAATGATACCTTTTCATTTTATTGAATTTGTTCATTAGTGGTGTAATTTCTACAATAAAAATATTTATAATTCAGTAATTTAGTAAGGTTGATGAAACAATTTGTTTTTAATTGATCTACTTTACTTTTGACTCATTTTAACTGAGAAAAATGATACCTGTATATTTTATTGAATTTGTTCATTAGTGGTGTAATTTCTACAATAAAAATATTTATAATTATTCAGTAATTTAGTAACGTTGATTAAACAATTTGTTTTTAATTGATCTACTTTACTTTTGACTCATTTTAACTGAGAAAAATGATACCTGTACATTTTATTGAATTTGTTCTTTAGTGGTGAAATTTCTACAATAAAAATATTTACAATTAATCAGTAATTTAGTAACGTTGATGAAACAATTTGTTTTTAATTGATCTACTTTACTTTTGACTCATTTTAACTTTGAAAAATGAATATTTGTACATTTTATTAAATTTGGAATTTCTTCTTTAGTGGTGTAATTTCCGCAATAAAATTATTTACAATTAATCAGTAATTTAGTAATGTTAATAAAACAATATATTTTAAATCCACTTTACTTTTGACTCATTTTAACTTAGAAAAATGAATACTTGTACATTTTATTTAATTTGGAATTTGTTCTTTAGTAGTGTCATTTCCACTAAGTATAAAAATATTTACAATTAATCAGTAATTTAGTAACGTTTATGAATCAATATATTTTTGATTGACTTAATGTCAGTTACTTTACTTTACTTTTGATTCATTTAAATCCTGATTTTCAGATTTTTTACTCTGTTTTCTAGAAATCCCATTAAATTTCGCATTCATTTTCTATTTATTGCTAATTAACTCTGTAAACTTATACACTTAGGTATTAGTCATTCGGGTTATTTTACTCCTGAAATCCTGAAAATATTTTTACGTAAGAAATAACGGAAATACTTAGCGGTAGTTGCCAAGAAAAATTAGGATATATCGGCGATTTTATTCGATTCCTGTTTATAAATAGACCAGAGATAACATCGGGATGTTTCTTTAAAAAATAATAAACTTTTATCACTTTAAAGTTATTACACAACAGCTTTTATCCCTATTGTTTCACTGGATTAATTCTTAATTTTTCTTGCCTACACATTGTTACCGGAGTCACGCCAATAATACGAAATTAATCCAGTTTATACAATGCAGCCTTTCGAGTTAAATAATGATTATGACCCAGTTTTGCTCAAAAACTCGAGATTTAATTTTTACACTGTAAACTAGAACATGAAAAATAATGAAGACATCTTCAAAAGTCATCTATCAATCAGTTATTTATTTCAGGAAAAACCAAAGAATTAGAAACAGTCATCAAAGATGACACTTTCATTGTGTCCATGAGGCACCTGAAACCGCGCAAGCGATCAAGGGGATTAGAAGAAACGATTTTTGCAGTAGATTTTCCCGAAAGCGATAACAAATTTTCTTTACTGCTCGACAGGAAAGTGAAGAAAGGTAAGATTCTCTGAAAAATTCGATACATTTTTCTCGCTTCTTCTCCAGCGGGATTATTCCTAATACGAATAGAAAACAATTTATTCTTTGTAATAACCTCAATTAGTAAATTAATTCGCGGCAATACGAAAAAGGAGCTTGCCATTAATCCTGCTAAATGAAATCGTAAATTCAGGCACAATTGATAAATTACTGCATCCGTGAATTTAAAATGCAGTCGTAATCTGTAGCCTATTTTTGCCAATTTGCTACCATCTACTTATTAACAATTTATTTTTAACTCATTTCTACTTTTCCTTATGTTCCCTCTAAACACTCTAGTGATCGTGGAAACGTTGGAAGATGGCCGAAAAAGATCCCAACACTTTATAGTAGACTTTTTGAACGAAGACACTATCATAAAATCGCTCATATTGGAAATCAATCAGATCCAACCCGGAGCTCACGCCACCTTATATTTGGACTGCACTTCCTACGGAATGGTGGCCCTTCCGAAGACTCTTAGAGAAATGTTCCACAGCCAAGATCACAGGAAATTAGAAGTGGTAAGTAAACAGAATCTAAAACAACCTCCTGTAAAATCTAAACGAAATATATAGCTTCCGCTCGGAGCGAAATTATTTTAAGAAATAAATAAATCTACGTTTTGTAATAGTTTCCCAGTTTCGAGTTATTCTGAAAAACTAACGAACTGATGAACTAATTATTACCGCCGAAAGAAAATATATTTTTAAGTATTCAGGTCAGGTGTATCTACAAACACTCACTCTCAACTGATTCAATTTTATATTCCTATTTTTAAAAATACACCTATTACACAGGTGCGCTATTTTACTACTACATTATGCAACAATTATTTCTCCTATTCTTCATTTCCTTGATATTTATACTCTTACAAATTTGGGAAAATTGTTGCAGTACCACGAGCGAAAGTACCAAATAGAAATCGACGGGCACCACCGAGACCTGAGGATGGTGCTGAGCAGAAACGAATGCCCCCTATCCTTCCAGGCGAACGAGACCAAAATTTGGGACGGGTACCTCGACGATTTGAGCAACAATCTCAACGACGATCCCAACATTCAGGCGCAACAGCCCGAGTACGACCCGTACAGAGACCCGTACCGCGGCGACATCCCTCTCGTTTCCAAACTAGAGGACGGTGAGCAAACGCAAACATCCATCGTGTAATAAATAGTTAATCAAATGTCCAATACAATATTCCAGCCGGAATTCTAAACGCCCTGAACTCGCTCATCAAAGTCGTCAATCTGGAGGTGAGGAGGTGCGAGGAGAGCGCCCGAGCCGTCCAAGAACTCCGGCGATTGATCGAGGAGTGCGAACTGTGCAAGTCTCAAAGTTACAGGAGACCCACCTGCGCCACTCACCCGCCCAGGTGTGCTCCTGGAGTCAGATGCATCGACACAGCCGATGGTCCTAGATGCGACCGTTGCCCACCCGGTACCATCGGCGATGGTTAGTACTACCTTTCGTTATATTAACACCAACAAGTTCCATCGCAATCCTCATACAAACTTGCATCGTACGATCTGGTACCAATCTTATCTCCTCTTGGTACCACCAGATAGCACTAAAAGTAGAGGAAGTGCGCCATATATGGATCACCATAAGCACTTTTCTCAATAAAAAGTCGAATTTTAAGTTGTAATCAGCTTTATTTGTATTAAACAATTCCTTAACCATTTAGTTAAGAAAAACTCGTAATAAAATTCTCCAAAAAAATAAAATTTTTGAAATAAATAACATTTTCTAAAGTATATCATTGTTATGAACTTTCAGAAAGTGAACATAATATGGACCACATCCAGATTTTTCCATTTCTAGAATATAATTGACTAATTCATCTTATAATTCACTCGGTAATGTTGATTTTCTCCCAAGTTTTTGAGTGGTGATATTTTTAATTGCCTCCACCATTGCGTTTTTTATTCCATGCTTGCCTGGTATTCTCTATTGTTTTAAAAGCTATTCTATTATAGAACATAAAAATCCATTTTTAGCCACTCCATATTTAAAACGTGCCACTGGTCCATACTGTGATACTTACTCATTTTGAGATTATTCAGATTTTCAGAAAATTGGAGTATTATAAAATATTAAAAGTTAATACAAATAATTGCAACATGACTCACCTTCCTCGTGGACTTATCCACTTTCACATAAAATAGTATTTTTTGGATTAAAAAGTTCCAAAGTTCGCTAGAAAGTTAGATCGCGCATTGCAGAAAACTAAAAAAGGCTATCGTAAAAATATTCATGCATCCTGGATCACTGCAATCGACAGATGGGTCAAAGGAGCAATGATGCTTTTTAGTGTGATGATCATTTACAAAACATAAAAAACGTTCTTCTTAAAATGGCGGTGGTCCATATTTGGCGCAGTTACTCTACTATCCTAGAAATCACCTCCTCGACAACAATACTAACCAACTCCTACTACTACTAAGCTGCTCTATTTATCCATACATCAATCAGAGTTTTTCCATTCCAATTTGCTTTCCAGGGTACACTTGCAAGCCGGGTCGTACCTGCAACGATCGTCCTTGCTTCCCGGGGGTTCGTTGCGAGGATACGGCTACAGGATACAGATGCGACCGTTGTCCCGGAGGATACGAGGGGGACGGTGAGAGATGTACGAGGGTGAATCCCTGCCAGTACAATCCTTGCGCTCCAGGTACGTCTCCTTATTATTAGTACCGTAGAATCGTTGCGCTTTTTGTAATATATCGCAGGCGTTATTTTGGCAGATATACGTTATATTATGTAAAATTATCTGTGTGCTTTTGAATGGAGTTGTTAATAAAATGGTTCATGTACTTAAAAGTTGGTTTTATTTATCATATCATTTTATTTTAAATGGTATTTTTATATAATATGAATATTCCTGCCAATCAACATTAATAATTTAATCAGTGTTGTATATTAAAATTTTTAGTAACCTCTTAGGACCTACATGTTTTTTTGTAGATATTCCTTATAAAATACGGCTGCTGAAGACCCATTAATTCGTTAATTTACTAATTTCGCCAGTTTTTCTGCTACTTTATATTCGATTCGTTTAAATTCCTAATAAATTATTCCTATTTGGTACGACACACTTATACATTTATGGTAGGTGCGCAGTTCTCGTTGCTCGTTTATTTTTTTTTCAACAACTTACTTCTCGTAAAAAGAATCGTTCTTTAATTTTTAAAAGGGACGTGGGATTTCTGAATTTATTGTAGAAAGTAATAAAATGTGTCATAATGAATTTTATGAAATAAATCATGCTCTTTCTAAAAGGAAAACTAACTGCCTTTTTGGCCGCGTTAAAAATATTTCAATAACAAAGACATAATAAAAATGTAATTTGCATGTAAATAAAAGTAAATTTAATTCAACTAATCCGTGTAATTATTCATTTTGTTGGAGATTTAAATTCAGTTTTGTTAGTTTTCTGTATTCGGGATAAATTTTGAATTATCTGTTACTAGTGCATGTTGTTACAAAAATAATTTTCAGATTTTTCTTTCGCTCACTCAACTTTCGGTGAATCCCTTGATGAAAAATCAGTATACTCATTATTCGATTGATTGGAAATTTTTATACAAAAGTGCGACTTTTTATTCATACAAGCCTTTGAAAATTTGGCCCCTAGAGGATAGAATTTGTAACCAAATTCGCGTAAATGAGTTTTCCAGCAATTAACACTTTGTTTTATTTAAAACAGGATGCGCGCCTGTGTGGAGCAGACCGCGACAATGAGGGAATTTTGAGATAAAGGATTCTTCATTTGTCTAGCAATCTGGATGCAGATTACCGACATTATTAGTTTTTTTATTAGTACTAACTGCACTATTTGCACGTTATTAATCCTACGTATATCTCTCGAAATGTATTTAGCGTACTAACAATCACAAACACGTGCAAACAATAATCCGAATCTAATAATAGTTTTCACGACACTATAATGGTACCTAATTTTTGAATATACAGGATGATTGCTTGACGGGATGATGATCATTATTTTATTCTAAAAATACACCAATTATTCCACAATCAATCACCTTGTATAAGGTATCATAATTAAGTTACACAAAATTCCACTTCTTCATTAACATTTCAATGAATTTTATAAACTGTAGTAGCAATTAAAAGCATTCACTACATGTTTATCAGCATATAAATAAGTACATATCCTATTGCAATATGTCTAATTGAAGATGTAAGGTGTGCGATTTTTATCAAATGGTAACCTTGGATCTATTATGGTGATCAAAAGGGAAATCAGAATGTAAATGCGACGCGTAGGCTCTTCATTATAATGTAGGCAGCTCTTTACCTAATACGAAGAATATGGTAAAGTCTTTTTCAAAACTACAGGCTTTGAATGATATTAAGGTCACTTTATAACTTTTTTTTATGGATTAATCGGAGTAATCGCGTCAATCTTACTTATTGTTTGTATACCGGATTACTATTCGCTACTCAGTGGGTAGGAATTAATTAAAACCCGTCAAAATACGTTCCAGGTACTCTTAAATCTTCAACTAGGCTAACTAAAAAATTATATTTTCGTGATAAAAAAAAATTAGAATGTGCTCCTGTGATATCAAATTTTATTATTAAATTATCTTTATATAGTCTAAGGCCTAAGCCAATTACCATTGGTTTCTTCTATAGTTTTATTTGCAATAAACATATTGTGGAAATGCTTGGAATAAACTAAAGTACTTTCAATCGGTCTCTTATTTCAATATAGTTAATAGCCATAGATTAAATACCAACCGGATCAGTACATATGCACCTATAATATTTCTGGAACACCTATAAATTACAGGAACGGCTTGTTATCCCACCGAAGAAAGCCCGTACTATCAGTGCTCGGGCTGCCCGGCGGGATTCACGGGAAACGGCACCAGCTGCTATGACATAGACGAGGTAAGCGCACCAATACTGTAAAACCAAACGTGGATCTTTACAAAAAAAATGATAATTCCAGTGCGACCTGGTCCAACCTTGCGATCCGCGGGTCACCTGCCACAACCTGCGACCCGGCTACCGGTGCGACCCTTGCCCGCCCGGCTTCCGCGGGGAATCCGACGTCAGGGGCACGGGCGTGGAGGAAGCCGAACGCCGGAGACAACGCTGCATCGACATCGACGAATGCGCCGAAGGAAGAACCTGCGTCGAACATTCCGAATGCATCAACACTGAGGTAAACTCATCCATCACCTTCTTAACGCTGATATAGTCTCTACTATCTATTCTCCGCTTTCCGCTTGTTTCTATGGTTTCTCTGTTCTCTGCTCTCCGCTCTCTGTTCTCTGTTCTCTGCTCTCCGCTCTCTGTTCTCTGTTCTCTGTTCTCTGCTCTCTGGTCTCTGTTCTCTGGTCTCTGGTCTCTAGTCTCTGTTCTCTGCTCTCTGCTCTCTGCTCTCTGCTCTCTGCTCTCTGCTCTCTGCTCTCTGCTCTCTGCTCTCTGCTCTCTGCTCTCTGCTCTCTGCTCTCTGCTCTCTGCTCTCTGCTCTCTGCTCTCTGCTCTCTGCTCTCTGCTCTCTGCTCTCTGCTCTCTGCTCTCTGCTCTCTGCTCTCTGCTCTCTGCTCTCTGCTCTCTGCTCTCTGCTCTCTGCTCTCTGCTCTCAACTACACCAATATTTTGTAGGGTTCGTATCGCTGCGGACCTTGCGAGTACGGCTACTTCGGCAACCAGTCAATGGGCTGCCACCAAGGAGAAGGGTACTGCCCCAGCGGGCACCAGTGCGACCGGAACGCCAGATGCCAGGACCTGGGGTACGGCCGGCACGGTTGCATCTGCGTCACGGGGTACGCTGGAAACGGCGTTTACTGCGCAAGAGACACGGATTTGGACAGGTGGCCCGACGTCGACTTGCCCTGCTCGGATTTGTACTGTAGAAAAGTAAATTATTATATCTTACCGTTACGACGTCGATATTAACGATAACTTCGACAGGATAACTGCGTGTATACTCCGAACTCGGGACAGGAGGATACTGATAACGATGGTATAGGCAACGCCTGCGATGACGATCCTGATAACGATCACATCACGCATCGCGTAAGTACAATCCGCATCTTGCGTACGGTTTAATTAACTAATGCAAATCCTGCAGGATAATTGCCCGTTGCATCCCAATCCCGACCAGCTGGACTCCGACGGGGATGGCATTGGCGACGTTTGCGATAATTGCCGTTACGTTAAGAATTCCGATCAAAGAGATGTAGATAGGGACAATGAAGGGGACGCTTGTGACAATGATATTGATAACGATAATATTCCAAACGAGCGGGACAATTGCCCCGAAATTCCCAACGCAGATCAATCGGATAGAGACGGTGATGGAATCGGTGATGTTTGCGATAATTGCCAATCCGCTTATAATCCAGGACAAGAGGACGAGAACGAGAACAACGTTGGAGATGTTTGCGATTCCCCTATAGACACTGATAAGTGAGTACGGAAGGTCTGATTTGCAGGTGACTTGTGATTGTTGAATGTATACAGTCTTTAGTAATTGCTAGAGTCCACTTGGACCGTTTATTCATGATAATAACCTGTTGTTTTAAGAGACGGAGTGCCGGACGCGCACGACAACTGCCGCTTGATCCCGAACCCGAACCAACTGGACACGGACCGGGACGGTAAAGGGGACGTCTGCGATAACGACATCGACGACGACGGCGTGCCGAACATCCGCGACAATTGCGTGTACGTCTACAATCCCGATCAATTGGACAGCAACGGTAATTCAACGCTATCCTCTCGAGTTCCTTGCACTGAACAAATTGCTTCGCAGGCGACGGCATCGGCGACCGGTGCTTCAACGATACCGACGACGATCAGGTGATCAACGAGAAGGACGTCTGTCCCACCAACAAGCTGATCTTCCAGACGGACTTCAGCAAATACCAGACGGTCGTGCTGGATCCGGAGGGCGAAACGCAAACGGACCCCATCTGGGAGATCTACAACCACGGCGCGGAAATCGGCCAGACGGTCAACAGCGATCCCGGACTGGCCGTGGGCCACGACAAGTTCACCGGCGTGGACTTCGAGGGCACCTTCTTCGTCGACTCCGAAGTCGACGATGACTACGTCGGATTCGTCTTCGGGTAAACAAATCCATAATTTATCACCCAATCATTTCTACTCACCGCCTGTTGTAGCTATCAAAGCAACAGGAAATTCTACACGGTGATGTGGAAGAAGAACCCGCAGCTGTACTGGGAGAACGAACCGTTCAGGGCGTTCGCGGAGCCGGGCATACAAATCAAGGTGGTGGATTCGGAGACCGGGCCCGGGGAGATGCTGAGGAACTCGCTTTGGCATACGGGCGATACTCCCAACCAAGTGAGGTTGCTGTGGAAGGATCCCAGGAACATCGGGTGGAAGGAGAGGGTGTCGTACCGTTGGTTTTTGATCCACAGGCCCCACATCGGGCTCATCAGATTGAAGATCTTCGATGGGGACCAGATGGTGGCGGATTCCGGGAATATCTTCGATACTACTCATTCGGGAGGGCGATTGGGCGTGTTGTGTTTCTCTCAGGAGATGATTATTTGGTCTGATTTGGTGTATAGATGTAACGGTAAGTAGATTATTCGGTTTTAGAGAAGGTTTTTTATATCTGTTGATTTTTCAGATAATTTGAGAGAAGAAATTTGGAGGGAATTGTCGCCGAGATTACAAAGTAAAGTTAAAATCGACAATATTGGTTCTTACAATGTCAGAAAACCTGATGTTCATTAGTTTTTATGTGGGTTTTCTTAATTTGAAATAAATATTAACACAACAAAATTTTCATTATTAACATTTTTTTAGAATAACACTTTGTGGATTTCTTATTTTAAGAATGTTGTTCAATCCATTTTGTTAAATAAACTGTATTAAAAAGTACCTACTATATTATTTTTTGGTGTTTGGGATATAACACAGGGATATAAAATTAATTCAATTTTATTTTATTTAAAAAATTAAATCAAATTCAACTAAATATACAATTTTCTTAATGCTACAACCAATATTATTATATCTACTCATAGGAATAAAGTATTCATTCAAAATTATATGATTATGCGGTAACATTAGAGATGAATTAGGTATATCTTAACAAAATATATTTACATATAGTTTATGTAGGTGGAACTAAATTAAATATAAATGACAAACGAAGCGAATAAAAAATATTGTTTCTAATTAAATGGAAAATAAACAATAGATTAATTCGATATTCCACCAATGTCAATCTCTATATTATTAATTTAATCAACGCGACTATAAAAAGGCTATATTCAAAAAAATCGTTCCAAATTGTACGTAGATTGGCAGTGGTAAAATTGGTTCATTTCAATCAAATTCCTATTTCAGTTCATTAGGGATCGATTAAAGAAATTTAACAAATGGTCAAATTCTTAAATTTTACTTTCTAAATTATTCTACATTTGTAGATATATTCTGACATATAACATACAAAACACTGAACATGCTGTGGATAAGGAAGTATGAAAACTGCCCTACTTATAGAATATAATGGCACACGATACAAGTCTTCATATTACGTATATTAGGACAACTAGTAAATTAATAAGTCAGTATTATAAAATTATTACTAATCGAAAATAAATTAAAATATATAGCGTTAAGCTACGAGCCTAACAAAGAAAAGGAAGAAGGAATTGAGTATTGTTCAAACTATCTATAAAACTTTTCAAGAATGCTTGAAACGATACATAAAATACTGTTAATACAATCATTTTGAACATTTAGGTACACAGGACAATTATCGATTTAATTTTGCACACCTAGAAAGCTCATCGAAAACATTTAGAAGTACTAAACACTTTAACATTAGGCAGTTAATCATTAATTTAACGAATTAAAAATCAATTGAAAACAGATTCGAATGACATGCATGCAGATTTAAATTACCTAATTCGGATTTATGTGTACTTATGCAGGTAATCTTACAATAAAAACACGTTTCTTATGGATTAATTAAAAATGGTACCCTGTAACCCTGAATAGACGCGCGCACGAACTGTTTTCACCTTCATTTCTAATCAGTCAAAGGACAATAATCCTACCACCAAATGTTGCATTTGGATTTACATCGATAAGAAATTCCAATTTCGCTCCTTTTAACTCAAATTACTGTCCACTTTAGACATTTCGACTAGTTCCTGCGGCTGTTGAGCGTTGATTTTCTCAGCCTCAGGCAGCGCTCCTAGTTCCCCGACACTTAAGTAGTTTACCAGCTGAGCTCCCAAACAATCGCACATTACGTTTATTGTCGTTCTAAATCGGTCTCTGAAAACCAACAATAATTACACACACACATTTGCAACATTATTAATTTAGAAATCTTGTAAAACTGTAGCCTTTCGAACGAATTAGGAGTAGAATAAGAAAGCAAACTATTTTTCTAAAAAGTAAATTTAACAGTGCACAGAGTAAGAAACGAATTATTCGATAGCGAATACGCGCGCATGACGTGGGATGACAGACATCAAATTATCAATTTTATACTCACAGAAGCCAATCCACCGCAATAATGTTAATTACTTCCTCAGAAGGGAGTCCTACAGTGTCTAGTACCATTACCATCGTAACAAGGCCGGCTTGCGGAATGCCCGCAGCTCCTATGCTCGCTGCTGTTGCGGTCACACTATCGAATTTTACTTTTATTAATGCGCGAAATTTTTAAAAATCAATTTTTAATAATGTAAAGCGCGAGAAATTGCTCACCATACTGCAACAGTTTTGCCGAATGTGAGCGGAATGTTCTTCAATTGGGCTATGAATATGGCGGCGACGGCCTCGTACAGGGCGGTTCCGTCCATGTTAATGGTAGCCCCGATGGGTATTACGAATCTGGTCACCCTCGGGTCCACCCCGATTCTGTCCATGGTTTGTATGCTAATAGGCATGGTAGCGGAGCTATAAATTCGAAAAGCAAAATAATTTTCGCTGCTGTGTAGGTAAACTGAGCAATCTAAAAAGTGTTAGCATGCTGCATTAAAAATTGAAAATTTTATTGTTTAATTAGATGAACGAATTTATCGCATTTTACTAGATTCAGAATTTTAGCACTTTAACTCGCTGGACAGTCGACAGATCCTCGCCTGCTTAATTAACAAACATGTTAAAGTAAAATGCGAAAATTCGAAAAAAAAATGCGCAAAACTCCAAAATTACTCAATAACAAATTGAACTTTAAAACGGTGTAAATGTATAAATAATGTAGCGTGCACGAGTGGCTTTCCTACCTAGATGCCGTACCAAATGCAGTGACTAAGACTTGACTAAGTTGAATAATAGTTTTAAAGGGTAACTTTCTCACAGCAACAAAGTAAATAATAGAAAGGCTGCCAAATCCATGCAAAAATAATCCCGTCATAACGGTTAGAAAATATAGTCCAAGTCTACCAATGAGATCAGCGAAACTCGCTATTTCTAATACCTTTGCTGCTACTAAGAAAAACACTCCGATCGGTGAGATCCTAAAAATAATTAATTATTTAAGCTGTATTATAAAATATAGTTGTAAAATAATCAACATTGTTTTTTGCATAAATACGATATATCCATAAATGTAGCACGAAATTGAGAAAATAATTAATTAATAAATAGCTATATCGAAATCCATTGGAATTATTTCATAAATAAATTGAATTTTTGCATCGTTGCACAACACTGCTGAATTTAGCATACGAAATTATCGGTGTGAAACGAATCATAATGGCCTAACTATTCGACCATATTAGCCGATACATTCAACAAAAATCGACTTTGCGAAAGGGATTTATCGTATCGCCGCGTTAAAACCGGATATTCCACCAGTTTCTGAAACAAATTCTGTAGGTAACACAAATACAACCGTCATCGACTGACCATTTAACTATCTTACCAAATTACCCAACTAGTTATAATCATCATCGCCTCGCTCAGCGCGGTAAAAAAATTCAACAATATCTTCGCCCTTTCGCCCATCTTGCCCAGCGTTATACCGAACGTTATCGAAAACACCACCAGGCCCAGCACGTTCGTCGTCGGCTCATAGTGCTCCTCGAACTTCCAATACTCGTGCCCCATGTTCTTTACTTAAAGAAAACGTGGTCATTGAAGCGCTCGCGAGCTGTTCCATTTTACTTACCAGTAACGTTCTTCGGCTCTATGAGAAAGGTTTGCGACTGAAATAACAAGAATATTATTAATCCTTCATCAATTAGAATAAGTAAAATACTACAGGAGGCTCTTGGTTACGAATGGAGGTTACACCAGTAGCTATACCAAGTGGAATAAATGATGAAGGACTTGGAGAAATAGGGAAATATTTACAAGAAGTGAGGAAGTGAGATTTACTTCATTTGTATATCAAGCTACTTACCTGAGATACGCAAGCTTGAACAATGTTTGGTGGAAAGAGATTTCTGCAAAAATAATATAGATTAATATTCTATTTAATTTACTATTTTTTTGTACTAGGTACTGAAGAATCTCTTAAATGGCACATTATACATTATAAGAGACTATCATTTGAACTACCAAAGTCTCGAGTAATTCCTTTCGGATCAACTAACGATAAATAAGTGACTACCATTTGAACTACCCAACCTCTTCCAGATCTATTGGGTACTTTTCTTACACGACAAAAGAATCATCGAAAGCATAACTCACCGGATCAAATCGAGCAAAGTGTCCTGCGTGAGCACGTGCCGCGTGACCCTCTCGGACTCGTCGCCCGACCAAGGGGTCGCCCCGACGCCGGGCCGTATGGTGAGCACGAGCACGATGCCCAGCACGACGGCGAACACCGTCGTCGTGGCGTAGTAGAGGATCGAGCGGATGGCGATCTTCTTCGACAGGCTGAGGTCCAGCGAGCCGATGGCCTGGATGACCGAGGACATGAGCAGCGGAATGATGAGGCACTTGAGCATCCGCAGGAATATCTCGCCGGGAAAGGCCAGGTACATGACGTCCCGCTTGCTCCAGTGGCCGCCCGACGTCGCCCGGATCACGATGCCGGTCACGGTGCCGCCGACCACGCCGGCCACCGTCAGGATGGTGAGCATGTTCCTGTAGAGGAATGTTCGTGCTCCTTTCGCCATCTCGTTTTATTAAGATACCTGTTGATTTTATACAGCCATTCATTAAGTATGTGTTACTAAAATCCACCATAAAGATGGCGCTTTTAAATCGACTAATTTACGAGTAAAAACGGAGCAATTTCAGCGGTGCGTTTTGAATGAAGCAATAAATAATTCATTGTTTAAAAATTTCTAGCGGCATTTTTTTATAGATCGCATCTAACGGATCGCTAGGACGCCAAAGGAAGTATTTAATAAAAATAAATTAGCAGTGGAAAGTGAACCTCTGCTCTGATGCAAGCCGTTTAGTAGTGGCGCGAAAGCGGTTTTTTTTTTCGACAGGATCCAAGTGAAGATCCATGGAAATCGCATCGTAATCTTACGGGAGAGCAGGAAGGCTGGATCAATTGGATAACCGCCGGCGATAATTCGAAAATTGGGCTCTCAATTAGATTTTATTTTAATGCTTTGTTTATTCGGTGGCTCGTTCGAATTAAAAACGAGAGGATGTTCCTAAAGGCTCCGTGTTTAACTTCTATTTTTAGTCGTACGTTTGCTAAACTTCTTTGAGTTATAAATCAATGCCGTTTGATTCATTTGATTCAAACTCTGCGTTATCGTCGATTTAAATTCGAAAATAAATTTTCTTTTCATCCCAAACTAGTTTGCTTGCTATAGAGTAGCATCTTCAAGTTTTCTCTATTTAACTTTACCTGGAGTTACTCTCTTAAATCCGAAATAAAATTCGGAAACGACTGTATTTAGAAAACACCTACAAGTAGATTAAATCGGATAAAGGAGTTGATATTATCACTAATTTAATATTTGCCAACATCATACCAACAAAGAGTTTATTGCTTAGATGTAAGATGTTAATCCGCAATTAAATATCAATTTAAAAATCGTACCATTAAATTCATATAGGTTTGTTTGGTACTATAGTGTTGGGATGTTCCAAAATATCGAAAATGAGTTACGATAGAATTAATGATTATCGGTTAGAGGATTCGAGTTGAATTTTTAGCGGATTCAAATTTCCATCGCGCTTCTTGCATTTCAGTTTTCGGATCCGTTCGGCACATTACATTATTGATTTTTGGAAGAGTGACTAGTGACCTCCAACTCCAACCTGTTGGTTTTCGAGCGATCCCGGAGCGTCGGGATAAATTTGCATCTCCCCAGCGACCTCTGCCAATTTTCGAAATATTTCTAATAGCCCGTAGGAAAAAAAATTAACAAACGACGAAACGGCCCAATCCGCATCGGCATTACCACGAATAAATACTTCCGCCTAATTCAATATGGCAACTAATTATTTAATTTTACAATCGGAAAGCCCTCCTATATTCGACGTTAATTGCAAAATAGAACGGAGGAAATCGGCGTTTGAACCGCTAATCGCCGCGAAAACCTCCGCACTCCAATTAATACTTTTCCTCCCGGTTAATAAATCGCCGAAAAATTCGTTCGAGACGAGCGAAGCAATCGTTAGCAAGCAACACTCACCATTCAGAGCAACAGCTAATTGCTATGGGAGTAGTGTATCCTGTTCCTAAACGAATGTGGAAGTTGGGAGAACCACTAGATAGGACGCAACTCGATTTGGCACATTCACGAACTAACTCCCGCCAAATACACGCAGCGACCTGCGACCTGCGAACTGCGTTCGCCAGCGATTATGTGCCGTGAGTGATATTCTGGACAACTGACGATTGCGATCCCACCAAATCTGGCCATAGACAGGGGGAGCAGAGCAGAGAAGAGCAGATTGTTCATTTCACAAATTGTTCCTAACGTTCGGGTTTCTCTTCTGTCGTTCGAGGCTTCACAGGATATTTGTTAATTCGTATCGAATGATGGAGATTCCGAAAAAATTGTAGCGAAAATTCTTGAATTTGGTTCACAATAGATGATAGTTTATATTGGGAAAATTTCTGTACACTCAAATTTATGCTTGATATATGATACTGAAGGATATTAAAAATGGATTGATTCTAAAGAAAGGATACTAAAAATTGAAGGGAAACAAAGCATTTAATAGAGAGTGTTCCGCATAAGAATCGACTTACCTATGTCGTTTAACCCATCTTAACTTAATACAAAGTTACATTCGTAAGAAGTTATAGGCCTTTAAAGTGTAATTACAAATTTGACAAAAAATTAATATCTCAGTAATACTTAAAACAACTAAATTTGGTATACGTCATGAGTGTACTAAAGAGCATTAATAGATAGTTAGGAGAGATCAATTGATCTATTTTAAAGGGTTCATCAGCGATGATGCTCCCTTAAAGTTTAGAATTTTTTTACCTGATGGATTTTTATTCTTTCTGTTTCTTTAAAATATTTGTCGTTTTGATAAAAACGCTAAAAATAAAGTCATATGCACTATCAATGTTGCCTAAAATCGTCGATTATTCAAAAGTTCGAAGCTCGAAAACTAAGAGATTTAGGACATATATTGATATAAACTTTTCTTCTTAAAATCTGCCAAATATTCACATCCTGAAGTATCGGTACTCAATTAATTAACTCCCTGTACTTACTTTTAATAAGGCTAGATATACCTGAACGAATCCAAACTTTAAATTGCCATTTTCTTCGCAATTATCAATTAACCAGGTTTTCCGCATTACTTGCTTTAACTGTGACACCCATTAAGAATTTCTCACACGTTACATTCCTTATCATTCGCTCAAAACTTTAATTACATTTAATTTAACCAGGCATATTATCGTGTGAAATTATTATTTTTTCGTAATAAAAATCGTTTGTAGTAGAGTAAAGAATCATAGGTATTAGATACACTTTATTAATAACACCCACTGGCCTGAATATTTGTTTTGTTCATTAAAAACGGAAATTTACTTAATAACGATTCAACTAGAGTCAAGAAGAAGCTAGTAAAATGTAGCTATGTAAGAATATTTATATTTTTTGTATAATTTTTATGGAAATTCCACATATTAAAATCATGTAGAATTTATTTAGGGTTTCTGAAGGTTCAATAATTTAAAAAATATTTTAACAACAAATAAATCACAGGTTCAAAATTATAATTACTAGGTATTGTATATTTAACAGTACAAATCGCTTATACATAATATAACCAACGCTTTTGCTATAAAATCAATAACATTATAGTAAAAAAATCATTCTCGAATGGAAATTACAAGCTTGACAAAATCCTCTTGGACGACAATTAATACAATGTGAAATACTAATAATAAATTATAAAAAGCATTAACACTACATGCTAAAAATTATGTATAATGGCATCAGCTGGCTTTAATTTCCAACGAATTTAAATTATCAATGGAAGTCCATATGTATCCCGGCTCGGCAGTAGCCACAGGCGAGGGATACGGTGTAGACTGTGACTTGTAATAATCCGACGGGGCGTGCATTATGAACTCCATCGCATCCAGACTCCTAGGAATATCCTCCTCGGGACCTTTAAATAATCAGATTAAAAACTGTTTTACGGTACATTTTCTGTTGAAATACAAACCTATGACGTACGTAGCTGCATCGAATCTTTCATTAGGGGAAGGAGAATCCCTAGTAGGAAGTAACCAAGTAATTACAGCGCTTTTATTGCAATACTGATCGGTCAAAAGAGCCCTAATTTGGGCATAATACGTATCTCCTTCTGCATCCCTCATAGAAACTATATCGCCCAATTGGATGTAGGTTCCCTAATAACAAATTAACAGTATAGAATCATTACTCATTACAGATTTACGTGTAAATACCTTATAAAAGACGTAATCACTGGTAACTGTGGTAGCGACAGCCGTAGGAGCCTTCACGGGTGTTTTCTTCAATAAGCACCTTCTTCCTCTGGTTTTGGGGATGGAGGATTTCGGCACGGCAAAAGGATTCAGCCTTGTCCTGTAAGATCTGGTGCTTCTTTGTTTTCGTTTGCCGTTTACCTTAGTTTCCTCATCATCGTTTTCTAATTCGGTTTTTAACGTGTCTTTAGCTTCGTTGACGCAATCTAAGCATATGGCTCCAAGATTTTCCGCGTTTGTCCACAAAGGGGATTCGCTGGTTTCGCACTTTAAGCAAATCAACGGCCCTTTAAACGGCATTTTGTAGTTAAATTCCTAAAAATTAATGTTTGTTCTAACTTCTAACCTAAACAGTAATATTTGATTTTGACTTTTGACAGTAATGACAGATGTTTTAGTCTTCAATGAGTTAGGCCACTTTTTCGTAAGCTATTCAGACACAACTCTACGAGGGTCAACCAAAAATTTTTCGAGATACCATTTAACTTTATTTCAAATTAATAACATGATAAGACGAAATTTAATGAGCGCCGACGATCGACGGCAGCAATTTGTCTACGTTTATGTTAACATTTTTTATTTGGTCCGGTAGATTGAACCGAAATTTTCCGTCGTAACTGAGTTTTCCGACTCCGGCGATTTTCAAACGGGTCCCCAACATTTCCAAATCGAGTGAATTCGAGTCAATGCGCACCGTCCCTTTACCTGCTACTTTAAATTCTTTCTACAAAAAAGATCATTACACACTTTTTAAAATTCTACTTTATTAATTATTACTTAAAAAAATAGAGAATAGTTAGCCAAACTCACCTTCCCTATAGCTTTTAAAGGTAGGGACACGGTTTCTTCTACCTTTGCTCCTGATACTAATGATTTATCCTCCTTAGTTCCTATCGATAAAGTCTCATTTTCTTCTTTACCGCTTTTATTTATTTCCTTGTGGTGTTGAGTTCGCGAATAAGCGCTTGGAAGAATAGCCACAATAAAAAACCAAATGAAAAAATTCATTATGCCCAAAATGATTTGGCGAAAGTGCAACTCTATGTTTTTGTTTCATCTTGTGCCTTATCCAATTAATTTTTTATTAAATTTTTAATTAAAATTAAGTTGTTATCGTTATTGATTTTATGATTCGCGGTGGTGTTTTTTATTTTAAATAACAATTTCATCTAAATTCCCAACGTTTTATTGAGAGAGAATTAAATCAAATATTTTTTTACGATCGTTAGATTTGTGTTAGGAAAATTATAGTCTATTTTTATTCAATAGAAAATGGCTTGAAAATTTTTAGGGACTTCGTGACTATTTCTATTTGTAAGTACCTGATTTAAACTAAAAATTACAATTGGTTTTTACTCTGAGGACAAATTTGAGGGTAATAAATATTCTTGTGTTAATTTATACATGGTATATTGTCAGCAAAAATTAACATACCATAAACTGGCTCATCGTAGTAGTGTACTATAATAATAAAATTTGTCTAGTAATAACAATCTACAAAGATACACCATTAACAACCTCTTTCTTTTCCTGTTCAAATGTATTAGCTCTATCTAAACCATTAGAAACGCATTTCCATCGTAAATATCCATTTTTAATAAAAAAATGGCCTTTACGATAAAAATTATTTGTTAAATAATAAGAAATCTATTATTTTAATGTATCTATGGATAATTAAAAATTAAACAATGTGTTTGAAGGGTCATAATAAGAAATGAGTGGGTATAATTTTATTATGAGCTTTATACATTTCCATAATTCAGTCGATAATTATAGTCAATGTTAATACTGAATTATTAATTACCTAGAAATTAAAACTGTTTTCTGTGCTTTATTGTACATTTTGTTAAAGATTGTCATTAGAGGAAAAATAAAATAGGAAGACTGTAATTTAAATTTGATAAATAATAATTAAAGTTCCGAATTATTGTTGCTTGATTAGTTGACAAATAAGCCAGGGGATTATTACAAATTAATTTTATCTTGAATTTCTTTCTTTTATTGAATTCAATTCATTTACCCATTTCTTATTACAACAATAAACAATATTCTACGCTTAAAGTAGTTTAAAGTATGCAAGTATTTAGTCAAGATATAAGTTTGTATGTAAAAAATAACGTAATTAGGTACTCAATAAAAGGTGAATTTATTCCAAAAACAACCATTGTAATATCATAAATCAGTTACCTCTAAAAAATATTATTTAACTTACAATTTATATTATCTAAGTAATTTTTAATAAATAAATTCACGGCTGTAAAACATTAGCCTTGTTTTTAATTTTTTAACTATAACATATCGTTTTAACTGTTGTACAGATCGACAGGAATAACTTAAAAGCCGATATAGACGTGCGAATTGCGCATGGTACTTTCAAGTCTTCAGCTATTTATGTCGATCTGTACTATAACATATAATAAACAATTTTAGATAGAGTAATGCGTATTTTAGAAATTTCTTACAATAAACTATTACTTTGCATTCGCAACAATTATTAATAGATATATACTTTAAAACTATTACAAAGTAAAAACGAGAGGAGACTGTTTTATGTGAATACCTAGCCAGCAGATATTTAATTTGTAAAACCTTTAATTATTTTTGTTTTTCTAAAACTGTCGTAATTTAAAAAATAGCAGAAAAACAAAAATATGTTTATATGTTATATTGATAACTCTTTAACAAGGTAGTGTATATTCACAAAGTTATAACAATATATCGTCTATAGATACTATTTAGTTGCTAAACTCTAAAAGAGTGTTAAATATAGTAGGTATAACAAGTCAAGCTGAAATTGGAAATTTATGATATGCCTATACACTACTGGACTATTTTTGCATTTTACATCGTATTTTTGCAAATACCTTTTTTATTAAATATACATTTTTTTTATAACACACCTGAATTCCCTTTATTCCAAAAAAATCTTGTGTAGGTACCTACATTTATACACCATGTTGAACTACGCGTTTTTTAAATTAGAATTTTCTCCTTATATACGAAAAATCCCGTGCAAATATAACGTACGATTATATTTCGAATTCGAAAGTGAATCTCTTCAACTAGGTGTATAGATAAGTACGCATTTCACAAATTCAAACGAGTCAAATTTATTTTCGATCATCGAACAGCGTTCATCTAATTCCTAAACTCGAAAATTCCGCCAATGAAAATTAAATGCAATTGATCATATTCATTCTATTCGCTAAGAATCAATCGTTCTAATAACTGATGCCGTGAGAATCGATATTATTTATTCGATACATTTAAATCACAGTAGGTAGATTGGTCAATAACGAAGTCAAATTTTGTTGTTTGCGTGTATATTGACCATATTTTTTTAATTTGGGTATACTAAATGTATTTGAATAGGTATTGTGAATCCGAATTCGTATTTCGTTAGCATGAAAATTTTACACGTCGAATATTTCATCAGCCAATATAATTTTTTACCAATACAAAGATGATCAATAAATAATATTATATGTATCTATTAAAAAATGGATTTCGATTTTATACATTTTCCACGTTCTTTTCGTTACAATTATCTTGTAAATGTGAATTGCTCAGCTAATAACATCATCAATTTTATCGTATAACACATTTTATATTATTTGCTTCATAAATTTGTTAATAACAGGACAATAATATTTCCCCTGTTCCGAAATAGGTATGCGAATTCTAAACGTATGCCAATGTTGGTACAGAGGAAATAAAATAACAGTGATAAAATTGAGTTAACCGAGTTAATAAATAGGAACAATTTATTGAAGAGAAATTAACAACAAATCACATCTTAAATGAGCAACACACATGCTTCCGCTTCCCTTCTGAGCATTCAATTTAAATTTTCGAAATGATTGTGATTTCGCAGAGGTTAATTATTCGAGTTGCAAATCACGATAACATCCGATTATCGCGGTTTCAACCAGACGAATTATCGCTCGGTATTATCTCATGTTATTTGTTCACTTCTCGCATCGATATCGTCAATAAATCAGAGAAAAGCAAATGATTTTTATGAGTTACTTATCTAAATTCATATATGAGAAAATAACCTGAGACAATTGTTTTCTTTTTGTATAAACATCTAAGGTAAAGATACACATGTGCGATTTGAATTTTATTCTAAAAATACTAAAAGACTTATCATTTATCACATAGGGTAAAACGAAACAACAGGGCGTTCCTTTAAGTCGACTCCATAAAGAATTCCACGCCGAAACATTATTTTTATTTTATTGTATTATGTACAATATCATTTCTACATAGTATAATATTTTATAGTCTATTTCTATATACTTTATCTACAAGCTAGATATGTATATATTTCACTATCAGTAATAATATATATCTACAGCTCAACATACTTCGGGAAGTTTGTAAGTTAAATTGAAATAAATAAATTGGCGTTACGTCACTGTCTTCATTTTTTGATTAATACTTAATCCTAAATAATATAATTTTGAAATACATGCAGGTTTTTAATATGTATATTTATATTGCTTTCTTATTTTATACACATTGCACATTAAGAAATTTTTACATTATTCCGGAAACAACAATTGAATATATTATTTTGTAGCAATCCGTTTATTTCAAGTTTAACTTTAATATTTTCGTTAATTTGTTATAAAAATCTTCTTTAAAAAATTATCTATTATGAAATAGCTATTGAATAGAACTCAACTAGATCTTGATGAAGCAATTTTTACTTCGTTTCTAACGACCTATTTAAATATCTCCTCGCACTAAATGTTAGGGAAACGATCGGTTTATAATGTATTATTGCTATTATTCTTACCTATGGGAGGAGATATTTGTCCGAGGCAGAAACTCTTTTTTTTTTATTATATCATCTTCGATGCAATTATAAAAATTTATAAACCTTAAATTGCAGTCAAAGATCGTCCTAATTTCTGTTTATATAATTCAACTATGTTAAAAATACTTCGGTATTTCTATTAAGTGACGAACAAAGTCCAACTCCCTTTTTGGCTTCAGTTCCAACTCGTTTAAATTGCAGCTTTTCAGGAAAACTACTATTCTCAGGTGATACTTCCGCATTGCCCATTGATAATTCAATCATTCAGAAACACTGGTGTATTATTAATGGGATTTTTAATGCAGTGCATTTCGGACTATATTCTCAAACGTAAGCCCTTCAAAGGAACGTTCATGAAATTAACTTTACGAATTTCAACTAGCACTATTTGGACAATTCGTGTATTTAATGAAATTGCAAAAGTTGCCGAACTGTTCGTGACTAGTTGCCAACTAGGCTGTTAGATATTATGAGGAAATATAACTGTACCTAGCGAACATAATGGCAGAACGTAGAGCTCTCATTTTATTGTAAACGGATTCATGAATTATGAAATAAACGGAAATTTCGGTTAAGGAAATACAGCACACGTCCATACTCGTTCATGAATATAATTTTCTTTACGCAGTTCAAGTGGTAGAATGATTAGACAGCTCTGGCGGGGTTGAGAATTTAAATGGCTGGAAAAATCAATAATAAATACCAAGCATGAATCAATATTTAGCTCATTAGGAGGGCAGTCAAATTTTCTGAATGATCAATTATTTGTCGAATCAACCTCTATAATTTTCTTAAGCGGAGCTATCCTATTAAAAAAGTTGGAACCTTTGTTTCGTCGTCAATCGTTCTGCTATTCTACGCTACAGAGGAAGTAGAGATTATTTTTAATGAATTTCCCTTGAACGCCAATTCTTGCCGAGAGCTCGGTTTCCCTTATTGTTAACGCATTGTTTTATTTAAATTTGTGAACTGTAAACAACAAGTGCGAACACGTCACGTCGCATCATACATTATTTCGTTCGATTGGACATTGGACGTACTTTCTTACTGGACATGTTGAACTGCATTCGCTCTACAAGATGAAGTCTATTTACAAAATAAATCGCTTTTGTTACAAAAATAAATGATCAGTCGTGTTTGTTATTGTAATAGTCACCCCTTTTATTCCAGGAAATAATTTTATCGATCAACAATCAACACTAGAGTGCTGCTGTAGAGTTTGTTAAGTACAGTTTGATTCAGGTTTGAGGAATTGTATAGTCAGACAGGGGAATTGAAATTCCTGGAATAAAACTCAAGTACGAAGGAATCCGCATTGGATGATTTGAGATTGAAGGAAATGCCAACAATATTAGATATAGTACTATGCAAATATGCTGACCGATATTAAAGAAAAAAATAGACAATGTGAAAGAAGGTATAGACAAATTCTGAGTTAATTCAACCATCTTTCATTGGTTTAATATTTTAAAAAATTGATTGGAATGTGACTTTCGAAGTTATTGTTTTGTCAACTAGTTGAGGCCATTCCCATCCCTTAAATTTAAGGGTTACTTAGTAATTAGATTCTCATTTGTATTGTATTTTAAGTAATACTTAATACACTCAGGGAGAGATATATTGTAAATTTTCATCATAATTTTTGTACTCTTATCAATAAATTTTCCTTTATAAATAGGTCTTTTTTATAATAGGTATACATTTATTTAATATTTTTTATAAAATAACAGTAACATGTTTATATAATATTATTGAAACATGTTAACTGTGCGTTTATTTACTATAAGTAGGTACTTACTTTGTATGTGAAATAAATAAATAGAAATATTGAAGAATGAATTAGATTGTAGTTGGTATTAATGTGATTTAAGTAGAATAGTATTATCATAGAAACTTTTGAATTAAAATTAGTCTATATTAAAGTTATTTGGTTAGGTATAAGATAGAGATGAAAGAGTTTATGCATAAAAATATCTTTTTTGTAATCAAACAACATCTATAAAAAATCAATTTCTTTAAATCATTCTAATCTAATAGAAAATAAGACTTATGCCTTGCGGGCTTTGCTGTAAAAATTCATAAAAATTTAACACTATTCCTTATAAAAATACTGCTGTGTATGCACTCGCAAAAATCTATGAGAATCGTCCACAGTAAATAATATTTTTCTAATTTCGTATCGGGTAAATTGAACCAACCACAAGTTGCCAAAACAATAAGTTCCTTGAATAGTTCGGAAAATCTCCATTTACTCATAAACGAAAAAGTCTACCTTAAATTTAAGAAAGTGCGTCCCTCGACCGATCTAAAACGGACATGTAATGTACTCGTACTCGAACATGAGCGACACCGCGACGAACACGAAGTACAGCAAAAACATGGTAAAACCTAGTCCTTTGTTCATCTTCCATCGGAAGCAGGCAATAGACATGATTACGAAGATGAGCATCATGAAGAGGATTGTTATAGAACACACCATACCCACCGAATTTACCTCAACGGGTTTTCCGTAGATGATGCCGAACAGCAACCAAGGCACTGGTAATCTGAAAAACCAAATCCGGTCCCGTCAAGACAGAATGAATATCGAAATCCTTTCATCTTTCTACTTAAAATTGGGATCAATCAAACAATAAAGCATATCGGGGAAAAACATTTTTTACGTACTTAGATTGCAGAGTTTTTGAGGGCTTTTTTTGAGGATTTTTGGATCATTTTAGATGATATTTTTCCATGAATTTTCAGGTATTTATTACCTGACTTTTTTAATTAATTATACTAACACTTTCATACCTACTACCTACGTGTAAAGTAGATACAACATTTACCCATAAACAAAAAATTTCTTTTAAACGATTTGTGCAAGTTTGTATAGAGGAACGCGGTATTGATAATCTAAATATAACTCATTATAAATTAAATCAATATTAGAATGAATACAGACTTATAATTCGAATAACAATTTAATGTTGGTTCATTACGAGGTTGGAAGGTAAAAAATATAGAGAAGATAATAACCTATTTTTGTAGAACTACAATACGGGAATTGATACGTTATTTGAAGTTTGTTACCTGATATCAATTGAAATTGAAAATCAATAAAAAAAGCTCCAGAATATTTACACAACTATGTACATTGTAAATGTGTGCATACAATTAAGTATCTAAGATTGTAGATAAATTTGTTAGAATTTTCCAAACACACACTAGTAGAATAAATTTAAAGAATGTAGAATAAAATATCCCTAGCGGTAAATTCGCAACCTGTTATAACAGGGCGTATATATTGACAATGATGAATGTCCATTAGTTTTGCCCTAGTCAACTTCCGCACAAATCGCAAAAGTAATTTCCTAACCTCCCGGCCATTATCTTGACCGGCCGTTATCGCACTCGACCGCCGGTCTTTCGTGCAACATTCGATCGATTCCAGCGCTCACGCCAAGAACTTAACGCTGCAAATTATACTCCGGAATTTTCCGGGCTGTTTTAACGCCGAACCCGCCGGGCTATCGGCATGGCCCATCATCCGCCGAGCCTCGAAAAGTAATCATTTAGGCTCGCCCGCTTTATGAAATTCCATCCCTTCATCTGCACTACAGCGCGCCCCGATATCTGCAGTCGCAGGATATTTATGAAGCAGGTTACTTACCCGACGGTAACATCGAAAATGTTACTGCCGACTGATGACGAGACAGCCATGTCACCGAAACCCTTCCTGGCGACGATCACAGACGTAATGAGGTCCGGTATGGACGTGCCGGCCGCCAAAAACGTGAGACCCATCACTTCTGGCGGTATCGCCACGGTTTCTCCCACCATATTGGCCCACCAGACCATCAGGTAGGAGTACGCCGCTATCCACAGGATGCTCCCGATGAACGTTACCGGGAAGAATTTCTTGCCTGCGACACAAAAGCGGATAAGTTGGCGGACGGTTCTTTGGAATAGATTGTATAATGGGATTGATGATGGATGGACGTGCGAGGAAAATGTTACGGTCCTTGTGGGAATGCTATTTCTCGCAATTTCGAGGCGCTGCGTATCGATTTTCCTATAAGGAAACTTGGAGTTTGTAATAAAAGTCGTGGTGCTTTGAACATTCTCGTAGTATTTCTGTAGACTTTTGGATAGGTGCCTAATTAAGCTGGCATTAGACGAATTGAATTTGAAGATAAATTCGCGAAAGAAAATGTGGTGTTTAAAATATTCTCATCATATTTCTGTAGAATTTTTGTTAATTAAGCTATCATTTGCGATGTAATAGAATGTACATTGTTTCAGTTTTCTTCTCGAAAGCGGATTGTGTACATTTCTAGAGTAATTAAATATTCCTCGAGCACACAAATTTTCCAACAACGGGATTTCCGTACTCACTAAAAGCCTTCTTTTAGTCGCGGAAATTCTTTTATTACGACTTTTTTTTCATTAATGGATCGTTTTCCGTCTTCAGATAATTTACCATTTCAACGGCTTAAACTTAAACACAAGCAAAGGTAAATATAGGCTCGAATTTCGCTTGAGTGCTCCGTTAGGATTCAATTTCAACATTGGATTAGTCAGAATTTCCCCGATTCTATAAAATCCTCACCACCGTAAAGTATATTATTTACCTACATAGAACTTGCGTAGGATTGTGTACCATCAAACTAATGAGGTATTCGATTGATGAAATGTAGAAATTTGCCACACCCCAGCCAACGCGCAAATTCCACTGGAAATTTCCAACAATATTTCCCGTATCAAAAGACGAAACGACGTGTTAATTTCGCCGCCTATTCCATGCATCAAATTTAACCAACTTCGCTCGAAAAGGCCTTTAACAAAAAACCTAAGTGGCCAGGCTAATTTTCCAATTTCGACTTTAATTACGCCCCGTACGAATTCCCGCGCTTTGGCAAAAAATCGCGACACTTTACCGTGAAAGGATTACGATCCTTTCTGCTCGAGCAGAACGCTAACGCGTTTACGAACCGAACCGGAGGAAAAACAACGTCGGAGAACAAAAAAAAAAAAAACTAAAAAGTCATTCGGCCACTGCAAGTCGCCCGCAACCGCAAAAGAAAAGCGTACGAAGGGATAAAACAAACTTTCGAAACGCGGATTTGTAAGGAGGAAGTTGCAGGAAACCCACGCGATCATTATCGTTCGCTAAATCCCGCTGTCAATACATCCCCGCCAGGATAAATTGGGGCGCTGAATTTCGAAAATATACAGGGTGTTAATTAATAAGTGCCACAAACTTTAGGGGGTGATTATGCATGAAAAAATAATGATATTTTGCTATATAAACATGTCCGCAAAATGCTTCGTTTTCGAGATATGGGGTGTTAAAGTTTCTTCTTAAAAACAATAAAAACTGAAGATTTATTTATTTCTCTGAAACCAGATGAGATATTCAAATGAAATTTGGTGGGTTTTGAGAGGTAACTATTACGCATTTTTTGACATAAAATTAAAAATTTTATGTTCATCATTGACGTGCATACGGGTAATAATAATTTTTTTAAGAAAAAAATAATATTGGTACGCCACCGAGGCATTTTTATTGAAAATTCAATTATGAATGAATTCCTCATTCAATTTATGACAAAAAAACTCACTTGTGTTTTTTTCATACGGGCCGCTGTTTTCGAGTAAAAAAATAAAACATATTGACGTGTATATTTCATTTGTTCAATACACGTTACCTATAGTAGTGAAGAAACTTTAACACCCCGTATCTCGAAAACGAAGAATTTGCGGACATCAAAATACAGCAAAATATCTTTATTTCTTTTAACTTTTTTCTCTTCAATTAACACCCTGTATATTCCGGCACATATCTCATCAATAATTCTTCCCATCGACTTCTCTATTATACCATCAAAATACCATCGCACTTATTAAGTAACACCCTGTATAGCCTTCAATTCAGCAATGTATAGAAAGTTTTGAAAAGGGAACTAAGGTGTTTAGAAAGAGTCGTGTTGTTAGGAAATGGTAGCTCACCTCTGGGCGATCTCGTATCAGGCAAAGTAAGCCATAATGGGAAGACAATGGGTGCCAAGAGAACGTACGTTACTCTTTTGCGGAATCCCGAAGGCCAGCTGATGTCCATCGCCTCGGGAGGCTCGTCTTCGCCGCCGTCCCCTACCTGCAGACATACCACCGCCTGTGAGGTCAGCGACTTACGAGCGCGTACCGACGACATGCGTCGCTAAAAAACCAAAAAAACCGCTTAGTATTAATTTCAAATTTTCGAAAAACGGACTGACATAGAACCACGGCCGTATATTTCTAAGGTCTGGAAACATCCCGTGCTTATGCATTAGAGAATGTGCCCCGTTGTTTGAAGACTTTTTGAGCTTCACTTTTGCGCCGCACCGTGGCGAACGATCGGAACTTATCTCAACCAATCAGCGTCGCGCTGCGTATAAATCGCGGTTGTGTGATGACAGTTCGAGCTGTCAAAACTTCAAAAGCTATTATTTGACATTTCGAGGAGAAAATGGAGAAATACAATAACCGAAGATACGTGAGGCATGATGTTAACAACAAAATCATCGCTAATTTAGGTATATTTTTTTATTTCGTATCTATTTTTAGTTTGAATATCTTTCTTAATGCTTATTTTATATAATCCGTACGTAAAAAACCGTGGTCCTTTACAACATCGCCTCCTAGCGACCGTTTTAGGAACCCTGTTTTATCCTCAAATAACGGGACACTTTTTCGACCTATATTTCCAGACCTCGTATATATATAGGGCCGTGCATAGAACCCAGTACGGCACATATCTACGTACGCCGTAAATAAATGTCTTTATAATGTTGCGAAATGGATGTTCGGGAGGCGGAATTTATGTTGTACTAAAGCGCTGGGATGCTATTGAGACCGGTAGGAATAGGTGATAAAATATAGGGCTACCTGGTCGGGAAATCGACTGATGGGACAGGAGAAAACGCGCGCAAACGCGTGAACTCCAACAGGATGAGGCGAAGAATAGCGGGAAGGAAGTTCGAGCCTTTCAGATTTCAGTTCTTACTGCTCGGTTGACGCGAGCGATCTTTGTTCGCTCCATTTCTAAAGCTTTTGTTTGCAACGAGCGACCGATCTTTCAAATTCACACAATTGAATTTAACGAAAAACGCGAGGTAATACTTGAGCTACTCAAAATCCTTCTATATTTTGGACAAAACTCTCTAATCGCAAGGTTCTGTTCTTCGCGAGACATTCATTTACAGCGTAAAACACCGAAATATTTATACAATAGCAATTTGCCTGACAAATAGAGCACTCGAAACAAACACATGAAATCGTTTTATAACACAATCGAATTACGCGATAGGAATCAAACGGAGCCCGTTTGAGCGCCCTACCTGTAATAGAGCCAGATAACATCCCTATACACTCATTGTTCGACGGGATTTAAACGTAACTCCTGAATATTTTCGAAGCGAAACGCCCAAAGGATTGTAAAACTATTAAAAATGATGGTAAACGAAGTTAAGAAGTATGTAAAGTTGCATTAGAAACATTTCTGCGAGGGATTGCTCTGTTAATTTACAGTTCTGTTATAATTATAGAGCATTTTCTACTAGATACGAATGCAATGATTTACTAGTAAACAAGAAATGCGATTCGAATGGAAACGGCTCCTGCGAATTAGGTAAGAATCTACTGCAACGTAAATATGTCGGACTTCACTGCAGCATAAATCGCTGCCGGTGATTTGAAGTTCTTGATCGAATTTACGGCCCGTTTTATTTCATAATGTACCGAAATCTGGGCTACCTGCCAACTATCTTTTCAGGGCGTCTTTCCTTATAACTTACAACGAATGCCCAGAAGTATTAAATGAAACTGGGATAAGGAGATTATTTGTAATATTTAGGAGTTCGTTTAAATCGTTAAAATATTGTGAAGTGTCGTGAAAAAGTGGAGTTTCTAATAACACTTTTTCACTAAACTTGCTCATTTATTAGCCAATTAACAACAATTTAGTAACACATATCTAAATGATAGTAATAATTTATATCAAACTCCGGAATGCTTTGTAGCAATCAGAGATAGAGTAAACAAGATGTCACCCACTACAAACAGCTTCTAACTGGTTTTTTTATGTACAGGGAACGTAAAAAGCGATTTGTTAACATCTACAATTCGACTACGAATACGAACTATGAAGGTAAAAAACGGGTACTAGATACAGCTTCATGCAGTCGTCTCGTTATACAGTGGTCGATTTTCTTAACGCTCTAAATGGGGTTCGGGTATACAAATAGCAAGATCTTGAAACAAATACTAATAGTAGAGAATTGATGCTGCAAAAACAAACCAATTTAGTGAAAAAATTCAACAGATAGCTGCATACTAGCACACAGTGATTTCGTGGATTCGTGTACTAAGCGTTGAACACAGATTTCTAATTACATCGATGAGATCGTAGGTACTTTCGTACACAAATTGCAATGAACAATATTACATTAAGGATAGAATAAGTATGGAATGTTCAGCGCTTCGCATTCGTTGTTGTTCAATAATCCTGTAAACTATTAATTCAGCCCTGCTACTCTAATGAGTTTAGCTAACTATTCCTGAACGCATGAAACCAATTAGATTTTCGAATCACCAGCGTATATAAACTTTGTTAATAATCAATTACCTAATCCATTCATTATAACAAACATTTCCGTATTAATACGACGAAATTTACTGTGTACAGAATTTCCTTATTTTTCGTATTCGCAATCATAATTTAATCCGGCCTGCGAGACAAAACACGCGCAGGCACTAATGCGGACGCCGCGGAGCGAAAAGAGAAATTTCGGGAATCTTTAGCGCCGGCATAACTTTTAATTAGGCCGAACGCCTCCCGGACTCCGAGCCTCCGCCAGGAACTTTTCCGCAGTCGTTACGCTTTTTGAATCCGTTAATTAAGTTCGGGACGCGCACGACGCGTTATCCCCGCAGGACGCAATTCCTCGCCCATGGAGACATTTTTTCCTGACATTTCCTTTCTAACCAGCCTCTCTCCATTACAGGGAAATCTAGCTATGAACAAGAATTAATAAAGCACCGATATTTCTTCTTCTTTTTCCTGTAGATTGATGTCCTCTTACTTTTGTAGACAACCAACCAGTTGTAGAATCAAACGAATTTATTACTAGATAAATATTAATCCCCACAGGATGCAAATTCTTGGCCAAAGAGACATTTTTTCTGACAATTCTTTCCTAAGCAGCATCTCTCCATTACAGGGAAATCTTGCTATAAACAAGAATTAATAAAGCACCGATATTTCTTCTTCTTTTTCCTGCAGATGGATGGCCTCTTACTTTTGTAGACAACCAATCAGTTGTAGAATCAAACGAATTTATTAAAAGATATAATTTTATGCACGAAGGGCGCAAATCCTCGCCCATAGAGACATTTTTTCCTGTCATTCCCTTCTTAATCAGCCTTTCTCCATTACAGGGAAATCTAGCTATAAACAATAATCAATGAAGAACCGATATTTCTTCTTCTTTTTTCTGCAGATGGATGTCCTCTTACTTTTGTAGACAACCAACCAGTTGTAGAACCAAACGAGGATAATGGATAAAAATTGAGTGAAAACTCCAAATACCAATCCCTAACATATCTATAACAAACCGGTTGGAAATAAACAACAATCGAAGGCCTTCGGATAATCGTATCAATAAAATCGAAACGGTTCGAGGTCTATATTTCTTTGTCGGATTCCTTAATCGAGTAGAGTTCTCCTAATGATACAATTCCCTTTGTCAAAACACACTTTTGTCGGGGAATATCCGTTACACTCTATATCGGGCCGCTCTTTAGAAACGGGGCCCATAGAAAGCAGAAAGCAATATCTCACGAACGTCGCGGCCTTTAAACGTCTGGCCCGTATCGATTCGCCGGCGTTTCTTCAAGAAGAATCGATGGACACTTATTAATTTAATCCGGATGAGTTCGTCCGGAGGCTGGGGGCTGACCTAAACATATTTCTTATCGGCACGTTATGAATAGGTTTCGATTTTAAGCCGCTTTCCATTAGCCAAACGTCCTTGTTTATGCGGAAAATCTTTGAGTTGGCAACTTTTATGGAGTACCAGCGAACGTAATTTATACTGAAAGTGTTTCAATTTCCGGGATCCGCTCGCCCGGAATTACACGGCTCGCTTTTTGGGAGGTTTTGCGTTAGTTTCCCGTGGATTTCGCGAAAACTCCGGTGATTTATTGAAGTAAATTCGAATCGAATGCATCTCGAGTTGATGGCGATTCAGAAGCTCCGCTTCACTTACCTGATTACATATTTTTATACAACTAATTACCGTATAAAAAACACGTAATAGAATGCCCGGAAACTGCGATTAATTATTCGAGTTTTTCGTTTAAGAATTAAGATGAATTTTTGATGGGCTTTAATAATTCTTTATGAGAATTCTCAAAGTGCCTCTTATAAAATTCATCAGGGAATTTATCGCGTCCCGAAACGCTGAATTATTTATAAAAGCTCACTTTAATTTGAAATTTACTACAATAAAAATGACCCATACACTACGTTTGATCGAATCTTGTGTGTAGTGATTTATTGATGAGTTGATACTACGGCATAATTATACAAAAAGCTTTAAAGCGCTGATTTCAAATGCTAGTCAAGCTAAAATTACCTTAATATTTATAAATCGGAAACTAGCCCAATCAGTGTTGATTCAGAATAAAATATACAACAAATTTTTATGTTAGTGCTGGTTAAATGTAAATTGCGCTACAGTCCTAGCGATATATTTCTGAGAAATATTAAAATGGCGAATTTTCTGATATATCGCCGGGACTACAGGAATAATCTACTTATTTAATTTGAAAATCTACGGAAAATCAGAATATTTAAATTTTGATTTAGATGGAATCAATAAATTCAAACATATAAACAATAGAATTTAATAAACACAAATAATCTAAGGATGGTTTTGTTACTAATAAAATTGTAACACTGTTTCCATAAAAAAGAAAATGAAATCTTGACAATAAAATATTCTGATTGTTGTATCAAAATAGTTAACTTTTATCGGGAATTGAATTAGTTTTTCATAAAGTACTACTATTGCACAACATTAATAAGATAAATTAGAAATTTTTTTATGTAAATTATGTCTTGGTGTTAGCTATTGCAGGTATATATCATCTTTTGTACCCGTATGATTTTAGTAGTAGATTCTTTTGGATAGCTAAGGAGTATTGTATAGGTTTAATTTGTATGCAGCTGTCTTCAATTCTTTATGTCATGCGATTTAAAATTTATCGCCAAACATTCTGAAATTACATAGATATTACTACTCAATTGTCGCTCCAATGGGAAGTATTAGAAAGTTAGGCCATTGGAAGTTTTCGTGTTTAAAAGTTTTTTGCGATAACCATTTTTAATGGAATACTGAATAAAAGTGTTAGTAAGAATCTTGATACTAATGCTAAAAATATTTTTGTAATATAGATTTATGGAATTTCTTAAATAATTTTATCCACAATTGAGTAGTAACACACAGAGAGTTTAATATAGTATTGTTGAAAAATGAAAAAGGGGTGTAACATTCATAGGAAATTTAATTGAGCAGGGGTCTTTTACATGAACCATCAACCAAATGAACAAATAACATATTCAACGTTTAACAAAGAACACCAAAGACAAAAAACTTACAATTTGTTTAAGTTTCCATGGATATTGCTATTTTTCAATAAATACAACGCAGTAATACGTTTTTAACTATTTTGTTTTTGTAACAGAATTTCCACAGGAATTCATTTCCTAAATTTGACACTGTAAATTCTGTTACAACATTTCAACAATCATTCTGTTTAATCATCATTTTACTGGTTAATAAAATAGTTTTACTGTGTACCTATGATAACAGAATAATTGTTACAATAAATGCACCTTGATTCTAATTTTGTTTCACTCTTTGTTTTCATAACTTCATCAACATAACTCATTAAAACAACGTGGAATTAATAGCAAATCTCTATTTGAAGTCCTTAAAATATCACCCATAAAAGGATAATTTTTGAGAGACGTTACAAAAAAAACAATCTATTCCAGAATCTCTCTGCTAGATTTACAACTGCTTTAATAATCATGCCGATAAAGTCCACCATCGTACGAACCTGATCACTGCAGTGACATTAAATTTAGCGAAACAAAGAGTAATAAACGCTCATTGATTGGCGAGCTCTATGAGCGGCGTTCCATTAAAATCGTAAACCTACACATTTATAATCGTCGAATAAACGCAACGAACGACTTACCGCATCCAAATTGATGTCGGTTAAGGCATTAGCGACCCCATTAGGCATATCGGCCATGCCCGCCGGTGCAAGCATCGTCTCTTGCTTGGTCGCCATGTTAATGTGGTTGGCTGCTGATGTTGTTGTAGCGCCGTTTTGGGGTTTCGTGGCGTCGAGGAGCACCTTCAGCGACGCTATGGCGTGCAGTTGCGTCGCTTTTTCATCGACTTTGCCTAAAACCAATCGATTTAATCGGATCTTTTATGGTGTACACCATTGAGCATTGAATGGACTTGTTGATGGTGATGTTAAAACTTTAGCTTTAGAGTGATTAAAAAGTTACATTATCTTGTATTTTACTATCAAGCATTTCCATTCAATGGTAGAAATATACAAAGTATATTCCAGAAGTTCCTAGTAACCAATTTTCAATAAGTGGAAGAGGAACTTCTTGGAACAGATCTTGTATATTCTTCTCTTGATTATATATAACACGATATATTAAGAATTCAACAGTAACTTGAAAATACTTCAACCATTAAATTAAATACAATAATTTATTACTGCTTTGTAGTTATGTATCTCTAACATTTTCAATTAGTTAATGCTGCTTTCCATTTAAATTTCTCACAATATCTAACATTTAAGTAAAAACGAAATGAAGAAAAATGCACAAACAAATATTTAGTAGATTTGTAGAAGAATAGGTGTTAGTGAAATGAAGATCTTTGTTTTCTGTAAATGTATTGTTTTAACTTCCAATTAATAAATTATCCAGTTAGTATCACGATTAAATAACCTCAAATAAGTGGTACTTATTAATAACAAGGAATAATATGATCAGCTAGTAATATATGTAGATCTACTGGGCTTCGAGTGATTTCGCATTAGCATTTTAATGCCTTGTCATAGTTTTGCGTTCCGCATCCCTTCTCAACGTTAATTATTTCTGTTGGAAATTTCCATTACTCCCGTCTTGCTGGAAATTAATCTTTCAATCTTTATACAACAACTGCTCTTGGAATTGGACTTTTTTTAGTGAACTTGTGCATCGTTATGCTCGACTCCTATTCCGCTTTGTATATTAACGTTGTATTAGAAAACCTTTCTGTTTTATTGAAAAATATTAACTGGAAAGATATGCGATTTGAGTTATCGTATAATAACATCATTATTTTAGATCTTCTACTTCACTGTTTTAAGAAACGAAATGATTATGTACAAGATATGAATTTTGCGATTTATGTACACATTAATGCCTAAGCGTTGAATTTATATTCGTACAAATTAGACATACAATATTAAAAAAAAACACACGTAGGCATTACAAAAAATTTGGTAACATTCACATTAAACACCAGTGGATTGAGTTCAGTATAAACGTGAGAGATATAACGACAACAAATAACCAATCAAGTCATATCTACCTTTACCACACCAGTTATACAATGCCACAAATCTACGAAACATCGAAATATTTGAAAAAGAAAATCATACGAACTACCTGCATACTGACCATCGTGCAAAGGATCGATCGTGTGGATCATGAGCTGAAGAAGCCCGTGCCGGAATTTCGCCCCTGTGTGGTGGTGACTCGTCGACGGCTGCACTTGGGGCGTCTCGGACGCCGTCCTGGACGTGACGCTGCCGCCCGGCTGCGTCCCGACGCTCGTCTCGCTCGATGTCGCTACTGTACCGTGCTGCAAATGAAACGAAAAAACATTACTCTTAAATTACTAATTCATATCGCTAGGTTCCTCGAGAAAATTAAGTTTTCTATGTGTAATATCGCATGCAAGCTAGAGTAGAGTATTATTTTTATAAAGGGTGATGATGAAGTGAAGATAATAAGATGAATTTAAGTATCTATACAAAAACCGAGTAAGGGCAATTACGTTTAGTACCTAATGTTATATGCAACCTTAGCGAAAATTGAAACCAAGAGTAATAAATCACAAAGTGTACGGTGAAACGTTCGTAATAAATCGAGTATTTGATCGACAGGTTAAATAAATGATCAGTTTTAAAGGAACTGAATTCGAGCTGAATTAGCAACTTTATATTTGTGAAATTCTAGGGTATTTTGTGAGCGCTTTTAATTGCATATCGAGCTTTCACGACAGCGAGTTTTCGAACTTTACGACTGGTGGAAAGCTTATTCAAATTCATTTACTTTATGCATTATATCGCCTATTATTAGTACATCGTAAAATAGTTATAGTGAGTCTATTATAAGCGAAAGGTCATTATTTTAAACGATATTAAAGAAACGAACTGACATTTGCACGCATACTTCTATAATTTATTGTCAGTTTTAATGTTTTCCATAAAACATGCAAGCTTAACAGATGTTTCTCGGTTTTTTTTTATCATCGAGTTTAATTTTGATCGAATTAATTTAATTTTTGAACGCAATTAAATTCACCCCGTCGACTCGCCCCAAGGTTATCTCTAACTAAAACTCGCTAAATTTGAAAGATTTTAAATCCGTCTAGCGAAAATTTATGCACGATTATCGAGATTAGAATAGTTGAGCACTAAACGAGCAAAAATTTATATCCTCCCGTTCGCAAACGTAAATCATATTTCCCCGTCCGAAAGAAAAGCCTTTAGGAATTGGAAGTATATGCGATTGGTGAAACGGTTTTATTTAAAATCGAATTGATTTTCCTCCTCTGCGGCACAAGGACAGAATGAATATCAATTACGGCGTTATTGTACTGATAACAAAAGCGAATGGTATTTATCTGGCAGGGTCCTGCGTCAGCGCCCTAATTCGGCAAAACCGTTTTTCAACTCGAAGTCCCATGAAGAAGGAATGCATTGAACGTCTGGAGAATTTTTTTATAATGAAACTAATAACAAGTGTATCCATGGATGGAGTTTTTCTGTTTTTAATGATTTCTCTCGCACAAAATAACTCACAAATTTTTCCAAGAGATAAAAAGCTCGTACTATATGGTGCATAAACTTTTGTGTACCTTTATGCCAGCTATTAAATTTTGTTGCACCGTTAGTAGCAGGACCAAATTGCAGGCATTCTCTATGACAATACCTGCCAGTTTGTGCAGTTTAATTTTATGAAAATTCCAGTAAATTCATACATTTATAATCGCCTCGAAACGGCTCTATACAGAAACGACGAGTTCACAACGCATTTTATCTAACCCCGTTTCCCCGCTAACGTATGTCCTGCTCGCAGGAAATAGCCGAAAAGGCGATAATGCTATATTTTTCCGCCCCGTTTTCCTTACGTCACGTGTACCGGATAACGTCAAAAGCTTTAAAATCTTCGCGATTAACCTCGTTTTCGGCCCTCCCTGCAGCCGTCGTGACGAGGATTTCCCTCTTTCCAAGCTTTGGGGAATTATACGTTCTATACAGTAATTGCATTTCGGGCCTCAAAAAAGAATTCCCCGCGAAGCGTTGACGAAGAGCGGAGAATTTTTTATAACAGCCCACCATCTAATGAGTTTGCTTTGTTTAATATTAACGTATATAATTGGGATTTAATGCCCGGGAGTTTAATTCGAATTATTTGCGTTAGTACTGGGTTATTTAATTTCTTGTGGATATAAGATTTGTATGCGTTTTATTTACTGATGATTCATTAGTTTAGGAAGGTATAGTTTGAGATGTGACACCGCAATAATTCCACCACCAATTGGGTAAATAGTTAGTCGAATATTGCCTAAAATATTCCCACATCTACCCGGGAATCCGGCAATCTGCAGGGCGAGAATGCCCGGCATTAGACCGGCGGATTCGCAATCCGAGGCGACCGGCCCCGTCTTGCGGCGGCGGCGGAATAATCGGCGTCCCGACGCCCGCTCGCGGTTCGGTTCGGCGTTGCACTTGTGCGGCCGGTCGCGGAAATTCGGGAGCCAAGGTCCTTCTGGAGCGCCGATCGATGGGCGCTCGAAAGGACCACGCCGAGGAAGACGGTCCCGAAACCCCCAACTGGATGACCTAAATAAAGGGAATCCGGTCGCGGTTTTTTTTCGAATGCCATCTGGCAAAAGGGTGAAACAATCGGATCGTTAAACGTCAACGTTTGATGTGCACAATTCAAATTGGGTATTCGATTTTATTTGCTCTGATTTTGGAAATTCGCGAAAATGGCCGCGCAATGGCACCACCCCAATTTGGTGAAGATGTTCGGCGACGAGATAACCGATTATTTGGAAAATACGTGTTGGGTAAAGTGCACAAAATTTCTACTCACTAATCACTAACTATTTTTCCGGATAGAATCCCCCGAAACCGCCGGAATTGGAAAAGAAAATAACGTATTTCAACAACACTTCGACCCACCACAGGACCAGAGAATACGACCTGTACTTCGCGTTCACGAAGGTGTTTCCCCTGTGGGACCAGCGGAAGAACAGGTGCAACAGAATGTTCATTCCGGACGTACGAGAGAACATTTTCGAACAGGTAATTACTGTTTACGAATAGCCAGCGGAATTGATGACGATCGGTCAATCTTGCATTAGGAAAAGCACAAGCAATTTCCCGTCGTTACGTCGATGATCTACGGCAGGCCCTGCAGGGTTCCCTACGATACGTCGGAGCCGGCTTTTCGCAGGGCGAACGTAATGGCCGATTTCAGGAGGAGAACTGGCGTAATGATGGTTAAGGAAAGGAAACCGGTGTAGATAAATCCCGGTGATGTGTGGTACTTTTAAAATTGGCTTTAGTAATATCGAAATTTCTATTAAACAAAATTACTCAAAGATTTTGTGAAGTTTCAAATCATTAACGCAAAAAACCGTCCCTTTCAAGCCCCGCGAAAAAGTTCTGTCGCGTTGTCTTCGAGTTTATTAAAATCCCTTCCATTATCGCAGATGATTAATTCCCACCGTTACCGCCCCGTCGCATTCAATTTAAGCGATGATTTATCCTGTTTCGCATTAAAAATTTACAGCGCCGCTTTGATGCAGCATCTTCGATGCGAACGAATCGCCGTCGGGTCGGAGGGTGAACATTTCTTGAACCTAGATTGAAATTTCCCCGCGGGTCGGGGTTTCGAACCCGATTTACCATCGTTATCCTCGAGTCGAGAGCCATCCGACGGGCCATCAACGAGCGATATCGGACGGACCCGGAGTTAGAGTAGGTGACACATGGACGGGCACAATAGCGACTTATTTCCCTCGTAAAAATAACGGAAAAGGCGCTAAAAATATTCCACGATTTTAACGGCAACAACGGGCAAACAAAAAAACCGTCATCGAAACGACCAAATGTAATCAATACATTGTCAACAGCGGGTTGCTTAGAAATTTATAAGCTAATTACCCGATTGCTTCCTGATAGATTGTTTCGTTTTCGTTCGAATGAAGATCTACTTTTACGAATAAATATGTTATCGAGCTTTCAGTGAATGCCACAAAAAAAACGTATTTATTACGGGAATTTTGAATTTCAACAATTTCATTACAGCTATCATTTACAGGAAATCTCCGCGCTCCTGTTACGTCGGTTAGTTAGCAATTTTTTTTGCGCTAAAAAATAATGAAACTTTCAGCGAGCAATTAAAAACGACGCGCTTCTGTTGCACCGAACAATTCAGGGCGATTTATCCAGTGAAAAGGTCACTGTAAAGAGCATTTTTAATTACCGACTCACAGAAAAACCATCAAGTTCACCTTTACAGCGTATTAAAGTCATACATAACTGATTATTACCGCTCCGCCGGATCAATAAACACTTAAACTGTTTTCGACTGGAATATTGTAGAAGTTATTTCCATTTAATACGCATTCCCAATGTTCCATATCGTATACAATGCGAGTAAATGTTTAATGTCAGAGACGCCCTCCCTAAACTACGAGTACAACAAAAATGTACCAACGGATATTCATTCGAATGGGCCCGTTTTGAATTCCTACGTTTGCAGGACGAAAATATTTCACTCCTTATTGTCGAGCGAAAAGAAGTCGAAAATTTCGGAATAAACTCCCGAACGGCGAACAAAACGTCGAGCTATCGATTTTTATTGCGGCCTCTCTCCACTGGGGCATGCAATCCTGGAACGGGGTTAAAAGCGTCGGAAATTTCAAGATCAAAATATTCAAGTTTGCCCGCCCGCGTACCGGCCGTAATGCAATTTCAATGGGACATAATCCTCTGTCGGAAATGTAAATGGCGCGACTTCAGTTCCGTTTAATTAAATTCGAGTAGTTGATTGTGTTGTGCACGTAGCGGCGGCGCCGAGCCGGAAAAATGGCCGGCGAAATGTGCGGTTCGAATTAATAATCCGCGCCCCGGCGGGGTGGATTTTTGCGGGCCATCCGCGACGATAATCCGGCGACGTTGAAGGATTCCATTTACCCTGATGGCCGGGTCCTAATGGAAACACTCCCCGTGCTCGTCTCTTAACGCTCCTCTGATCCTTGTAAATAAATCGCTAAACAGGAATAAAAAAAACACCGGATTTCAGAGACATTGCGCGTCAACGCTTGTTGTTATGCAAACTCGCCGTAGAATTTCGTGGTAAATTTATGGAATTAACAATCGCGCTATCAATCAATCTGGATGTGCCAAATAGGGTCTTTGGAATCCAGATCTGGAAAAGTTGTTTCCGACTTGGAAGGGTTTGGAATATTTAAAAGCTCCAGGGATCGATGGACTCCCCGGCCGAAGTGATGCTGGTAATAGGTGGGAATTGATTTTTAGACTATTTGGAATTTAATCCTAACGAAAAGAAGTCTAACATGTAGTTATTACACAGGTTTCTCATTTTGTTTGAAACTGTTATTATTTGCAATCGATAAAAAATCTGCGTAACACGTTTTTCATTAATGTAACACCAAACCGGCATAGCATGCATGCCAATTCATTTCAGTCCTTGCGAAACAGAGAAATGTAGAGAGAACATGCACATTTAGACGTTTCGAATATAAAAAAACACGAATTACACCAGAACAGTTAATGCAAAATTATATCAGAAAATTACTGAACTCGAACAGGATAAACAATTTTGCATTAGACCTACTTTTTTACTGCCAAAGAGGAGAAATTCGGAAATATACTTAGCGGAAAACCTACGTCAGTATAATAATAAGTTCAGTCGCATTTTATTCGGGTACTTCAGTATCTACTAATGCAAGAAATCGTATGTTACATACAACAAGGATGATAACGGATAGAAGAGGTAACAACAAAGGAAGGCAACAGTATCAAATACTCTACTGACCTTGTTGCTGTCTATGATACTGACTGAAGCAGACTGAAAATAAAAAAAAATATTCATTAATTAGTTAACGAAATCAACGGCACGTTTAACTTCCCTGCAACAACAACAAATCGATAAAATCCATCTCTCGAAGGCTCCCATTATAATTATTTTATCTCGTGGTCTACAGGTATTAAAATATTCAAAACGACACAGTAAATGCTTCATTCGAATGAATAAACCACGAGGGTTTCTAATTTCGATTATATTTACCCGAATCCCCGATTCAATTAACCGATTGCAAATCCATCTAAACGGCAATTTATTGTGGTCTAAATAAATTTAACTTTGAAGGAAGTTGCTTCGGCGGGTTAAAAAACTTCCCCGAAAAAAATTAACGTTAAATCGACGCGCAGCGGTTGGTGGCACGCGATAGAATTGTAAACAATAGGGTGGAGTTTGTGTGTTCGATACAACAAATATTCATATTAATGATATTAGGTACACGGAATGACTGTGTAAACCCCATTCGTCGGGACGGAATGGGGACACGTGAGGATGTGTGATTAAAATCACTGGCGAAGTCAGGTCATCGGTTATAAGGAAACATCTTGAATAAATTATGTAGAAAATATTTACTAAAATCGATTCTCTTGGGTAGTTAATTGACTTTCTTGGGTAAAGAATCTCTTCTCTTTGGTAGATAATTGACTCTCTTGGGGAGATAATAAACTCTCTGGGGAATATAATCGACTCTCTTGGGTCAATAATATATTCTCATTGGTAGACAATTGAGTCTCTTGAGTAGATTATTGATTGTGTTAAGTAAATAATTGATTCTCTTGGGTAGGTAATTAATTGACTTTCTTGTTCAAAGAATCGATTATCTTAGTTGACGTAGTTGACTCTTGAGTCGATTCTCTTGGAGATAATTGAGTTTCCTAAGTAGATAATTGATTCTCGTGGGTAGATAAATGACTTTCTTGAGTAGATTGTCTTTCTTGTCTGTCTTTCTTGTCTGTCTTTCTTGATTGTCTTACCAAATAAATAACTTTCCTGATTAAAAAATTACAATATTGTTGACGTAAAACTAACTATAATGTTCCATATTCCATCCTGAATATAATGTTATAATTAATTTCCACGTTTTGATAACCTTCAATTTTAATGAAATTTAGTGCCAGAAACTCGATTAGCAAAGTAAAAGTTAATTTCGAGTACCTACGCGAAAATCGTCAACCGTGCTACAAACTTAATCCAGTCGATTTGTGAATGCAACGTCGGGATTTGAGTTGTGGTCTGCATCGTAAAGTGCATTAATAATGTCATACAAGTGTTTGCGAAATGCGCGTTTTGTACGTCGTTATCTGAAAACCTAGTTTGCTAACAAGTTGCGTCGGCGGAAAATTATATACAAAGCGGAGAAAAGTTTTGTAGCATAAACATAATGCTTTAGACTAAATTTTCATCTCTCGCTAAACTATGAATGATTATTAAAAGGGTCTATATAATGTAAATTAGTTGCAATTTTTTTTTAGTTTATTTACTACTTTCATCAAATTTATGCATTACCTAATAAAAATAGGTAATGTATGAAATTCTATAGGTGTTGCCGTAAAAGCACTTTCCTTATAACCGAAATATATAAAATTCCATTCGTTATGCATATTATGTTTTACACATTGGAACGTTTTATGTTCCGATGGAAAAACAAATGGAATGGCTTCTATCGTTACCTAACAAAAAACTCATTTTACAGTCGCGACATTAAATTTAAATAAAAGACGCAACGAAGCCGAATTAATAAGCATTATTTCATGAATATGTACGCATGAAACGGTTTCAACGCCTTTTTTAAAGCTTGTATATTCGCCCAAAAAATATTAATTCTCGCAATCCTAAATTCAATTTTAAACAACTCAGTTTAAGCTCTTGAACAACGCACAATTATTTCAGACGGGTAATAATTTAAACATAATGTGGTATTTGCATGTTCATTCAGCTTGCACCCCTCTGTTTCGACGTGTTAAGGCGAGATTTGCCTCTGGAATGATTTATTCGCATGTAATCTCAAATCTTCGTTTCTCCTGTACGGCATAACTCTACTCAATCATCTTTGCCACGCAGGATCATGTCCTTTGTAGGATTCCCTCTCGCGAGTACCGAAACTCTATTGTTTACATGAATTAGTAAATTTCGAGCATTGTCGCTCCGAAAGTCGCGCAAATCAAAGTGATTTTTGAAAGGTGAATTTCTCATTGCTTCGGTTTTTAGCCGGGAACACTTTTAAGCGGCTTCGCCTTTTCAAAAGCAAACGAACTTCCCGCAAACTTGGAAGTTACCTTGCGGTGCATTACTTGCCTTGCTAATCTCATTAATTTTCTTTGCTCCGGCCGGGACACAAGAGCGAATTCGAGCGAGTCAACAATCCCCCGAAAATGGAGACGCGGACCTAACTGAATGAAGTTATTAATAGCGCGGGGCGTTCGAATTTTAGCGAAATTGGATTAATAATTCGTTTATGGGAGTACTGTTAAAAACGAAAGTGCCCCCGGAGTTGCTTATTTTTGCTTAGTTTTCCAAACCGTCGAATGAAATCGACAGTTTTGAGATATTTATACTCTTCTATAAATATTGCATCCAAAATAATTTAACTCAGTATTACTTACCATAACAATTATTAAATAATTAAAGTAACAAATTAGAATAATGAATTCTATAAAAAATTACCTGTACCTACCCAATACCTATAAATCAATTTTCAAATTTAAAAAGTGTCTAATCTATTTAAAAATTCGATAATTCTCTACTCATCATTCAACTAAATAAAGCAATAACGCGCTAATTTTCATAAATTCGCAAAATGCTAGCAAATTCATCGTAACTATGTGTAAAACAGTACGTAATATGATGGTAAATGCATGCAAAAATAAACAAATAAACGTTAGCGAAGCAGAAGACAAACATCGGTGAGAAAAAGCGAAGCAAAGTAGTTAGGTGAGAAAAAAAGTTGGCTTTATTTCTCACTCACCAGAGCTTGAGCTGCCGCTTGGTGCTGGAAACAACGAAGCATACATTTAGTAGGTACACAGAACAGAATAATACAAAAGTACGTCCAAGTCGCGAGATACGGGCGCGTGGATTATCGGAAAGCGACGGGAAATGGTGGGAAAGGTGCGGAAAATTCGATTCGACACAAAATCGCGTTAGAGAGCTGGTGCGCCTACTATATACAATTCGATGGGAAATGTTTGGGAAAATTCGTGTGCGTTCACCGTACTTTTGGCGATTTTTTACACATATTTATCTACTTTTTTTTATACGAGGCAATCCAGAATTATGTACACTACAAATAAGTGCAAATCTGTTTGCAATATGGTCAATTCCATCATGAGTTAAATGAAGAAAGATTAACAAAATAATAGTAGTTAGAGTGATGCATATTTAGAAATTATAGTACTTATTTTTGGATCACCTTGTATACATAGAACAGATTTTATCAAAATTTAGTAAATGTACAATAAATTTATTGATTAGGTAGATACATGTAGACGGAATTATAATTTTCACATGAATTAAATCAATACAAATTTTCTCTTACTCTCATTTAATTTCATACTTTTACCCCATCAGGAGACTCTTTCAATCATATTTCTCATTACTATATTTACGTTAAAAAACTATTTATTTATTTATTATAAAATTTGAGTAGCCAATTACACAAAAAAGAATAATCCAACCCCATTAAACTCGAACATCTCCACCGGACAGTGTCAGGCCGAAAATTGCAGTAATTGCACATCGTTGCATAATTAATTGGCAAACATCACGTTCGTCCTTTACAGCGCTTTGTGTAATACATGCGACGGACATTTTAGTTTCTCACCCGACTTATTTTGTCGTCGGGGCCTTTGGGGATACGCCATTTGGCGCGAACAAGGGCCCAATTAGAATGATCGTAGCGGAATTTCAAGTTCATAAACAATTATTACAAAATCACTTTTACTGGAACTACTCAATTACGAATCGCGCGATTGGAATTGTACAATAACAAACTCGAACTATTTTAATTGGTCGCAGCTAAGTTGCGATGACTCGCCTCGGGGACTTTTAATTGCGGTAATAGAACTGTGTATACCTGATCTGTAATTAATTATAAAGCTCGTGACGTGTAGGTGGGTTTCGTTAAAGGAAAGGTCCTTTCACCGAGCTAAGGACCTTCTAATAAGAACGAGCCGATGATAATTATAGAAGGCAGAAATGCTATCGACTAGAAATAAATTTGCGTTGAATTAATTCCGGTGATGGAAGGGTATATGAAGCCCTTATCGACGAAAAATCGTTGCTTCCCATATTAAAATTTCTTTTTATAGCGTTAAAATTTTATTAATAACATAAATCAACTCGATTTGTGCTTTGTTCCAAATAGTTTCTGCTTATTATTCATGTATAATTGTGTTAACAGACAATATTAATTGTTCAAATGGAATTCGAAATAATTGGCAATATAATACAACAAATACATCAATTTTAATTAATTTTGTTTTGTAATCTATTTATTTACACAAGTTTTCATTTTTATAGCACCTATACATTCTATCAATCGTAAAATCTGAAAGAAACCACCGATACAAAGCAAAAGGTTTCTAATTGTTGCAGTTTCTCTCGTCTACGAAGTTGGCTGTTTGTCCGACTCTAGACCAGACCGGTTTAAGGAAAGAACAGTTAATTCGCCATTAAGTTAGCGAGAATGGCTTTCCGGTTCAACAGGTTCGCAGCCATCTAGCTTAAATTGTCTCCGAAAGTGGTCGTTAGAGAAAGCAGGTGGAAGAAAAAACAGGAATCCAGTGTGTTCGCCCGCACAAATTAACAGAGTGTTTGCTTAGGTTAAGTACGGCGTTTTTAGCGCGACAAAAAACCCAGCGATATTTCCGAACGAATTCCACTTCGAGCTTCCCAATAAACTTCATCCACTGCATGGGATATCCGGTAAATCCGAGCGCGATGCAACGATATTGTACATCGATTTTCCCCGTTCGAGAGTCAAGTCCAAAATTGCACGAAAGAACTTCGATATATTCGAGTTCCACAAAAGGGTCTGTTTCGTTATAAGATGCTGCTCGCTCGACGTGCATAGATGCACGACGAAATGAAGCTATCGATCCGGCCGGTATATTTAGATTCGTCTTTGCATTTCCAAAGTCAATGCCGAAAAACCGGTCACGAAATTGGATTCTAATCCGGAGTATCGACTGTAAAAGCGTACGAAGGTCGCCGGCACGGAGCTATCGTAGATGGTCGAATTTGATGGTTCGAGAAATTCGCGTCATTTTTTATATTTCCCACGAACACGGTCGTTTCGGCGACGAATGTCACTTGCCGAGCACGGATCGCGCTTTATTGATTCGATTATCGTTCGTGTTATCGCAAATGGCTGATAGAAATCGCGACAATTTAATGGATATCCAGAGAGCGATAGATCGCTTTGCATAAAATTAGCAACATCGTTAGGCATATCGTTGATTAACTTTATATCGAACTGTGGTAACAAATCATAGCGTTTTGAACGTATACATAGTGTCCTAGAATACTAGTTTCAATTCTAGAACTGTATTATTAGCAAGAAGTACTATTCTTTATGAAACAATGTAGTTCAAAAGTTCAATTATGAAGAACTGTTTCAATATTATAGCTCTATATTCTAAACATTTTAAAATTCAATTAAATATCCTGTTAAATCTCGACTTGTAAAGTCTTCTTTTCCTCTTTTTCAGCCTTCCCTCTTCCAAACCTTTCCTTCTGACTTATAAAGTATTACACGATAATCTAACACACATCGTTTTAACTATTGGGAAATTAGATGAAATTAACCTACTTTACTCCAACTATATAAATGATTAGTAAACATATTATTGCTAGAGCTTTGCCAGAGGAAAAAAATAGATTCGATAATGACTGTGCAAATAGGCGAAATCGGCTGTTAAAAAATATATACGAGCCATAATCGACTTCCTCTCGCGATTTTCCAGCGCGATTTCGAATCTGGGTTCGGGCAGGCGAGGGGCCGAAATAAACATTACTAATAATCGTTCGTGTCCCATAAGCGCGTGTGCATAAGAATGAAATAGTAAATTTCAGAATCTCGAGCGTTCCGATAGCAATCTAGCGCGACACGCGAGTTCCCAATTCGCCTCCTCACGCCATTGTCGACGGTTAGCCGGCTAAAGTACGGCTAAAGTGCGGTTTACATGGGCTACATTCCCTATTCGCATTCGAAGACCCATTAGTCATACTAGACACTTCCTATATGTTTCAAATGCTCGACGTTTCTGAGTCGAAAAAACGATTAAATACTGCAAGAACTGGATATTATACTCTGCCTTCTTGTCAAACTGAAATTTAACCGTTAGTTAGTCGAATCATTGAGTTAACCATTCATACCACTCGTGTTGCATAACTCCTGTAGGTAGGAAATAATGTAGCGTATATCGATTATGAAATAAGGAGACTTTTGGGAAATAAACCGGGCGATGTTCCGCGGGAATTTTAATAAAAATCGCCCCCTAGAAAACCGGATTTAGGCGGTCTAATCATTAGCGCAATCCAGGCGGTTTATTTATGTTTCCGATTAGGAGTTTTCGGGCTGACGGGCCGCGATTAATAGTTCAATTTAACTTTCGGCTTAGACTTTTCAATTTAACCGTAGTGGCGGATTTAATTAAAATTGTTTTTAACGTAATATCTTTGATTCGATTTTTTTATGTTGAAATCAAAGAGTGTCACTGGGCGAGTGGTGTGGATTCGGTTTAAATTTCTGAATGCAACTTCCAGCCGTTCGGGAACTTTGAATAATGCATGAAGCCGTGCTTTTTATTCAATCCAAAGTCTATTTTATACACATCAGTTGGGAAAAATAGGGGCTTTTGAATAAAAATCCGCTATTACTGCACGCATATTTTACTGCACCTGGTAAAGGATTTATTTGCCATTACCGTCCACCTATAATTCAACGGATTATTAATTAATTCCAGATTGGACGCTTTGATGAATTAATAGGCTGATGTTCCAATGTTATAGTTATTAATTCCGGTTTGGCTAATTTCGCAGGAATTGATTCTAAACGGAAGAATACCTCGACTGGGGGTTCCGAATTGATGGTTTTCCACGCGTTTAAAACGTCGCCCGGAAAACCGTTTCGGGAAAGTTTGATCGTTATCTGCCTGCCGGTACGAGATACGGGCGTTTTTCCCTCGAAAAAAAGTGAATTATTACAGTTGAAATTCAAGTATTATGCATGCTCGACGGTAATGGAGTGTCCTGAAAACTTCTGGATATCAACTACTGTAATAACACTTTTTTGAGACATCATGTGTATGTTTTAATAAAACAAGGATTTTTCATGTTCATGCAAACACGATACATGTCGACTAGTAGTTAGGAGGAAAACATATGATTTTTATAACGCAAAATGTTTCGTGCGATTCTAAATTCTCGGTTAAAAGTACAATATCACTACCGGGAATAAAATAAGTACGCGATACTTCTTTCGCGAATGAAGCCAATTTTTCCAAAAGCGATGTTAAAATGACAACAAAAGACGGGACTTTCGCTTAGGTATTAAAATGAATAACCTCGTTTTGTCGAGAGACAATTAATTGCCAGACCAGCGAATTGCGGAAAGTGTTAAATGAAAAAAACTCCGATAGCAATTAAGCCGTAGATAACTACAGTTGTAACGAGAATGACGGAAAATCCTCTGCTGGAATTCGAATCGATCATCCGTAAAATTAACTCGATTAATTCCGTGATTTCACCTCCAGTCGAACTGCCATCGGAAGCGAATTATTCTGGCAGTTATCGAATCGAAAGCGGGCCATCGTTGATTGAAAAATCGCCCTTTGCGATTTCACTCGTCCAGTTTTTACGTTTCCTTACCGAATGCTGGGGCGCTCCTCTGCCTGCTTGTTATCTGAGTTCGCGTAAATAAATAAACAGACGTGGAAACTGTACTCGAAGCTGCGATGGAATATTTAAGAGTCAACAAATCACTTTCAACTTTACGTGAATAATGGAAAGTTCCGAACAGAAGTTGAAACTTTCAGAAAGCTTCGGGAGATATTATATTAGGTACATGTATTATTTCGACTTTTTGGATAGTTCGAATGGACTCGGGCAGGTATTTACATATTACATTATCGAACGAAAATCACCATTAATTATGTACATAAAGTAAAAAAGGAATAATGCCATTTGCATGAATTACACCGTAAGGGTCCTTACAAAAGTGTGCTGCCTTTGTAAGAACTAAATCATAGCACAAAGGTCTCTAATTCCAATCTTTCGGACCAAAAATGCACAATAGGAGCTGATTACCTAGAACTTGAATCCAACTGCAATTACTCTACTTTTGTTAGCCCATTAAGTACACCTCTAAAAGGCCTTTTAGAGACTTACCACGTATTGAATACGAATCGTTGAAATGGCCTGGAATTTATTGGTGACCCGAGGAAAATTACCCCGATATCTTCAATATCCTTTAATATGTTCCATAGACATCTAATAGATGAATAATATAGGAATCTGAGGACTTAGAACCCTTAATTCCTTATATACAAGATGTACCATAAGTAGTATTGAGATATAATGAGATATATTTAATTGAATAATAAAATGTATGACATTGGTTTTGATACCAAACTTGATGTTACCACTCGAAATATTTTGTTTATACATCATAGGATTATTAAAGTATTTAAAGGTAGAATGAAATATGTTTTATGGTGCAGGATAATAGTATCTATTGTCGAATAAATTTAGGTAGGTGTCTATACTAGTGTAAAAGAAATGATGGAAGAAATAGGATGGAAGAAGACATTGAATGAATAAAGAAAATAACAAGTTCTTACCGTTGGCATTAGTTGATCAGTACTTCTAACTCTGGTCACTTTGTTCTTATAAATAAGTTTTTTAATAAGCCTCTCCATCGGTTGGTTCCATTTCATGAAACTAACGTAGGCGATGTAGAAGCTGAACAACACCAACGCCTCGTACCAGTGAATATAGCTATCTCTGAAGAAAATAATAAGCGCAATCAGGCTAACGGAGTAAAAAAAACAGTCCCTAAAGAGAGGCCACCACGTGAGCGATAGAACGGTTTTGGAAAAAATTGCGCACATTCCGATAACGAATAGAATGTTGAAAACGGCCGAACCGACGATGGTACCGATACCGACGTCGTCGAATGATACAAACACACCAATGACGCTGGTGAACAGTTCCGGAGCCGAGCCACCGGCTGCCATGAACGTCGCCCCGGCCACATCGTCTTGTATATCAAACTTCTCGATGATGACGTCCAAAGCGGGAACGAAGAACTCGTCGCAGACGATGGCCAGAGCGACGAACATATAGACTACGCCGAGTATGTGAAGGATAATAGCCCCGTTGCGTCGTTCCTCCCAGGTGAAGAGGTCTTTGGGAAAGAGCGGGTCCTTCTCCGGAAGTTGGGAATCATTGTGGTGCAAAGCAGGCACGGGGGGCACGGTGTAAACCAACGTGGTGGTCGTGCTGCCGGCGGTTGTCGTGGCGGTGGTGTTGAGGTTCTCTTCGTAATCGTGGTTGTAGTAGCCCTCGGGAGCGGTGTCGGCGTGGGCAGGTCGCCCCAACAGCGCCAAGAGCACGCAGAGGAGCGCAACGCGGGGGGTCATAGCGGCTGTAGAAGTTCGGTCATTGCCACAGCGAGGCCGGGCACGGACTGGAGAGCGTTCGATACGTGGAGGGCGCGCAATCTGCGCTAGTGCACCACCCGGCGCGCGATCCCTTCTTCGGCCGGTCCGCGCACTATCTCGCTCCGCCATGCCAAAAACATGTTCTCCTACTAACGCTTTTCCTCGGTTTTCTCCATTTCTCCGAAGGTTACGCTTTCGTTCGAGTGCCTTTCGGTTACATCTTGGATAACATAAGGTCAACATTCACTCATTTCTTTCCTTATTGATATACCTTCTTTCTATCTACTCGTACATCATACTATTTCCTACTAAAATACTATATCCTAGAAATCTCTTTGCTATCTACAATCTTTTTCCTTACGCTCCAACGTCCAGTTAATCCATTAATGTCCACCTAATAATCCTCCTATCACTTCAATCTTGCGCATTTCCTCTGGTTACGCACGACAATAGCTAATTTTCCTCGATCCATTGCTTCCCTCGTTACATATATTGTCTAATTCTGATTTCATTGCACGAAATATCAATTTAATTTTCCTCGTTTTTTTATTCTTTTAACATAATGTCTGCTGTAAGTGGAGTTAGGTATCTATTGTCTCGTAACTTTTTCTTCCACACAGTATTCTAATGCTTATTGTATTTGAGTGAATACTACAAACTCTGGATACTAGATGTCTCACATATCTTCCAGTCAACGCATTTGCATAAAAATTGAATTTATTTGCTTAATTGAATTTATTTTTGTGAAAAAGTTATAGGTTTGAGCATCTCACATCTTTAGATATTCTAATCGAAGTGACAGAAACAGTTTTTGAAAATCGAGGAAAAACCGTGGAACAGCAGAATATTGACAGCAGAAATGAAGTTTTTTTGAGAAACATACGATTTTTTTAATTGCAACAGGGTTAAAAATCATTAATAATCAAAGTTAATTATCATTCTAAAATTGTACACATGTATCCAATGAACTTAGGTACCTAATAGAATGAACTTGATGATTACAATGTATAAATATTTGTACTAATTTTATACTTTTATCTTATTAATTTGTTAAATATAATTTAAATGTCCAATAAAATAATAAAACCGAGTGATTTTTGAAGAAGTTTTAATGTAGTTAATAGAATTTCTTGTAATATCGTAAATAGTACTTTCAAATGATGCATTTTTTTAATTAATAGAAAACCACACTAAACTCACACTGATGAATTTTCCAATAAATTCCCTCTAAATTCTTCCCTTGTTTTGATCACCCGATAAACTAGATGACTAAATTATATTTTTTATTATTTATATTTATCATAATTTTTACTCGATATTACTCCATTCACTGTGTACATGATGCCCGCCAAATTACAGGAGATTTTTCAAATTTATTTTACCAATTTCTGATAAAAATTTCATCACAAATTCATTATCAAAATGTTCGTCCTCCAAATTCGGCACAGACGTAATTATATTTTATTATATCAATGTTATTTAAGAAAGCGGGTCATTTTTAGTGAAAAATGGTAAGGTTTTACTTTACATTGGTATGCATTATATTTTCTTATATAAACTTTGTATTTCCTCTTTACCAGACCAAGCTAATCGTCCTAATTCTCACTTTGAGCATCATAACTCAAGCGGTTTTCAGTGAAAGCCGAGTTAAGAGAGACTGTTGCTGCAACAACGACAGTTACGAGGACTGCGGCAGGTCCTGCTCATCACCATGCAACAGCAGGCGCAGCAGTTGCAGCCGCAAATCATGCCACAGTAGTAGACCCTCGAGCGAGGAATCTAGAGAATCCAGAGATCAAGTCGTACCCGTGCTAGTTCCATATCCCCAACAGCTCCCGAATTCGCAAACAGTGCAACAACCAAGCGGTGGTACCATTGTTAACAATACTAACATAAGCAACGGTACTGTTGAGCTGCATCTCACCAACACGGTGAACACTATAAATAATATATCTGTGCCCATTCAAGTCAATTCGACAAACGAGAATTCTATAACATTAATGTTATCTCCTGAAAGCGAAGAGTCTGTGGAACGGAAAGAAATAGAAATCGTCGATGATAATTGCTGTAATGTGACTAGGACTCATTGCGATGATTATAACAATTGCACGAAGATCACAAAATGGGAATGCTCCGACGTGTGTACAGGACGATACGGTAAGTAACAACAAAACGTTAAGTAGGTACCTATTAACAAACATAAATAATTAATTTTTCGTTTTTTTTTCATGTGCAAAGTACAAAGAAATTTTCCTGCGCCACAACCAGTTCCTATGCCACAACCAGTTCCTATGCCACAACCAATGCCTGTGCCTTATCCAATTCCCATGCCACAACCAATTCCCATGCCACAACCAGTTCCTATGCCACAACCAGTTCCTATGCCACAACCAATGCCTGTGCCTTATCCAATTCCCATGCCACAACCTATTCCCGTGCCCCAGCCAATTCCTATTCAACGACCTTATCCTATACCTCGACCTTTACCCATGCCACTACCTACTCCTATGCCTGTTCCTATACCTGAGCCGCATCCTTATATACCGATATATTATCAACCATCACCTTGCGCCAGCGCTGTGCCAACAACCTTCGAACAATCCCCGTGTTCCATGCAAAGGCAGACCGTTAATCCGAGGCCTGTCGTGGTGCAAGCACCGACTGGCATGAAACCAACGCCATGCCAACAAATGCAAAGTGTCGGACAAGTTTCGCCGTGTCAACGAAACCGAATGGCACAAACTACTCGATATACATGTCAAACCAACAGAGTAACGTTCCCTCAGGTCGCTTCAGGCAACACCTACTATTGGAAGAATTGCTCCACGACCGACGGACGGCAATTTTATCTTCCCGCTTATCTCCCGCAAGGTCAATCGAACCAGGCTCAAGTGCAATACGCTCAACCCGACCAAGCTCAACTGCTTCAGTATCCGGTAAACAAGCAACTGTATTACATGCCTCAACCGCAGGTGCAAGGAAACGACGCGGTACAAACTCTCCCGTCCGGTCAAAGATACTATTACCCGCAAGTTAACCAATACGACGAGAATGAAATTGTACCGTCCTATAACCAGCCTAATTACTACAACCCGGAATCGGACAAAACCGGGTCGAACGTTGGATTCCTTTACTATCCCGGTCAAGTCGAACAAACGACCTCTAGTAGTCATTCTGACGGCATTCGCTATCGGAGATCGGGGAGATTAGGGAGATCTTCATCGCGTGATGATAAAGAAACGAGCTTAGCAGAAGCGTAGGCATTTAATAAAGTTCAATATTTCACGATGTATCTAGTTAGTATCTAAATATTGTATAATGTATAAAAGCGGTGAATTGTACTGATTTTTTACTCATTAAAATTTTTAAGACGACCTACTTCGTTTATTTGTATAGAGTTTTCAAAACGGCAGCATACGAATACGATGATTTTAGAACCTAAAAAAACTCAAATTAAATTGGATTGTTATCAAAGTGATTTTGAGTACTACTTTTTGTATAAATAACTGACAAAATCCCTAACATTATTATACTTACTCCAGTTAAGGTACGAAGTGATAATTTCATGAACCCTGCTCGAATTACTAAAGGTACTTGCGACCTCGTTATCATAATTAGTAACATATTTTTCAGCTCTTTGTCGAACTCATTCCACGGTGTCATGTAGCAAGCATCCCCTATTTCTTTGCTCTGAAATGAAATGAAGCGAGCATAAGAGCTTGCCATTTTTGCACCTAGAGAATATACCTTTAACGTTAAAATTTCTCCGAACCAACAGTAGCACAATATTTCACAGAACATCCCCATAAAATAAAATAATTGCATGAAAAACTCCATAGAAGAGACGTCCAACTGAAACGGTGAAATAGCTGGATTTTGTGTAAAAAATGCGAATTTGAGTACTTACAACAGTTAATCGGAAACCGATAAAACAAATTTCAATGAGGCTCTTCAGTAATTCGCTGAATATTATATTGGAATACAATTTTTCGATATCTTTAACAAAACTGAAATATATTCGTCGTGATTTAGTAACAAAAATATTCAACAATACTTACTCGATAACTTTTTGGTGATAAACAATATTCATCTTTAATTTGGTTTTAATAAAATCTCTATTTTTAGAGAAATTCAGCGCTTTAAAATAATAAATTAAAATATCCAGCTGGCAACAAACCACGTCTATTAAAGCGTAATAAATGCAATCCAAAGATATATCGCTCAAAGCAGAAATCGAAACAACAACTATTTGAAACGAAAATGTCGGATAGTACAAACTAAATTTACTATAATCGTAAGGTATCCAAGTCATAATAGGTAAAAACTTCCTTTCCGTTTGAATGAAAAGCATTAAAAAGTGTTCAACGACAAACAGGCATAGCAATGACCGGTAAATTAAAGCGATTTTATTCCTTTTGGACTGCCTGACCAGCAAATTTTCCATCATCCGCTTGGAAACATCCGTCGCGCGGATATCCTGCAGGTACAATCGGAGTTTCTCCAGCAATTCCGCCTTCTGGTGGATCTGCAGCAGCTTGAACAAGAAGGTAGTCTCGTTGACGACGAAAATGCAGGAGTCCAGAAGGTCGGAGAAGCTGCAATCATGCAGCAGGACTTGCAGAAAAGCCGATAGCAGCAGCATGAAGCATATGAATAAACAGGGAATTTTCCTATACAAAATTTTCCTGCGATTCGGGTGATTTCGCGCGGGGTAAAAGCCGAAAAGCTGCAAAATGAATACCTCATTGTCGAAGGCTTCTGCGAAATTTAGAGACTAAAACATACATTTTTATGAATATAATGCAATTAAAATAAGATGTTCATCTTACCTTCATGATTCTACCTAAACTGCAGGGATTTTAGTTTAGAAATAATTTTAAATTAAACTTCGATCATAAAAAATGTGATCTGCAATTACCCGAAATTGTCATAAGATCAACCTCAACAATATACGAGGAAGCGTCATTTTATTTGAGAATTTATTACAAACATTTTTAATAAAATTATTTTGAAACCATACAAAATAAGTCAGGAATAGATGGAATTGAAATTTATCACAAAATAAATTTCCTAATATTGTATTATGTATTAGAATTCTAGTAATTTAACCCGGTATATTTCGCATACGTAATAAATAAATACCACCCTTCCACGATTTCATAAAACTACCTACTGATTTGCATAAGCAAGTTCGAGACGCTTGCAAGTAAATTGCACGTAATATGTGCAGAAATTTAAAATTGAAATACCCTTCTTTCATTTCTTATTCCAGCATATACAATACAGCTTGTCCCACATTTATTTCACCAATACATTATTACAGGAATTATATCACACGTGCTTCTTGACTTCATACATTTTCCTCCTGGCCTTCTTGAACGCCATCAAAACCTGATTGACGCTGCGAATCAAATTGGACGAGTTCAGTTTCTCGTAAACGAACTTAGTTTGAACGTCACCGTCGCGGAATTCCCTCATAAAGGCCTGCGATTGGTGCACGACGTTCACCCTAAACTCTATTTCCCCGGTTCCCATCGTATTGACCCCGAATTTATTGAAAGTACCCGTCTGAAAAACGATACAAAATCTCCTGTAATCGCCAAATGGAAATTCCCAGCCAGTCAGATGGAGAAAAAATGATACGATTGGTACGAAGACGATGTAATTATACAGTATGGAATTGAAGAAGTTATTTGGTTAAAATTCTAGTCACTGATTATTTTATCGATTTTCGTAGTTCTTTGAGATGAAATTGTACTTAGAAAAAAATGGTACTTACATCGCACAGGTCCGCTGGTAAACCGATCCATCTCACGTCCTTGTAATTATAGGCATCGCCTATGAAGTACCTCCGCAATTTCCCGAAGCAATTGCTGTAATCGAATCGAAAGCAATTCGAATTGAACCTGTGGCATCCAGGTGTGGATACGGGTAAGAATTGGTAGGTCATGCCTTCGGTTCTGTAGAGATTCCAAGGCGATTTCGAGACCACTTGGAAGTAAATGCAAGGGCTCTTCGGAACGCCTGAAACGTTGAAATATTATGGTTTTGTTAAGTAATGTAGTAGCAGGTACTTGTTGTTTCGAGCGATTGTATGTCGTACTCTAAGGTTACATCGAAGTTGTGGCCGTAGAAGGCAATATTTTCTTCGTTTTTGCGGTGGCAAATGGACGTAACGCCGGCCAAGTTTGCCGGGTTATCGCAATACCAATGCTCCGGAAGGTCGATGAAATATTGCAGGAACAAATCCTTGTATTCGAAGCCTTTGGAAGCCAGTATGTCGAAGAACAGGTAAACGTACAATCGATTTTTCGGCGGCAAGAAGAAACTGTCTCCTATTATCTCCCTAGTCAAAGAAATCTTCTTTTCCGATACCTGCAAAGGATAGATGGAATAGAATGTATAGTTGTGGAAAGTGTTTGTTAAGTACTTTTCTAAAAATTTCATTTTCTTTGAAAGCCTCAGTGTCCGGTATATCAGCCGAGGCATGCTCCAGGAAGTAGCGAATTCGCCTCAATTTCTGACCGAAAATGGTGAGTGTATAAGGTTTGGTGGTCGTGAAATCGGGAAAAACCGATACAGTTTTCGATATTCTATCGTACCGAATGGCGCATAACACAATTTCATTTTTTATCCACGTCTCCTCCGAGTACTCGCTGAAACAATAATATAATTCCCAATAAAAGTAATTGTACGTGTAGGTTATTAAATGTACCCCAAATCTGCGATTATGAACATTTTTTCAACGTTGTTTGGTATTATTTTGTTTTGTACGGCGTTCGTTAAAGACTTTTCCAGGTCGTATTCTGTGTATTTAGTATCGCATTCTTCAGTCAAATGGAAATCTTCCATTAATTTCTCCAATATCGTACGACTCTCATTCACCTGCAATAAAACAATCCTTAAGCAAATATTCAATCATAACCTTCTGCTGCTGGTTAGGGGTGTTTTTATCTACTTCTAGAACGGGGTAATAACGAAAAACAAATTTACGGGTGTATCGGTAACGCCATTATAATCTCCATCGACGCACGTGAAAAATATGGAATCGTTGGTGCATTCGCCGTGGGTAATTTGCTGGTGGTATCGCTTTTCCAGATCCGTGGCGCAATTCGCGATATCCGAGAAATATTGAATTTCCATTTTATTGAAGCATTTCTCCTGCCAGGCGAACTCTTTAACGTGCCACTTTTCTCCGTCTTCTTCATCAATTTCATTTGCCTCGATTGCTTCTGTTAGACGGATTCTACAAGTGCGATTTGGAATAATTTACAGCTTTTCGTTTGTACTACTGGTATATTTTTATTCGAGTTATTTTAAGTACTTGCCTAATTTTGAAATTTTCTATTCCGTCTGGACTTTTGTAATAACCGGTGTATCTTATTAATTTGTCATTATTTTTGAGCATTTTGTGTTTGTTTTTAGGTTGTTTTGTTGTGTTTGTCTATTTTTCTACACAGTAAATGCGTTACTAGGATACCTTCATAAGTACAATACAAACATTAAATTCTACTGAACCATACAAGGATAGTTGTTTTAAAGGATCCAGACAGATGGTATAAAATATGTAGGTATAAAAAAATAACTCAATTCAAATAAACTCTACATGTAGAGTAACTCTACATGGCAAAGGTAATAAACAATTTTATGTAAAATACCGGTATTATTAGCCATCTATTAAATTTACAATTAACTCTAGAATGTTATTGGAAATTTTCTGTAGAGTACATAGAAATCCTAGTACATTCAGCGTTTAGTTACACCAGTTGTCAATAGATGGCGGCTGTTCATCGATTTTTTTTATTTATTTTTTAAAAATCAGATAAAAAATTAATTACCTACAGTTTCTAGCAAATAATGCAATAATTAAATATGAGTGGGTATAAAGAATTGTTTCTAACATCATTATTTAAACTAATAAGAATACATTAAAAAATGAATAATGTTCTACAACAGAACAATCATAACTATTAAGAGAAAAATTATTCTGAGATTATATTAGATAAACCTAGCATGAATAGAAATTCCGAATTTCAAAAACTCTATCATAAAAACGAACATTTTCAATTCCCGTTAGAATCCACATTTTTGTCGTACAATTACATCAGAATTTATTAAACCAGAATACACGAGACGCTAACCAAATTAACGTCCTCACGAAAAACATCTGTCGCTTATTTATACGAATATTACAACAGAACAAACTCGAATATCAAATACGCCGAGAGGAGCGCTACAAAACAAACAAGGAAATCGCCGTGAATATTTCAATACGATTAATAACGTAGAGCGTTTTCACGTGCCCTAGGTAAGAAAACTACAATTACCTCAGTCCAATTACCGGGCACAAAAATACCCGATAATTAAACCATTAAATTTAGAGTCCAGCAGGATTGGTGTTTATAAATTCTTAACAACAAGAAAAAAACATCTTCAATTACCTGCCTAGTGCATGGGAAGTGAGTCATGTCTATTGAGGTTTTTCTATTATGCTCCGCACACCGATGGAATTACATTAATATCGAATAATCCTCATAGCAACGCTTCGGTGTCAACATAAAGGACCGGAGACGTAAAAGCGAACTGAAGAAAGAGAATATTGCTGGAAAAGTCAATGAACAGCCGTGTGAATGGGAAAGTGCACATGGCAATCAATTAGGAAAATTTCAGAACATTACACAGCCCGACCTATTTTTGCGTATAAAGTTTCAATAGGAAATTGCAGTAATTGTGTGTGCGTCGCTTCCACTAACAATCAAACGGCTATCAATTCGTTTGGTAGTGAATTGCGGCGGAAAATTAATGTGGAAATTAATTAAAAATGTGTACTTTTACTGCCATTCGGGATCACAATGCATTATGCAACGAGCTTTTAATGGATATATCTTTTAGAATTATTTATTTGCCTATTACCATCATCATGCTTATCTTTTATACACCTTAAAGTAATCTCCATTCTATACATTTATGTATAAATTCAAACAAATATCTCTCTTTCTCCTTAAGCTTATACAAATTAAATTCTAATCAAAAACAATAACAACTCCAAGTTGATTTTGTGTATATTTTTCTGGTTAATTCTTATCCATTTGATCAACTCGAACAAGACTATAAAAATAGCGAAACAATTTAAAGATGTAACCGAAACGAACAGCTGCGATTGTCACTTAAAATAGATAATTAAGGAAAATGGTCGTACTCTATAAATAAAATAAATTAAACAAGGCAAATATGCCGTCGAATAAAATCATAGGATTTGATTTGTGTATTGGAACAGGGACAAGCGAAAAATAATTTATTTCGCTCGTTGATACATTATACAAGTTGGGAAATCTCTACTGCAACAATAGATCGGTTTTCATTAATCACTCGTATATCGCAATTAAAATAGTTCATTCGAGATAACGTTGAAATGTTAATTGGTCGCGCACATAATAAGGTGCGTTACGTAAATTCATTGATTTACCTCGAATTTCATAAAAATTTCCTTGAAACGATTCGAGATTATCGTAAACTCATTGAACGGGCTGTGAACTCGCTGTACTTCCGTGTCTTATGCGATCGATTTTTTATGCAACCATATAGAATATCTATTTTCGTTTTCCTCTATTTATCCATGACGCATTTAACGATAACAAATAACTAGTAAAATGCCAGATACAAGGAAAACAAGCTAAAATCAATAGTACCTGCGCCTTGGAAGGATATTAATAAAATACACACATTTCGCAATAGCTGAAAAATATTTATTATGGAAAAATTACAAGTTATGTATACAGGGTGATAATTTATCTGGTAAAAAGGTATGTGATACAAAGTTAAAATCTATTAGTCTCATAAAAACAAAGAATGATAATTGTGAGATTGCAACTTTCTTACTCTAACTACTGTTATTTTAGTATTTCCTTATTCAACTCGTAGAATATTGCAAACTTTGCACTACCCCATATAAGAGAGAACTCACTCCCATTAACCCCCTACCCTAATTAAAATAATTTAAATAGTAACCCTATTTATGATGAATCCTTGCGGGAGCTTGTAAAAATACTTTGCAGTGATATAAGTTCTATCCTATACAGCGTGGATTAAAAGTGCATAATCTGGGGTGCTATTTATTTATTTATTTTAATGAATATATTGCATATAGGGAATAGAGGGTTGATGGGAGGATTTTTTTATTTAAGTTTCTCCTTTGAAGTATTTTCTAATACTATTTTAGTGCATGAGAAGTTTTTATACCTATTTTATATAGTTTTTATAACTATTTTAGTGCATGCAATTTAATGCATGCATATAATGTTCATTGCAATATGAAATTCGGATTCAATTTATAACAAGACTTTCTTGGGAAATAGACTTTGGCTTTGAAATTTGAATTCTTAAATTTAATCTGCGGGACTTTTCTCGTAAAATAAAACTATTTTTCTGGAAATATTGTATGATGTAATTAATACGAGGGCTCTGTATTAAGTACTTGTACTTTGAATAAAATGAATATAAAACCTATAGACGTAATAGACAATAAAATTTAAAAAACTCGTATTATCGACTATTTTAATAATTTGTATCTTATCTACATTTTTTTATATACAATGTTTAATTTTTGTCGATAAAAAATGAATGATTAAATGAAAGGGCAATAACTCTTCATTTGTTTAAAATAACTAGATTTTTCGAGTAAAAAAGGACTTTGTAATTAGATCAATTCAATTGTACTAACTTTCTTTGTTAAATCATAAATCAGAAGTTCCAATAAAACGAGATCAACATTTGTGAACACCAAAAAAAATTGTCGATTCATTTAATATCTTTATTTTATCACCCAGCCGTCATGTTAATTACCATCTTAGTATACGCATCCTTCGAAATGTTATTACTTTAAACAACAATTTTAGGAAAATACTTTCCAAACGATGAACTTTTAGAATGATACATCTCCTTTAATATGAAACTTAAAATTTCGTTAAACAGACGACTTTTTCTCAAATCAATTTTTTTCAACTGTTTATTAAAATTACTGATTAGATACATGATGTGTAATTACTCAATTTAGATGGTAATTGGTGCATTTTTTAATTATTATAAAATTAGTAAAATTCAACAGATTTTCGTGGTATTTACAGGATGTTTTGAAGAGATAACCAGGAAATTTGTGACGTTAATTAAAGGGGGTTTTTAGAATTTATAAATATTATATTCAGTGGCGTAGAAAATTTGTTTTTAAGCGAAATAAAATTTTTATAAACAAAGAATCAAAATTAATTATGTGCAATATTTTAGTAGCTATCTACTTAAATAAAAATGAATTATTTTGAAACACCCTGTAGACGCGAACCACCCTGTATATCATGACATTTGGACAACACAAATTATTAATTACATTAACGGTCCGAATATGACGTGCGGCGTATTTGCAATATGTTAAACAATAAACCAAATAGTTCTTTTCTAATTACTTAAACCTCCATGCAGCTATTAAATTCGTACAAAACAACCCTGCAACACGATTTCCACGAGAGCTCGTTCCGATCCATCCGCTTTAAACTAACAGTCCTCGCTCCATCTCCCTCCGACACGCGGCCGGGACGGCCGAATACGAACAGCTAACACGCTCAAACGGATCGTGAACGCTACGACGTACGTCCCGTGTTTGTTGTACGAAACGCCGAGGCGAAATCGAAGCGATGTCGGCGAGAATTTTCGAATTTTCTTAGGCGAAGACCCGGCCAGGGGGTTTTCTGGAGGAAAAGCGCCGGTGTTTTTCGAAAATTCCGCGAAAATTCGCGGTTTTGGCGAGCTGGATGACGTGGCTATAGCGCGGTGTTGCCGAAGTCTCTAGATAGTTTTCCCGTTAGTTGCTTTCCAAAAATACATTTTTTATGATAATTAGCTATTTATTTACTACTAATTAGTTAATTTCCTAAATAATTTGTATTAAAGATATTTTTATAAATTGAATTGGATCCCAATCAATAAATCAAACGCTTCTTAGTTTTTATTTTAATTATTTTCGATGATTTTTATGTGTACTATGTCGGAAGTTAATTCACCCGAATTGAAAATGATAGGGTTAAGGAATTTTTTGACAATGACTGTCAATAACTGTCAAACAACTGTTAAAAATAATCAGATTAGTTATCTAGTAATCTAGATTAGTCGATTTCCCTTAAAATTTCCTACTTTTTAATAATTCTTTTATGATAAAATTCGAACTTTCTTTGAAAATATTCAAAAACCACTTGACATAAACCATAAGAAGTGTTTTTTTTTAATCCTGGAAAAACCTATGAGTTGAACAAAGACATTTTATAAAAATAACAGTGGTTAGAGCGAGAAAGTTGCACCAATATTACTACTTCTTTTTCTTTCCTAAATGAGAGTAATGCAAGTTGTCTTTGTTGCACACACAACCTACATTGCAAACAATTTCGCATCTACCAATATATGGTGTATTTCAGTTAATAATTTGGCCATTTCTATATGAGTTGAACAAAGAAAGATTATTAAAATAACAGTTATTAGAGAGAACACAAGAGAGTGACACAATATCACTATTTCTTTTTACTTTTTAAGTGGATTTCCTTTATATTGTTCCCTTTTCTTTATAAAGATACTTAAAACGCAAAAAATAGTTAAAAATTGGAAAATGAATAATCACCAAAAAATCACTAGTAAGTACTAAATAATAACTAATTTTGAATATTCATTCCTTACATCACATATAATACAATATTATTATACTGAAGTTTATGAATATTGTTAATACACCATAGTTGAAAATTCTTCGGAAACAGTGAGTTTCAGTAGAATCGGCAACGTCGCTTGCACGGTCGAGGCAGCTGCGTCGCGTCGTTGATTACTCTATCGCGTTCTCTCTCTGCACAGGCGGCCGCCCCTCGGACTCGCTAACATAGACTATCCCGGACCTGTTTTCGTGCGATTCACGTTAAACCCAAACCAAGATGTCGAATATGGCGCTATAGCAGTCGAATTAATATAGAAATCGCATTTTTTAGACGTAGAAAATACGCGCAAACTACGGGGTGTTTAATTCCGCGAGCGCCTTTTTGTGATAAAACCGTTTTCGACGCCAACTGCGAAATCGTCGGGTCGGAAATCCACCACGTTTTCGAATTTCGACACGTTTTTTTTTCGTCGTTCAATTAAATTCGCTGATTATTGTGATAAAATGCTTTCGTTCGGTTATTGTGAAGAACGGTGATACTGCGTTTCGATATCGTACGTGGCAAAGTAATATAAAGAAACGGAATTTCCGGTGATATTGTGTCGATATTCAGCCCTTCACCTGCGATTCGAATTGCGCCCGTTTTCCGGAAAATATGTGCATCAAATAAATCGAAAATCCGCTTACATAATTAACCCGAAACGTAAACGCTACAACGCGAAGATGGCCATGGTTAACGGACAATGATGTGAATCTATCGTATCTCTGCAGTGTCGCTGTTGTGAGTTTCCCTTAAATTTTATTGTGCTTAAATGTGTATGCTATGGAAATTCATTCCATGAGGATTAATGATCATGGGCCAGTTCAGACAAATACAATGTCATACCCTCAAAGGCAAACTCAAAATCATAGGTAAGTTTACACTTTTCTATTCTACTCTTGCACAATTTCTATTTCTTGGGCTCATCAAGTCGCCTTTGTTTCGACGTATTTGATAGTTTTGTGTTTATTTTTTTGGTGTAAATATCGTTTTATTCAAAGCCTACTTTCTATTAATGTAAATAAATTTTGGACCTTCAAATGTTTTCATGACTACTGTGGAGGTTCTCTAAGTTCATTGAAAAGCCATAATTGCAGTGATAAATACGATTTTAGTGCTTATTTCTTAATATTAATCTGTTCGAAATATTCATTCTGTTTTTTTTAATAATTGAAGTCACTATACGCCAGCTCAGCTAGTTTTTTTTGAGGAACTTTGGGAATTTCGATTGGTTTTTTTATTGTTGGTAGGTTTTTCGAGATTTTTGAAATATTCTTCCACTATTTTCAAAGAATTTTCTATTTTTAAAATACTTGTCTAGAATCTCAAAATTTATTAACATTTTTTCTGTGAAATTCATTCCTTCACATATTTCTTTTGTATTCATAAATTCTTGTTATAAAAATTATCAATTTCGCCTAGATTTTTGAGCATTTTTAGATCTTTAAAGATTTTCCATGATTTCCATGATTTTTTACTATTTTCGTATTTTTAGAGTTTTTCAAAAGTTTTCACAATTCATTTTACAGACATTTCCTTCAGATAAAAGTAAAAAATGAAATATTCTCAAAAATTGAACCTCTTGAAAAGCACCTAAAATTTATTACATCGAAACTAAACTACTGATTTTCAATTTTGCAGTTCCTTGTAGATAATTATTTTTTATTAAATCAGATAAGAGAATTTATTTTTTTAATTAATTCAAGTTGCATGTTTAAAAACATTCCAACACTATGACTGGCACTACCTATTTCATTTAAAAAATCTTCGGTATTTTTATGCAAAATTACAATTATTTTATACACTGAATATCTTTTTGTAAATGTACTAACGCATATTTTCCATGTTTTAAATATTTTTTCTCTTAAAAAATTAAATTGTGCGTGAAAACTGTATTTTTACTTCACAATATGAAACATTTCTAATTTTGTCCGGGTGAAAATTGTTTAATTGAATAATTTAGAATATTTTCTAAAACACCATTACGGGAAGGTAAAAATATTACTTGAAAATTTTGCCGTGTTATAATGAAAAATTGAGACTTCTCATTGTTGAAGAATTTATTCCCGAAAAATACTTCGAATGTTTCCACTAAAATTCCTCCTGTTCGTAAATTAGATTATTTTTCGCTTCAATAACATCGCTTTATAAACGACAGAAACAATGTGATACAATTTTGCAAAAATATTCCCTTTTCTTAATAAGTTTTTCCGCATCGACTTCTTCGAATTTTGTACAATAAAACTACTGTCGTGCGATAAAGGAAAATTTTTATAGCATTCCCCAGTTATTCCGATTCCATATCGACTTTTTTTTCTATAGGGTTCTAGTTTCCTTGTGAATGGCACTTGCGATAAAAAATAGCAATTCCTTTATACCTACGCCTGGTATGCGGAAAATTGAAAACTATAAAATACTGTCTATACCCAGCGATAAAAGAAAAATTGTTACTTTATATAAATCGTGTAATTTCGAAGCCAATAAAAATCCATTCTGTCGTGCCTTCTGCTAATAAATTCGTACACATCCAATTCGTATGTAATTCTAATTCATTATTCATAAATTTAATTACAACCCGCCATGTATGCATACGTATTTATTTTTTTTCCCAACTTTCCGTCTCGGTTCGTTCGCTTATCCATCAGAATCAAAATGTAATTGAAATGTCACTGCATTTTCCGGCGAGTAGTTCGTGTACATCTGAACCCCTTTGGACGAAGATAGATAAGGTCGAAATGCATCGAACCGTCTATCCCGTCATATTTGATAAAACCAACATCAGATCCCATCCGATATAGTAGATATTTTAAGATACGCTGTGCAAATTAGCTCGAGTACGCGCAGAAAACGAGCTCTGGCTTACGAGTATACCCTTCTTAAATATACAGGGTGTCGCAGAAATGTTGGGACACGGCTTAACTACAAGATTTCATACTTCTTTATCTAACTTTAATCGCTTGTAACTTCTTTATTCGAATATAGATACATAAGTCATCATAAGGTTAAATCATCTAATTTTCGTCTGAGAAGTCTGTATTTAATTCGCGTTTCAAACTTGTTTGGGACACCCTGTATGGGGCGTTCTAGAATATCGTATTTTTGTGATGGATTAATTTTTTTTATGTTCGAAATTTATCTTTGTCTCGAATTGTTTCGTCAGGTTTTAATTACATGTGTATGTAGGACGCGAAATTAATATCTACATCCAATTTTAGCCTAAAACGAAAGATGTTTCCTTGAACTGTTCACGGCTCGTACAGAGTTTGTAAACGGATTCGATTTTTTAAATATTTACTCGATCAGATACGCCCAGATCCGAAATTAGTACTTAAAAGAAACAAAAAAAATTGTAAAATAATGTAAGAAAATTTCTTAAGTTTTTCCTTAAGACGCAGAGATAGAAAGCTGCTTCCTGTTTAAATTTACAAATCCCTTATAATAATACTATGCAAGTGAATTCCTGACGAATAATTAATTCGATTTTAAGGGGATGCCTAAGGAAGCGAATATTTGTACGATATATTCGTGAATAACATTTCAATACACATCAAAATTATTCATCATGTTACTACTTGTAGTTTATTTAAATGAAATACACCCGAAAAACTAATTTTTTATTCAATATCAATATGTCGTGGAATAGACGATCAGGATATTTCCCTTCTGATTGGTCGGAACTCCTTCGTATGCAAGGCGAACTATAGCAGGTATTTAACAAGTAATCGTTCCACATTTTTAAAACTATGGGAAAGATTGGAAAATTTATGAATTTCAGACACGCCATACTCGCTACCTTTACATCACGAACATTACAATATATAAATAATAAATAAAGGGAGTCGTTAAGTTAGTTTTCCTCCGAACTGACCCCATTTCGTATGCACTTTGAATTGGTGTATTTTTATAAAGTTATAGTTAACTTATAAGTTATTCATTTGTCTGACGATAAGCATATATTAATGAGCTTAGAGGTAAAATTTTAGTAATGCTAGTTTTAAGGTTGATGTCCTTTATATATGAAGAAAATATAAAAAAATTATTATTACTGTAATAATACTTTTACCTGATACCCTATTAGCCTAGATAAAAAGTGGATTTAAAAACGAGCATATAAAATTAAAAAAAACTACCACTATATCCTTAATTTTTTTTAACATGCCAGTATAACATCGCCCACGCCACACCTGCAATTTTCGCAAGGCCTAATTAACGTGTATAATTTTAACACGCTTACATTAAAAATGCAATATTACAAAAAAATCGATAGCTACATACCTATTATTATACATATTACAATCGTGCAAGAACTCTTAATAGCTACTATTATATACTACATATTACAAAATAGCTTTGTAACACGTTTGAAGCCTGTATAAAGCTAACAACAAACCCAATAAATTCGTAAACTTATGAGTTATAAATCGTATAGAAATAAACTATTGCGCGTCTTAGTAGCGCGTCTCCAGCTATTCTTGTAGCTCTGTAGGTAAAATTTTATAAAGTTGAAGTTTTATATAGCCCCCCATATCCTATGTAAATAATTTTTGTTTTCGTAATGGAACCATTACGCTATCGGCGTTTAATTAAAATGCTTTTACATGAGAATAAAAATGACTAATGTTGTAAAAACAAATATAGCGTAGAAATTACATGTAAAATTTATCGAAAAGGCCAACAACCACTGTATAAAATGGTCGTGTCGGTTTGTGTACTGATTGAAAAAGCAAATAAACGGTGGCGTTGTACTGAATGCTAAGAAAATAAATGTTTAATTGGAAATAACAACAAATAAATGGCGATTTTATTTTTAATATTCGAAGGTTGGTTTTGTTTAACGTGACGGATTCGGAGAATCGAAAAATAATTATTGTTGAATTTTTAAACATTTTTTCGTCATATTCCTTACGTAATTATACAACTTGCAATTTTTGCGGAGTCTATGTGGAATTTCCTTATCTGTAGGTAAGCATTTTCGCGCATTTTCATCCCTAAATTTCGGGGTATGTAACTGCATTTCCTTTCCGTTAACAGTGCAAACGCCCCAAAGAAAAAAAACCCCATGATTAAATTCAGATGCCATCCCCGTTCGCAACCCTGCGCATATTTTGCTGGATATATTGAATGGTTTTGTCCACCGCTTATCGTCTCGTGCATAATCGTATCGATTTTGTGTCGAAATACAAAATTGCCCCGACGAATTCGGTTTCTCGAACGCTCAAAACTGATCGTTCTTGTTGGTTATGTCGCTGGTAATAATAGCAGCACCAGAAAATACGAAAAAAAAAAAAGCAAAGGTGAGCTCGGTCTCGTTGCTTTGGCATCTCTTCAACTGGCATAAGTCATCTGCTGTAACTGGTGTAGTTCATTAATACATTCTTGACGAACGTCATTCTTTTCGAAAACTACGATATTAATGACCTCACGTCGCTTTTAGAAGTGAAAATATTTTTATTTTGGTCGGCTGAGCTGAGTTCTAGACTCGAATTCCGGGTTATTATAAAAAATCTATGAATTTAGAAGCGAAAAATACGAAACATGACCTCTCCTAAAATATAACGGTGATCCTATTAGTTTTTATTTCGTTCGTCCTATTAGTTTATATATTTATAAGTATTGTTTTTACTCTATGTAGAAATGGAAGTTACTGATTAATATTGTATTTGATGTAGGTAAGCAATAAATTCACAATTCTTTTAACCGGTGGATTCGAGTTTCAACTTAAAATTCGAACAACTTATCATTGTAAGAAAACTAAGGGTATCTCATAACATTTGACCGAGCATTTGACACAGTTTTGAGATTATTAAGTGTATTTATACGAGCGTTTTGATTTATTTTGCAACGAAATAAACATACGGTTTAAAAATAAATATCAAGTTGAAAAAAATATATAGATATGTTCTACTCCGAACCGTAATTGATGCAATTTAAAATAGTACTAGAAATTTTTGGCAAGTTATCCATAACGGGGACAGATATAATCACAATCGCAAATAGAAAACTTTTGTAAACAATCTACATACCTATTCTCTATAAGTATACCAACATAAAGTTTCGTCCGAACATTGAATGCTTACGATAAATCGGTGCATGAAGGTAATCATAACCGGCTTCCGTTATTTAATAAATTTCATCCGAGCATATACACTTGTTTATTATTTCAAAACAGCCATAGAGTTTATTCCGATTTTATTTATAGAAAGTCTTTGACTTCTACTATCTAAAATTGTAATAATTATTTACATTTTATTACGAACTAGTTAGAAAGCTACTGGCTTATCAAATAATTCAGTTGAAAACACTCAACAAATGTGCACAGAGACATCCAGGAAAAAACATCCAACTGAAAGTAACTTATTTGAAGCTCTTCGCATATCTGGAACAATTATAATCTACCCACTGGTTATGTAAACCGACAGCGTGTATGACAGTTACGTTATGTGGCAACAGCGCTTCTTTTACATAAAAGGCAACGTCGTTTGAGCGCTAAGAAAGGCCTGACCCAGCTAGGCTGAACGGAGTTTTTTATCTTTCAGAGAACGGAATCATTGTTTTGCTTAGTTGTGGCGTACAAGGCCTTGGTGTATACAATTCGTTATTTGGTTCATTACGGTTGCATCTACAATAAACTGTCATTTTTAATGAACTCAAATAAGTCCTATTTTCTCCCTTCACGATACTCTCGCATGTGTAATATCCACAAATACAGCATTTTGAGTTAAATTGAGTGCATGTTATTTTTTTTAATGAGCTCATTAATTCGTGTGTTATCCTTAACGAAAATGACTGTTCATTTCTGCGTCTTGTATGATTAAAGACATACATAAATGCATTCACTAGCTAGATTTTATATCTTGCGTGAGGATCAGAAAGCGTCGATCATCAGAATTAATTTGGTTTCAAATGCCGCGTTAATTAAGCTACTAAAAATGGAAATGCATCAAACATTACAATTTTTAATTACGATTATGCGTAGACACGTTACATATTATTTCGTAATACGGCAATTAGAAAATTTTTAATCGATACATGATGATTAATTGACTTGTTTTTTGGTTCAAGTTTTGTGTTAGTTAGAAAAACTATTTGTTGGGCCTAATTTTTAATCATGTACCAAACGACGTGGTGCACTCGAACTCTTCGAACTCGCTGCCAATCCGACGACGTCTTTCTCCTTCTCGTCCGGTATCCTCGTCCTCGTCTAGCTCCGTTTTCAGACAATGCAATAGTTGGCGCTGGTCTTTTTCGTCTCCTTGGAGTTTTACGCTCGATGGCGTATTTTTGTGGCACACAGAAGAGAACGAATACGTTGACCGAGTTCCATTCCTACCCGGCAGGAATTTATGGGTTTTTTAATTTCTAGTAGTATCTTTCATTTGCAGCGCTGCGAGCCGAAAGCGGCGCATAATAAGTTGTTTACCGTGGAATTGATGCTAATCCAAGGGGTGCGCTTCCAGATGAGTGTTTTTTAATGATTTGTATAAATCACCCGGCTTCGTTTTAGCATAATTAGATATGTATGCAGAGTATAAACAAAGTGCTATACCTTATTAGCTGTAAAGTGTATTGTGACAGTTCAAAAAATATGTATTCTGCAATTACCCGACTAATCATAAGTAAAAAATATGCATTAATTGGGCGATTTTGTTATGTTTACGTTTAATTAGACTAATGCAAGGTCACTGACATTGAGTAACGTTTATTCTATCAATAGTCATTATCAACTGATTATGATTCACTGGCGTAAATGGTTCAATTGAACTAGTGTAGGCGATTCGAAATAGAAATTTCCAAGAATAATCGGTGAAAGTTTAAATTCTGAAAAACAGCGTTAATTCCGTAGTTTATTTAATGTTTTTTTTTATTTTGTTTCAGGTAAGCATATTTATTTGGGAATCAGTAAATTTTCGCGTAAGTAACCAATCGAAAAGTTTCGAGCTTATCTGTGGCAATTACTCGTGTTCTATCTCAAGGTTCTCGGTATTGTTTGTGAATTTTTATTGCCGCATTTTACTATGATTAAGGATTTCCCCGTGTTCCCGCGAGATAAAAGTACGATAAGAACTTCCACTAAATTCTTCCATTTTTCGCCGCATACAAAGTACTTACATTTACCAACAAAAGTGAAGTTACTTAGTGATTGTTGGTTCGCTAATTATATGGAAATAAATTCTTAACCAGCTCGTGGCGGGAGAGGACTAAAATTAGTATGTCTCGACGTGAAAAGTAGATGGTTATTCACGACATGTCAAGCCGTTCCCGAGTGTATGTGCCCCGGGGTTAACAAGTTACATACATAAAATAATGAGGGAATCGCGACTTGGAGCAATGTTACATTATCCGCAAATGTACAATTCGCGTTACAAAAGCAATAGCAATAGATGAGATAATTGTAATAATACGCCGTGAAATATGTATAAACATTCCCGCAGGTAGACACCTACAACTGAAATTATTGTAATGTTTGCTTTTATTTTCCATTTTGCAACGCTTCGCCGTATTGCCTATACCACGGTTTATTATTAGACGTTAAAGGAATGCGATGGATCTTCAAGGAAGGTAGTCTGCTTTATATTGTATATAGACATACAAAGTCTCGGCTTTTTGTTACTTTAACAAACTTGCACGGTATATTCAGCTGATTTATAGAGATAATTTGAATCCGTAACTCCTGAATAATCTCTGGTTGAACAGACCCGTCTAGTAGAGTTCCGTTACGAAAATAGCTTTAAATCAAAAACGCCTTGTATAAGTTGTCGTAAAAACTTGTTTAATTACAAACAGCCGTTTGCCGATAAAAAAAGAGGCGAACAGTGGCACAAGAGTATCCAAAATTAAATTCTTAAAACAACCAAGTATTCTTTTTCAACTCGAACGAATCCCTTATCTTCATACTCGTACTATACCCATTTTCTTATTTAATTTACGACACCTATAAATTGCAACTACACCTATAACTTAACAAGATACATTCTCATTGTGCATCAGTGAATGGAACTCCATAAATAACGCGTCACTCTCTCGATATTTCAATTCTATAGTTGACTGTTGTCTATGAATTTCGTCCCATTAAATCAACAAAACGGACCAACGTAAAGTTGCGATAGTCACTAATGGCCGCACTTTGCCCATAAACAAACGTGTTCTCGCATGGAATAGGAATTTATGTTGAAAACCTGACGTGCTTCAAACTAGGAAAATCTATTGTTGTGACTGATGCACGCTCTCGTTCGAGAAGCACGGAAACGAATTTTCCTCGCTTGCATTCGCTATTCAGGGATGCCTTGCTGCGTATTTACAATGTTTCAGTTTTTCGTTTTGCATAGATGTTGTTTTTTTCGGTTTGGTTTCTTCTTTAAGGTTGGAATTTAAAATGTAGGTGCATGCCAAAGGAAATATTGACGCAAGTCTAATGAAAATTCAACGGCTAAATGAAAGGTTACTGTAGTTATCACAAAGTTTATTTAATCGGAATCTCCATGGAATAACAGTCGGAAATGATTGTTAATTTTATATCGTAGATGTGCAGACCTTCTGTTGCATATTCCGCATTGTGCTATTGGTGGTTTTACCCTGTAATTAGAAGATAATTTTTGCATTCTTGCATTTATGCAATAGGAGTCGTCTTCTTCAGGTGAATCCGTTGGTTCATCTTTTATGTGCAATGTATGTTCATCCAGTGGTTCATCTTTTATGTGCAATGTATGTTCATCCAGTGGTTCATCTTTTATGTGCAATGTATGTTCATCCAGTGATTCATCTTTTATAGAGATTTCTTCTTGGTTCGATAATAATTCTTCCTTTATTTTGGCCATCGATGATTCTTCTAAATGTTTATACTTTTTTACGTCACTGTCATTCTTCTGAATTTTCATTTTATCAACTTCTTCATTATCACTAAATGTTTCTTTTTTGATGGTATCAATATGTTCATCAAATGGTTCATCTTTGATTAAAATTTCTTCTTGGTTTAAAAACAGTTCTTCGGGTTCTAATTTTATTTTAGCTTCTTGTTCTAAATTAACGTTCGTTATATCAGTTTCGGCTTCTTCATTCTTAATAACAGGAGATTTGTTGACTTCATTTATTTTCAATATCTCATCTATGTCGTTATTATCTTTCTCATTTATTTGGCCTGGAAAATAAATTTCGATATCATGTTTTACGTGGTCTAATAGAAAGAATGTAGAAATATAGGTTCGTATTATTTAAAAATAGGCATGCAATATGTAAACGTATTACATGCGTACATCGAAAAACATTTTTTGCTTCCCGAGTAGTTTTAAAATACTTGTTTTGAACATTCTAATGACTAATGAAACATTTAAATGCATAATGTTAATTTAGATTACGTTTTATTTTGATACCGATGAATTTATGTTGCTCTATTCGCTTGGCAAAAGTCATAGACACTTGTGTACAATAAAGATAACTTGTAACCCTTGTAAAACCAATACAAAGAATCCAAATAGCGTAGGTATAAAGTAATTTATGAATTATTAAATTGTAAATACATAGTTCGTGCAGTTTCTACTTTGAAAACAAATTTTCGATGTTGCGAAATTAAGTAAAAGTTTGTGGAAATTAATTTTATAAGTTTTAAAGCGAATGAAAGCTATACTTACACAACAGTTCATCTATATTAATTTCCCTGACGGGTCTGTAGTAGTTGTGATCGGAAAGATGGAAATTGCTGGGTTTCGTGGGAAATATGGTGGGTATTGCGTGATGCACTAAACGTTTTCTACTACCTCCTATCACCATGCACGACTTAAAATGGCTCGAGCATATACGATGAGTCTTGTGTAAGGATTTCAAGGAATCGGTCGTGCTGCAAAGGTCCTCCCGACCTGTTGCAATTGCCCACAACTTCGCCCTGTAATAAAAGCTTTCTTGTAGTTTCTTGTTTAATTTGAAACTAAAATTGTATGTGTGTTTCTTCGAAACCCTTAAGAAAAATGTAGTTATAATAGGTCGGATTTTACCTAGAAATGTCGGTTGTTATTTGGCTATTAAAAGTTTCTTTTCTCGTTATATTCTTGCAAGTTTTAGAGCTTTTTAGTTGCGTTGAACTGTTTACAATTTATTTATACCTACTACTTCTGTTAGAGAAGTTCTTTAACAAGTTTTTGTCTTTTTGTAAAATATTTGTATAGCAAATTTAGTACGTTTGAAATTTCCATTACCAGAATATTTTTAGTATCCTACAAGTATTAAAATTTATGAGTTCGCCACTAGAGATGAAACAATGCGAATATTTCACATCTGTTAAATAATTATTTTTAAGAAATAGTTGAAGCAGCCAAAAATTTTTGAAATTCATACATACCTAGTAACGTTAGCTGGAAATCGATAAAAACCGTATTTACAGTTCTTATAATTATTCCAACAATACACCGCAGCACAGGTACCTGATCCTCTCGTATAAACCTTCATTATTTAATTTCTTGCGAGTTCTAAACGTTGGAAACACGGAGAATGCAGCAACGCCCGTGAAACATAAGCATTTCTCTCTAGAAACTAAACGATGATAAAAAGTTGGCCAAGCCAGGCAACAACATGTCGGATATCTTGATAGCTGCGTGCGAAACGGCGCAGAAATGAGGCGCTGTGGTGTAAGCGTTGTTGCCGGTTATCGCATATTTCACTTCATCTACTACATTCCGTATAGTAGGTATTTCATTTAGGTATATTAGATTTTCACGTTTTGTTGGACTATTTCTGTAAGTTTACCTATTCAAGACATTAAAAGGAAATATCTTTTTCATCTTAAATTTCTAGAAATTAATGATTCTTTTATTGCCTTTGTATAGGTAGTATTAAGAACTGAATGATGCGCTAAAGCGAAGAAAATGGTGCTGAAATTAAAATGCTTTTAAAACTTGTTTTCCTTTTGTGCCGAGGAAATTGGCCGTTTTATTTTGCTCGAATTTCTTCAATATTTACGAAAAGAATATTCGTGTTTTGTATCATAAAAATGTCGTTTTTCGGTAGGTATAAATTTGCGGTTTACTGGCTGGTATTTTCTGTAGAAAGCTCGTATTGAAATGCTGATTTTACTTGGGCAAGGGATAAAACGTTTGATGAGGCATTTCCTGTAGTAGTATATTTCTATCGATTTTTATAACGAAGTGCAGTAGTACAAAGTAAACGTTTCCATTGCTTTATTTTTCCTTTTATCTCTGCTCAAATCAGACAGTTTCTGCTATTTTATTTATTTTATCATTGAGTTAGATATTGTGCATTATTATGTTTATTTTTTTAACGATTTATATGAGAAATATCTTGTAGGTTCTTACGAATTTATTTATCCTTAACTTTCACCTTAGTTTTCAATATTAAATATATTTTTAATAGTTAGCAACTCGTTAACATACTTATTAAATTCGTAATAGTATCCACAAGTTTCGCCGTAATAAACTTGTTTCCACTCGAAATTTCTAGTCCGGGATTTCGACGAGTTTTACGTTCCACGAAAGCTAATACTTCTACACCAATTTTGTGCATATATTAATTTTCACTTGCAAGCAACAATACTTCTCGGCGATTACGTTACATTGTAAAACTATTTCACATGTAACGACGATGCTTATTTCATGAAAACCGAGCTTTAGGGGCCTTCTTAGCAAGCGAAAACCCGTATAAATTGTGCCTTGTTTAAAAAAACGTAAATTATATCCGTGCACTCTGGAAAGGAGTAAAGGATACACCTTTTTCCAATGTTTGGTATATTTGTAGCAGTATGAAAATAGGTTTATTTTATTATTGGATTCCATTCATATCGAATGTTTATTGTTCGTCGCCACAAAAGAATCTTTTCTATTTTCTATCAACGGAACAATTGCTGTCATAATAATCGACTTCGATTAGAATATTGTATCGGTCATTGCTGCTCAACAGGGCAACAATAAAACCATCGTCATTGTTCTAAAACGTCGAAAAAAAATCATTGTTACGGCGAATCCATTGTTATCGTTAAAGTTAAACCAAATTCCCGTGCAATTCATCATACGGAATGAGAGCGAATTTCAGAGTCTGTGCAATTAACATCCGCTGGAAATGGAAGTGCACCTGAACCAGTTTCCGTAGTATCGACGATGCATTCCGAAATTTTCCAAACGAATCCTCAAAAATAACACACATAGTGCTCTGTATTTGCATTCTACTGATTTCTAGATTGGAATTAAACGCTTAAAACTTCAATTTGTGAATTATTATTGAGCCGTATAACGAGATAAATATAATTAAACAATATTGATAAACTTTTTAATGCTAAAAGAGTTGAAGAAATGTTAAAAATGTAGCCCTATAGATACATTTTTTAATCTTTTTATACGATGCATATTTTACCCTCTACCTTCAACACTAAACAGGAAAATGCACCTGACATTTGGGTCTATTCATCAGTGCATCGACTTGTTTATGGGAATCTTAGCGTGACCTACTAGCGGTCTAGCGCCGTATAGTACACGAAATTTATTCCAAGACGCCTTAATTGAACCATAAATTTTTCTGTTGATACATTTCGGTCGAGTAGTTTTAGGAAAATACGAACCTTCCGAACGGTCTATAGGTTCCACATTGAGATATCAGCATTAAAATAGCTTCCCAGTACTGTTTAAATTGAAAATTTCATTGCAAAGTTGCCATAATGCAACATAAAGTTGTGAGATGTACAAAAAATGTAGTCATACGAAGCATTTATGAAAGTTTTCAGCAATTTTTTTATTGAATTAAGGTTGTTTAGTATCTTGGTATACTGACTTTTGAACGTGAATGTATAAAGTATACGCGTCGTTGAGGCTCTGAGACTCCATTCAACCGCCCCTATCTAAGGCAAAGGTTAGGGCGCAAAAAATGGAATTTTAGCGAATGGGGAGATTCGAGATCTGAACCCTAACTAAGTTGACCTGCGACAAAGGCTCTCTCCCGTGTTATGAAAGAGGACGAGCCGGATAAAAACTCTCGATGAGTCAGAGTCAGTCATTCACTCTGTTAAATCTGGATGAATTGCGCTTCGAATGCTATAAGTACTATACATCAAGCTTTTCCTCTACTATTTTTTTTTAGAGAATTGGTTAGAAACAATAATTTATGTTTCGAATAACGTACGGGATTAGAATTGAAGAATTTTGCGTGTTATTGTCCAGACATCGAGTGTATAATGTGGGATAGAATAAATAATTTCCGTTTCAACTTCTGTCAAGTCGACTGTTGCAAAAAACACAAATTCGCTCAATTAGGCGCAATTATCTCGTTTCCGAGGAACGACTAATTGACTGTTCAAGGGGGTGTTTGTAGACCGCTATCGGCAAAAAATGAATGGTTTTCTTGATTGAAGATAAATTGGTGTAACTATAGCGATGGAAATTTCACGTTCAATTACGAATATTTCAGTTGGGATGTTGTTGGTTTCGCTGTGAATGAGGAGAGAAAAGAAGTCGGTTTGGAAAAAAAGCTAATTTTTGCAAGTAACCATATCACAATTTATACACAGCATTGTTAATGGTTTCTTTAATAACGCAGCACGTATAAAAAGGAATCGGGATTTTTCTTTGCGTATACAATTTTTAAATTACGAAATTTCCTTCTTCAGTTCTCGTTTAAACTCCGTTTTCTTTATTTATTAAAAAGTAATTTGAAATTTCTCTAATAAATTACATCAAATTCCCATCATTTCTTTCCTAAAATTGAATTTCAAAGAATGGCGAGTTTTTCTCAACCAAACCAGTTTCGTTCTAACGTAACGAAGCTATTCCAGTTCCCCTGACTAAAATTCAATTTATAACATGGCCGATAAACCTGTTATATAATCATTAAATATTATCTTTCGATTAAAACGGTTCCATTCGTCATTCGACGTGACACGTGCGCACAGATAAATTCAAAAACTAACAGGATATATTTTCACGCGCGTATTTTTAAAACGACGTTAATAGTAGGTAGAATGAATTGTAAACAAAATCTGTCGAATTTCGTCGTTTTATTATGAAATCACCCGGTAGGTATGTGCGAGTTGATCGAATTGATACGCGTACGTGAGTACAAGGACGCGATAAACTCGTGAGAGAAAATTACGCTCAGAACTTCAATGAATTTTTGAGGTTCAAGGCGACGTCGCCGGTAAATAATTTATTATTTAACTATTTATAAACGCTTTTGAACCGAAAAGTTGTGTAACTTTTATGAAATTAAGAGGTGGGCAGCGCGATTGTAAAACAGAAAGAGGAAATTAGGTTCGCCTTGTGTCAAGGCGAATAACCCACGTTTCAAGGAAAAAAAAACGGGAAGGAAAAAATAGTAAGCCGATGAAATTAGTTAATATATTCGACTTGTTACAGTTTGTATCCTGGTGAATAAAAAAAAAACTTTAAAAAAATAGAAAATCATCTGATGTTAATAATTCAAGGGATACAATCCCACAAATCTACGTGCTTGATTTATCTAAACCTAATACAAAAATCCAGTAGGATATTTAAAAATGTAAAAATTTCAACTGCGTATTATCGACTTGTGCTTAGCGGATTTCTACGAATGAAAATATACGTGAAGGCTTTGCCAAACAGGCCGCTTGATCGTTCCTTGAAATTAAACTTATCTACGTGAGTCATGTTGTTTACTAAATTGGGCACTTTGGTAGTAACGTCCTTTTATCTTCTTTATATTACCCCTCCGCTGTTCATTATGTTCTATTACGCGTCCTAGTTACATCTGCAATTTAATCCTTAAACAAATTCTTTTCGTCCGCTTCGCGTGGCGAAATAAAACGCGCGAAATCGCGATATTTCCTCGTGAAAATGCGATGCCTGCGTTAATTTATTAAAATCGCCCAAGGGAACGAAATAACATAATCAGATTCATGTTTCAAAATGAATTGTTATGAGGTTTTGTTAAAACATGATCGGCTGATGGTATTTAACAAGGAGCGTGTCAAGTTCACTTGGATTGAAACAAATCAGATTTTTTTTTTCTGAATTATCAACCTCTTTTCCTTCGGAATACGTTTTTCTCGCATCAGAATTGCGGCGTAAAATCAGTGAATCAGTCAATGACCTGTGTATCTACATGAATTTAGGTACTTTGGAATACATACATAAAATTAATAGGTTTATATGCACTTCAACTTTCTACTTTTGATATCCTCATGTCGGAATACACCTAACTGTTTCGCGTTCTTAATGCATATCTAATTTCGAATATATCCATTTCGTAAAAATTCGATAGGCAATCCATTTCAAAATCCAACCTGTTATTCGATTCCGCGGTTTCTTAATTAAAAGTCGGCAAATAAAATAAAAATAGAAATCCCGTTTAGTTAAATGAATTATTACCGATGCCGCTGTTGTTATTTGCATTTCGTGTTACGTGTGGGTTAACTGCACTAAATATAATTAACTTCCAGTATGTATTGCATTATGGATTAATCATCGTTTCGTAAAACAATGCACAATAAAACGGTGTACAAATGGATTTTAAAAATTCGAACTCGAACTCGTAAATAAGGAATGTTTATTTAGCTCTA